AGCGGGAGAGGGAATATCATTGTCAGTACGGTGTGCAGGGGTACGAGAGCAGGCTCACTAGAGAGCGAGAGACTCACCATGAAGTGCACGGCGGGCAAGTCCAGCTGACCACCACAGGCTGTGCAACGATTGGATTGGAACACTCTCGGCTCGCCCGTGGTGAGTTCTTCGATCTCCTTTTCCTTGCGCGCCGTCTCCGCTCGGTAGGACTCGATTAGGCGGTGGTCCTGCACAAAGAATAGGAGGGAGATCGATGAAGGTCAATTTCCATGCGCTCTCTTGGGAAAAAGTTCTGTTGCCGCAACGCCACTGCAGAATTACTCACCGCTTCTTCTTCCTCCCTCTCCTCTCTCACTCTCCCCTCCAGGAATGCCCTGATGAGTCCCACATTCGCATATCCTCCCTCCTTGCTCAATAACCCCACAATTTCCAACGTACTCATCAGACGCTCCTCCTCGATCTGCACCAGAATGTCCTCCACTTCGACACGATGCTTGCTCAGCAGTAGAGGGTGAGAGATGAGAAAGGAGAGAGCCTGTGTGTAGAGCGTAGGAGAGCGCGTGTGGTACCGCGCCAGGTAGGAGAGGACGTGTGTTGAGGATGGACAGGCATCTGACGTTGATGCGGCTGAGGCTTGACCATTCTGCTGTTTTAATGATACAGAAGAAGACTTGTCGGACACATCGCTGGGAACGCTCTTGAGCTCCTCCTGAGCCTTCTCCATCCAGAGGGTGATGATCTCTTCGTACATTCCCATGCGCTCGTACAGGGCCACAATGCCCTCGGTGAACTCTTCGTGCTCGCAGAGGATCAGGGCGTGAGGGATGTCGTAGGGAAGGTGACGATGTTGACGTAGCAAGTTGAGAGCTTGTTGATGATCCGAGGAAAGAGCAGTGCCGCTCTTTGATGGGGCTGGTGCCACAATCGCCTTGTTCGTCGAGGCTCCAGACGGAGAGGAGGAGCGACCTTCCTTGAGGTACATCTCGAGCAGGGTATTCCAGATAGACCGCTGCTCCTTTCGGTCTTCATCCTCATACAGCTCATCCTCGACCTCCCACACATCTTCCGCCTCGTCACTTAGTACATCCAGCTCGGCGGCAGATTCTTCCACAGCCTGGCCCCACCGAGCAAGCGCCACAGTCTCGAGGAATCTACGGAAGGAGCGTGGGTAACGGATAAAGTGCGGGAAGAATTGCCTGGCAGAGGGGATCTCGTACGGAGCCGAGCTCGAGACGGAGGTGGGAGCCTCACCTTCCCCTCCCTGGATCGATGTTGCAGCACTGGCGTCAGCTCCGATGACGTATGGTCCTGCCTTCGGGGCGCTCCTCTTGCCTTGGCCATCCGTCTCTGCCTCAGTGGCAGCCGTCGATGCCCCGCCTGCTCCAGTAAGGTAGCTCAAAAAGCCTTTCCCATGTGATCCGCCTTCCCCAGCAGACTTGGCAGCTTTAGCCGCTTGCTCTATGGCCCCTGACGAATTTGAGACGTTCGGCCTGTATGCGCCAGCGCAGAGCTCGATGAGAAGGTCCGTAGTCTGTCGTTCCGCTTCTTCCTTCTGGCTCCCCCCGCCTCCGGACAAGAGCAGGCCGGCGTAGATCTTGAGACACTCTATCACCTCTGCGGCCTGCCGAGTCCGGAGCCACTCGATAGCCTCGAAGGGCTGATTAGTGTCTTCGATCTTGATTCTGAGGTACTCTTCTCCTAGACCGAACTTGCGCGCAAGGTAGGCGGCTTGGTCAAAGTAGTTGGCTGAACGGCAGACCTTGATGGCCGTTGGGAGGTCAAAGGGGAGAGAAGCTTTGCCGTCTGCCTCGGCAGGAGTAACGCTCGCCGAGTCATCGTCACTCGAATCTCCGTCTGCGTTTCCAGAGGTCGTGACGTGGGACCGTCTGATGAAGCGGTCGAGGGAGGTAGTGTCCTTCATCTTTGTGTAGCAATTCAGCAGCAATGTCGTGTGATCTGAGTTGGCCAGCCCTCTCCGATGAAGCTCCTGTAGGTAGAGGGTGAGAAGTGGAATGCGCTGGGCGTCCAGGAACTGCGAAGGCAAAGGCGAACGAGGTTCAGCACTCGTCGACAGGTCCCAGAATTTCCTCTCATCCATACTCACTTTGCGGATGATGTAGCTCTCTCCAACACCAGCTTTCCTCCTGCCTCTTTTCTTACCACCCGTGGAGGCTCCAGCAACGCCAGCGAAAGCTCCGACACTCTTGAGGTAGCCCATCTTCATGCTCCCCTCGTGATCTCCCTTCTCATACAAATGGTCTCCATACTTGATCCATATCTCGCCCAAGAGCACGTTGAGCCTCTCGACGCTCTCCGGGTCGTCCTTGTCTGCTCCTGAAGACACAGGAGCGTTCGGCCTGCCAAAGTGCGACTTGGCCACCTGAGACGCGAGGAGGAAGAGATGCTTGCGGTACAGGATCTCGATCTTTTCCCTCAGAGGCTTCTCGCTGAGCTGGAAGAGACATCCCGACTCAGAGAGCAGGAAAACGTCTTCTCTATGTGATGCTAGCGCAGGAGATGGAGCCGAGTCGGGAAAGGCAGCTCGCAAGGCGCCAGTGAAGGTTCCAGTGTAGGACAGGAACTTGCCGTCGAGGTCGAAGATGCTGACCCGCGTGAACTCTTGCCCAGCTTCCCTCACAGGGGGACTGTATGTACCCCCATTGGTCTGCGAGCCGTTAGCTGCAGCGCCATACGATCCGCCTGTAGATCCCAATTCGCTACTGTCTAGAGGAGGCGACAGCACGACAAGATGACGTGACGTCGGAAGAAGAAGGACTTTGGCTTTCGATCCCTCATAGGCATAGCAGTCCTCCCTCCCGTTCGAGCCGATGGTGTAGATCGCTTCTGGCCGGGCAATGAGCAGCTTTGCCTCTTCTGCCGTACCTTCCGATCCCGGCCCTCCGGAGCTTGCCAGAGGCGGCAGCAGTACTGAGCAGCCCAGAGGTGAGCCGATGTCATCAAGCGTCACAGGCGGACTCCCCGCTCCTTTGCCCAAGACAGTATACTTCATCACTCTGGACAGAGTTGCGATGAAGAGGCTAAGCCTTTGATTCGAATGCGAGTGACCTTCATCGCCAGAGGAAGAGAAGGCGAGAGCCGTCACTGGCTCCTGCTCCGGAGCTGGCGCAGCCGAGGAAGAAGCAGCGGCGTCTGCCCCGGGCTGGTAGACGACCTTGAACTTCGGCAGCGCAACGGCAGGACCGCTTGGGTTGGCCGATGTGGGTAGAGGTGCGCCTTCCAGCGTGGTCGACAGCTTTCGCAGTAGCAACACTGCTCCGCTGGACAAAGAGCAGGCAAGATACCCCAGCCCTGCGGTGACGGACACGGCAGCGATAGGGAACGGTCTGCGGCCGTGCTGAACGCGTCCCTCTGCCATGAGCCGAGGCCTCCATTGCCAAAGACCATCCTCACCCCTTCCGCCCTTCCGGGACCGAAGAGAGGCGAGATTAGTCTTGAGGTTCCATATCCTCAACAGGGGGAAGCCAGTGCCGCCTTGATCTTCCGACAAGACGACGAGGTGCGAAGATGTCGCTTCGTACTCTACATGGGTCACTGCTCCGTCCTGTATTGCGGGGAAGGGCGGGGCAAGAGGCTGGAGAGTTGTAGGGTCTACCAGTACCAGGAGTCCTTTGGTGAGCGTGACGAGGTGGGGAAAGTCGAGCTGGAGAGACGACTTGGATGCGCTGGACGTTGCGAGTTGGCCATCATCATCGCTGCTTGCTGGGTGTACGCCAATGGGGAAGGAGCCTAGATGGAGTACCGAGTGCACCTGCGAGACTGGCTGCCCAGCAAAGGTCATCGAGGATGGACATGCCTCTACGCAGTTGTAGAATGGCAGCGACCGCCATGTCGGTGCTGGTGAAGCCTGTCCCAGCTGCCGCTGCGGATCGACTGTGCCCATGGGATACCAACGAAGGAAGGAGGTGTGGTGTTGGGTTCAATGGTCAAGAGGGACTGGGGGACTTGCGGAAGGAGCCCTTGGCGGCAACGCACCTTGTCGCACAGGCCTCCCCTCGCCCCGCTCCGATGTTCCGCCCGGAGCCGCGAGGGGAATCTTTTGGCGCAAGAACATCTGGGCAGCGTCTCTTTCCGTAGAGCCTCCTCCCTCATCGCCATCATCCATATCTCATTCCTCTACAGCATCCCTCTGTTGACTACAGGTCTCTCTCTGCTGCAGCCCTTGCTTCTCAGCCAAGATGTTGGGACTCAAGGCCACAATGGCAGTGAGTCAGCCCTGGGTCTGAGCTGCTGATGTAGCGTTGCAGCAGGATGACTGACAAGTCTGCCTTCTGGATGTCCTTCCCAACCCTTTCTCTGCTTACACAGATTATTGACAACTCCGGAGGTCTGGTAGCAGAGTGCGTCAATGTGCTACGGAAACCCACATCGAGAGGTCTCGCAACCGTTGGTGAGTGTTCCGCAAGTGCGAGACTCAGAGGCAGAGGGAGCTCCCTCACTGCTGCCTCAGACAGTCCCAGCTCACGCTTCCCCTTCTTCCTCCTCTTCTCGCTTTCCCTCCCACAGGCGACGAGATTGTCGTCGTAATCAAGAAGGCCCGTCCCATCCCACTCAGTACCTCTTCCTCCTCGACAGCAACCAAGATCCGTCGTGGCGATGTGCGGCATGCCGTTGTAGTTCGCACAAAGAAGGAACTGCAACGTCCAGACGGCCGAGTGGTGCGCTTTGATGATAATGCCTGTGTCTTGTTGAATAATAGAAAGGAGCCATTGGGGACCAGGATCAGTGGGACGGTTGCGGCGGAACTTAGGGGAAGGGGATGGAGTAAGGTCTTGAGTTTGGCGGCAAAGGTCGTGTGATGGGTCGACGAAAGAGGGGAGGGATCCAAGGCAGCTCTTTGAGCCTTCACCATTGATCGTTCACTGAGATCGGTCTGGAATGTAATTGTATCGACCGTGTTCACACAAAAGAGAATCTTCACCAATCACGAATCAGCGGAGCGAATGCAAAGGAATTGTTACGAGGTGGTGCATTGCAATAGAACAAGGTGACGAAAGACGAACGACTCGAGATGCGCAACTGAGCTTCCAGCAATCGCCCGCTCATCTCCTCCTAGACCTGGGCAGACCCTTTAGCTGTCTCCCACCGGGCGCTCCACCAGCTCCACCAAGCGGAGGTGCTCCTCCTCCTGCACCGATATTGAACAGTACTGGCTGGCCCTGTGGAGCGGGCGAGCCAGGCAAGCTTGCACCCCCTGCTGGAGCACCACCACCACCGGCCCCGAACTGGAAGGGGGCGGAACCGCCAGTGTTAGCGGCAGAGGGAGTAGGTGGTGCTGTAGAGCCAAATTGGAACATCCCACCTCCGCCCGCTGCTGCACCGTTGGACTGGACACCATTGGGCTGACCAGCTGATGCTCCGCCAAACATAAACGGAGTGCTACCGCCCGTGGCACCCGCACCGTTGGTGGACGAAGCGGGCTGGTTGCTGGAGGCAAAGTTGAAGTTGATGCCTCCGCCGCCGGCAGCAGTAGCGTTGCTCGGTGCTGGCGAGGCGGGCGCGGCACTCGATGGTGTACCGAAATTGAATCCTCCGGGCGTGGCGGTGGGTGTCGAGGGTCCGCTCCCGAAGGCGGGTGTGGACGATGAGTTGCTGGGTGCACCAAAAGAGAACGACGGCACGTTGGATGGTTTACTAGCACCGAAGCTGAAGCCCGACGTTGTACCCTGAGCAGAAGCAGGAGCTGGCGCAGGTGAACCAAAGCTGAAGCCTCCTGTAGAGCTTGCGCCACTTGCTGGCTTGGAGCCACCTCCAAATCCACCACCGCCGAAACCCCCAGTATTGGTCTGTGTGGACGACGTGAAGTTCTGCGAAGGCGAGGTATCGTCCATCATGTCGTTGCCAGCCGCGGCCCCACCATTCGAGGCGGGCTGAGCGGGCGTAGCTGGTGCACCAAAGGTGAAGGGCTTCGATGTACCCGTGTCAGTGGTCGAGGAGGCTGGCTTGCCAAACGAGAAGCCTCCCGTGGAGGGAGTGTTGGTGGAACCACTCGTAGTGGCGGGCTTGAAGCTGAAACCACCAGAAGGAGCTCCGGCAGATGCAGTCGCACCGCTGGTGCCTCCACTGGTCTGTCCAAAGCTGAAGCCAGTCGTAGTCGGAGCGGGGCTAGCAGGAACGCTACCGCCAGCTGAAGAGTTCGCAGCAGAACCAAAGGTAAAGCCGCCACCTGTGGACGAGTTGTTGGACGGCTGAGCAGCTTTATTGGCGTCGCTGGCTGTAGGAGCAGCTCCAAAGGAGAAGGGAGCAGGAGAGACAGACTTGTTGCTTTCTGACGGAACCGAAGATGAAGGCGCCCCAAAGCTGAAGCCCGAACCAGCTCCATTCGTAGCAGCGTTGGCAGAAGGGTTACCAAAGCTGAAGCCCGCACTCTTCTTGCTTGCGGGCTCTCCTCCTGACTGTTGATCATCGTCAGCTCCGCGCTTCTGCTTCTCGCCGCTGGTAGCTCCAGCAGACGAAGAGGTAGTGGCGGGCGCAGCCCCAAAGCCTGTGAAGCTACCGAATGGGCTAGGTGCTGCTGCTGTAGTCCTGCTGCTCGAACTTGCGGGAGCGCCAAAGCTCAACCCACTGCCAGCTGCCTTGGGAGCGCTGTCCTCCTTGCTGTCCGTCTTAGGAGCTCCAAATCCCCCAAATGGCGCAGCACTTGCAGACTTGTCGGCGCCTCCCAAATTGCCAAATGGATTTGAAGCGGAAGAAGCAGGTGCAGCTGCTGTTGTACTCTCGGGGGCCTTGTCCGCAGCTGCGCCAAAGAAGTTCGGGACACTCTTCTTCGGGGCTTCACTCGGAGCTTGCGCAGGAGTGCTAGCAGCCGAAGGGCCAAAGCTGAAACCGCCCGAAGGTGTGGTGGCCCCAGAAGCAGAGGGCGCGGGCTTGCTCGCTCCGGCAGACTTGCCAAAAGAAAAAGTCGGGGCAGGCGAAGGAGAGGGCGAAGCACTCTTCTCTGCAGTCTGAGTAGCAGGTGGTCCGAAGCTGAATGGCGCAGGCGACGTCCTTGTCTCACTGGCGGAAGGGACCGACAGTGAGCCGCTCTCAGCTGGCTTGTTAGCCGAACCGAAGAAGTTGGGAATGGGCCCCTTCTTCGGAGCCTCGTCGACCTCTTCAGCAGCAGTCGCTGCAGGGGCTGGCGGAGTAGCGAAGAAGTCGGAAGAAGCGGGAGCTGGCTTGCTTGTGCGCTCGGAAGAAGGCTGGGAGGCAGGCAGAGGGGGTGGGGCAAAGCTGAAGGCTGGAGCGGCAGAGGTGCTGCTAGGCTTGGCTGCAGGTTGGAAGCTGAAGCCTGATGACGGCTTGCTGGGTGGCGACATTGCCGGTGTCGTAGTGGCGGGAGGCCCTGCAAAGCCTCCCAAGCGGCCCAAGAGGGATGCACCAGGGGCGTCTCCATTCGATTGGCTTGAAGAGCCTGCAGTGCTCTGAATAGGCTGCTCCGGCTTATCGGCGGCTTTCGGCAGTGAGGCGGCAGGTACGCTGCTAGCGCCACTTGCACTGCTCGCAGCAGCTCCGAACTTGAATCCAGAAGGGAAGAAGTCCTTCGGCAACTGAATCTTCTTCAGCTCACCAATGTCCACACCCGCCATTTCACCATCTTCGTTCCCATCCTCTCCTCCCTCTTCGTCATCTGAATCCCACGCCGAGATCTTGCCAGACTTTCCATGCGTCCGAGAAGTCTTGACGATCCCCTGGCGTAGAGAGGAGCGAGCTCGAGGATTCGAAGACGACGCTGCGTCGGAGGTGAGGACCTGGAACTTGCTCTTTGACCGAGCTGGCGCCTGCTCTGATGGTTCGGCTGCATCTGCCGGTTCGGTAGCCTGCTGGCTCTGAGCTTGCACCTCTTCTGCCTCTTCTTCCTGCTCCTCTTCCATGTGCTCGTCTGCGGGCTGGGGCGAGGGACTCTTTGCTTTACCCCTCTTCGACCGCCTTCCAGGAGACTTTGCAGGAGTGGCCTTCACTGGCGTCTTCTTCCCTGTTGCCTTCGACGACCGAGTGGGCGGAGGAGGAGTGACTGTGGCCTCCCTCTTCGCTCGAGCCATGCCTCTTGTCACTCGACGGGGTGGACTGGGTTCGCGCTCATCAATCTCCTCTTCACGAGTCGCCTCTTGGGCGTCTTCTTCGTCTTCGCTGCCGTGCTCGGACTTGGCCCTGCGCCTTGACCCGCGAGTGGTAGCAGGAGTGCCAGTAGCTCGAGTAGTCCTCTTCAGCTTCGCCCTCATGCTGTCTTCACCCGGTGCAGGTGTAGACTGATTGAGTCTGGATGAGGCGCGAGTGCCCCTGCGGGTGTCAGGTGTACTCTGAGCAGCTCGTGCAGCTGAGGGACTTGGCAAAGGTACAGATATGCTCTGCGTCAGGCGCGAAGGTGTGCTTGTACCACTCCTTGTCCTGCCGCCAAGTGCTCCTTCTTTCCTGGCATCGCCCAGTGGCGTCCGCATGCCCTCGAGCACACCCAGAATCCTCTCAGCCTCGTTGCGCGGTACAGCAGTAGGAGGCTCTCTCGCTCTCAGGTCGTCCATACTGATGAAGCCCAACTCCGGATCCCAGACCATCTGCTTCTTTCTTGCCGAGCCAGTGACTGAGCCCATCTCGCTGCCCCTATCCTGTAAATCCAAGGCTCCGAAGCCTCCTCCAAGATCCAAAGCCTCCGACGCGTCCCTCTTGCCCAATCGGGCACTCAGAGGTGTATTTGCTCGGCTGTCCCTTCCGCCGATGACAGAGGGAGCTGCAGAGCCGGTAGGTGTGCCGAATTTGCGAGCACTGGCCAGATCCTTCATCATCTCCTCGCCATCGGAAGGTTTGCCGCGAGGAGGAGCAAGATTGAGCGAGCTCCAGGGCAGAGTGCGAGAGGAGAGTCCTAGCGCCGACCCAGACCGGGACAGGGCGGGGGACATTGCCCTGCTGCCGCCTCCTAGTGCACTCCTTCCGAGGCGTGAAGGAGTGGCAGGTCCGAAGAGCCTTGAAGAGCTAGCAGTATCACCGCCTGCTCCCAACTCAGACTGAGCGTACATTCCCGCTAGTGAGCCTCCAGCTACGCTACCTGACCGCTTAAGCGCTGTCTCAGGCGTAGCTCTTGTCGCAAAAGGACTGCGTGAAGGCAGATGTGAGAGGGACGAAGACGGGGTGAGACCGCTGGCTGGTCCAACTGTTGCCCTATTTGCCAGTGCCTCGCTCGTGAGTCCTCCAAGTCTCCGCTCCGAGCCAAAGCCATAGGCATAAGCTGGACTCTTGGTATTCAGACCTATTCCCACTTCGCCGTTCCTCATGCTGGAAGACTCGCTGGGCGCTATTGAACCTCCACGTCGCACAGCTGGCGTTGATTGGTAGGTAGCAAGACGATGCAGTGACGAAGAGGGCTGCAAGGATCCTTGCCGGCCATGAGCTCGAATTGCAGCGCTTGCTGATGAGAAGCTCGGTGACGAGGGGCTCCCCGATGCAGGGCCGAAATCAGTATCTGTGCCTCTGCTGTTGGCAGCGCGAGCAATGGTTAATGTGCGACGACTGCTAGGGGGAGAGGTTGCTAAAGGCGGAAGCATTTCGCCGCGGGTATCGAAATGGCGTGTCCTACTTCTGGGAGCTATGGCGCTCATTGACGCGGACGAGGACATTCCACCCAGCCCAAATCCGTCCAATCGATTCGACGGTGCAGCGTTCAGATTCGAGGTCGTAGCATGGCTCTCAATGTCGCCCGTCTCCATGTTGCTCAGATACGAATCCTTGCCTCGAAGCCTGCTTGACCGCGTAGCAGCGCGTCTTTCGGCCAAGTCTGCTACAGAGCCCGTCGAGGCAGACGAAGGCAGTATGGATCTGCGATCGGACTGCGCAGCTGGATGAGCTGACGTGGAGAGCCACGAGAGGGGTTTGGTGATGGCTTTGGTCAGGGTGGAGAAGAGGCCAGATCGAGGAGCGGCGGCGGCAGAGGCAGGAGTGGTCTTGGCTACTAGTGGAGAGAGGCGCTCCTCCTCCTCTTCTTCCTGTCCGCTGCCTCTTCTTCTGACCAGAGGCGATGAGGCCAGGGGAGTTGCGCTTCCATTCTGTCCAGGTCTTGCGTATGGCTTGCGGTCGCTACCTCTTAGCGAGCGATTCCGCGAAGGACCGGCAAGGTTGCGAGCGGGAGAAAAGGCGCTGCCACTTGCGTCACCAAAGCCGTCGTGGTCCATGGCGAGCTAGGAGTGGATGGGCGAGGGTGAGGATGAATAAGAGATGTAGTCTTGATGCTGATGATGATGATGGCCACCACCTCGACGACGACGACGATGACGACGACGGCGATGCTGAGTGGCTGCTTGAGGATGAGTATGGCTGCCCTCGATGCCCAACACGAAGGATTGCAACTCGGCCTCGCTCCCCGGCCATGGCAAAATCCCCAGGCGGAGCGGACTGGCGACTGGGCCGCCCTGCGCGCTGGCTCCAGGCAAAGGGGGGCGCACCACATCACCGGTACAACACCAACACCAGCATTGCTCCCCACCATCGCCATACTCACTCCATCATGGCCTCCGCAGGTCCATCCATGCAGCAGCAGCAAGGTCCTCCTGTCCCCCCAGCGCCCACCGAGGAGCAAGTAGCCCTCTCCGATGCCTACTTCAATCCAGTCGATTTCAGCTACGATGCCCAGACCGGTCTTCTCACCTCACCCACCCACGACCTCTCCTTCCTAAATGCAATCTCCCGCACTCTCGCCTCTTTACCACCACAGATCGCCCTACCCCCTCCACCGAATGTGCTTCCCCCACAGCGGAGCATGGCGATCAACCAGGCGAGGGAAGGAGGGGTGGCCGCATTCAAGAAGAAGGACTACCACGAGGCTCTCAAACTCTTCACACTCGCAGTAGACGTAGCTGCCAGTAGACCCTTGTGGGAGTCGGCCAACCAGGCAAAAGAGGAACTGGCTACCTGTCTTGCTAATAGGAGTGCGGCTTTTGCTGCAGTCGAGGATTGGGTCAACTCCCTCGTTGATGCTGAGACGGTGGTGCAATTGAAGAAGAATTGGCTAAAGGGACATTATAGAAAGGGTCAAGCGCTAGTGAAGCTGGAGAGGTACGATGAGGCAAGAGAGGCGTATATGCTCGGACTGCAATTCGATCCAGAGAGCAGGGTGAGTCAGGAATTGACGCTGCTCGGACAAGGTAGCAGCGGGAAGGCTAGTGCTCAGGGGGAACATCGACTAACAGCTTTCACCTCTTCCCCCATTCCACCCCTTGTCACAGGATCTCCTCGATGCTCTTGCAGAAGTTCCCACTTCAGAGCCAGCCTCAACTACCAAGACGGCCTGAAAAGACCATTATACCTCCTGCTGCTCCAGTGCGATCAGGCGCATTCCCTGCATAGCATGGCACGGATCTTGTCCTGGCCCTTCGTATTGCGCCCTTCCCCCTTGTCTCACTCATGGTGACCATTAGCGAAGGCTTGGCTTCCCTCACTTGTATCAATATCAATCTACCATTCACCTGCCAATCACTAGACTAGTCTTCCTACTGACTGGTTAGAGCGCCCTAGATCGCAGCGAGCAGCGATTGATGGAGCACTGGAAGAGGTTTCCAGGCGATGGAAATATTGCGAGGGTGGCGTCCTCGCACACCTACTGCTTGTGATGTTGATCGTCTAGAGAAGTGTTTTTAAAGATGACGAGATGTGCACGTACAATTGCAAAGCGGTTGCTCCCTCTACCCTAATCCGAATCCGTCTTCACCTCTACCTCTTATCGGCTCGCCACACCCGCGCCGACCTGATTGACTCCCAACTTCTTGGCCAGATTAGCCAGCCGGTTGTGTTCCGCAATGTCCTCCGTCTCCCAAGGGTAGTCGACCCACACGTCTCCAGTCTCGCCTGCAGGGTAGTACCAGACTCCCTCGGCTACGGCTCCCCCACCGCTTGTGGAATCGACGGGCTGGTCTTCGAGAGTAGAGGAGCTAGACTGAGAGGGGATAAGAGGGAGGGTGCCTCGCTTGCCGCTGTCCTTGACCTTGTTGTGTACAACGAAAATGGCGACTGATGCAGCGCAGGAAGAGAGGCAAAGGCGGTTCAGTGGACTAGTCTTGTGCGAGTAGCGCTTCCATGACTCTTGCAAGTACACTTACATCTGGTAGGAGGGAGCTTAGCCCTGGCTTCTGGCTCCAGCGCCTCCAGTCCAGCCTTGACGTCCTTCACCAGCTCCTGGTAAGCGTATTGCAGCGTAGTCCTCGAATCATCGACTTCGTCCACGATCAAGATCCTCTTGCCCAGCAGACCTTCCTCCTTGTCACCATCCTCTCCACGATCTTCACGACTGGATCGCTTGCCAAATGTTCCCTCATCGAGCCATTGAGTGCGCACCACCTCCCGACCCATGTTCTCGACAGAGGAGCCAGCTACCTCCTCGTACAGGGCCAGACCGATGGCCTGGATGGGCACGTTGCGCTTCTTGTTTGGGTCGTGGGCAGAGGGCTTCTTCAAAAAGGTACGCAGAATACGGGCGGGGATCAGACCTCCTCCGGAGATGGCGACCATGACATCTGGGTCCTGGTGGGGGGAAGAGAGAGGAGTGAGGTGTTACGTACCAGTACGGCAGCAGGAACATCAGACCTAATGCTCAATGAAATCTCTCTGACCCGCCTGAATCTTTACAGTGACAGCTCTCGAAAGCTAGACGTCCTTTCTCTGCCCCTCATGCTTCTTTCGGCTACTCACAAATTGGCGCTTGATCAGCTTGGCCGTCTGTGCGATCTGGACGTGAATGTCCTCGTACGTGGCTCGAATGTGGTCGTCCGGCAGCTGCTCAGTGGAAGAAGTCATCTTGGCAAGAAACGTCTATCTAGAAAGAGGGATTGCTCAGGAGGTCAAGTTCGTTTCGACAGGTAGTTTTTGGGAGTAATCGCTAGCCTGGTGTGAGTATGAGACAGGCAGAGTCTGATGATGGACCACGTCAAGAAGATCCTCTTATCAGCCCAACTAAAAATTGAGCTCAGGCCCCGCGTCTGGCCTCGCGGAGCGGAAGGATGCCTGCCATCTGCTCCCCCGCGGATTGCCTCGGAGGCGAGCAGAGGTCGCCAAGACAGCAGCAGACAGGATAGGAGAGATAGGACGTGCTTCGCTTCAGTCGAGTGTCTTGTCAGGCAAGTCGGACCGCTCGTCGACACGTTTAGACAGAGCATGAGGCGGAATGAGGAGGGAGTGGTACGTGGCGGGGCGACAGCGGCGGGACGGGCGGACAGCAACACCAGATCTTCCTGCCCAGGCCCGGGGAAGGCATCGTGCTCTCGTCTGGAATTATCGAGCGACGACTCGACGAGGATACGGAAAGTCTCCCAAGATGTCAGCAAGCTGCAAATGTGCTCTTCGCGGTTGGGCCACTTCACCCGCAAGTCGCTCAAGTCGTGTCAGATAGTCATTCTTCCCACAAGCGCGGCGCACTATTTCCTGGTCTCTCGGTAGGTGGGATGTTTCAAGTTCTATTGATGATGACAGCAGAAAGCTAGATCCAAGAGGAGTTGCCGTACTGGTGAGCAGGGGAGATCCGCGCAAGGAGCCTAAGTAGCGAAGGAAGGAAACCGGTCAGACCAAGGTGTCTCTCCCGCTCCCTGCACATTGCATTCATGCGCTCACCATGTAGTTCTCCTTCCAGCTGGTTTCGTGCCACAGTCACGACGCTTCCTCCTCTGAAATTCGTTACATCATATCAATTGCCATTTAGTGGGCGGACTGCTTCTTGGCTGTGGGAGGGAAGTATGACAAGGAGCTCGGGTAAGCATTCTTCCACTCTCAGTGCTGATCTTGATCGCTGCAATCCAGCAGCTTTCAAGTTCGAGATAGAGGAGCTCGCTGTGTTGAGGACGACGTAGACGATGCCAAGCCTTCGATGCCCACTCGGTACGAATGAGAATCTTCTCATCCTGCCCACCCCATGGGGCTTCTCCCACCTGCTCCTTCCGCTATCTGTGCAAACTCTCTCCGCCCATCTTCCTATACTCTCACTAGAGACTAATGACCCTGTCATGTCCCGGATCGCCGTTGCTGCTACTAACCATAGGGGTTTCTCGGGTCCTTCTTGAACTCGTCACTCTTGAGCATGGAGTTCTGCAGACTGTTCGTAGCCCAGAAGACGATGACAGCGCCAGCAATGAAGGGGCCAAGGGGCCTCAGGATCGGGGTGGGGTAGGCGCGGAATCCGAACATGTTTGCTGATCGAAAGGTCGAGTGTGTGGTAGAGTGGAGTGGAGTGGTGGTATGGGATCGGCGGGTGGAAGGACTTGAGACGGACGGAGCAGGTAGGGCCTCGGGCGGGCGGGTGGACGAGCTGGGGATGGAGACGGAGGAGCTGTCGCGCGCAGGACGGCTCCGATTCCGTTCCGGGAGCGCTGCCATCCGTTGTCGATTGCTACATTCGCAGCAGCAAAGAGCAATCGCAGATGGCGGAGGAAACTGCTCCGAGCTTTACGGAGACTCTAGAAGAGTAGAGACTCAAAGCAGTCAGCAAGCTGGCTAGCTGTCTCAGAGGTACGCTGCTGACGATGCAAATAGGCAAAGAGAGCCTGGATCGGCGGCGGTACACCGCGCCCGATCGCAGTCTTGAGGACACCTCAATGTGACAGCAAGGTCCAAGGGGCGCCGCACTAGCAATTCAGATGCAAGGAACGATAGTTGGCACTCTCGGTGCGTCGATGCCGCTCCCGGCGCATCGGTACGACCCGGTGCTGTGGGTCGGGTCGCGATGCAGGGGACGTTATTGTTCCATTGCGTCGTGCCTGCGCTTACACCAGTGTGGCGAAGAATTCAAAGGAAATTTGTATAAGAGTAGGGCACTCCTGGACGGATGTGATCACACAATTCAGCTTTTGAAACTTCATTCAGAGACCTTCAGTGCTACCTTATCCCTTGCCACTAAGCGTCATACGCATCGCCCAAGCAACTCATCTCCTCGTCGTCGCCGCTACAAATAGCCACACCATGCTCTTCCACGGCAAGTCTCTAGCTCTTCTGGCTTCATGCCTCGTCCTAGTCTTACTCTCTACTGCAGGAGAAAGCGGCGCGACGCCAGTGGTCGCCAAGGAACATTCCACTTCGCTCAAGGGTGCAAGCAAGTTGGGTGACTTCTCAAGTTGTGAGCTACAATACAATGATCAGCAGAGGAGGGCAAGATCCGATGGCTGACCGAAATGTATCCTTGATCTTACTTTCGCCCCTTTGCCAGTGTCGCTACACCGCTTCTGGGGTCCCAGCGTCGTCTGCCCTCACGTCAAGGACTGCGTTTAGTGCTTCATTCACGGCAGCAGGTGTATGTTGCTGGTCACTACCGGATTCCTGCGTCTCTAGAGCTCTTAAAATTGTCGTCACTGTCTTTGACAGACCGCCCTCGAATGCAATACAATCTACTACATCGTCACAATCCTTCAATCCTGGCTAGGAGACCTGTGACCGCTCTCTGGTAACGGGGTGGGGTCCCTTGCCCCTTCTGTGTCTCCGGAACGGAAGGAGACGATCATCCGTGAATTGCCCTGCTCTAACTCGTCTTGCATGACGTCTCGTAATGGTGTCGACGTCAATGGGTGCAATGGCAACGCAGTCTATCCGCCGGATGCGAGCCAGAGGGCGCTCCATCCTCGTCCGCGTCATTGCCGAGCTGTCACAACCAAATGCGACGGAAAGGGGTCCAAGGATGTGGTCAGGGGAGATGAGAGGGGAATGCGGATGACGCCAGGCGCGAGCGTGGGCTTGCTCCCCCGACGCTCATTTTCCATCGGCGGATCGGCTTTTCTTTGATCGCAGCGCAGCATGCAAGAGAAGTCTGGACAGTCTTCCCAGTCCAAGCCAAGCCAAGCCAAGCGTAGCCTAGCCTAAGCCTAGCGGAAGTCTGAAGGGCTCCTAGGAACGAGGGCAGGGCGAGGTGAGGCGAGGCGGCGGGCGGGGGCTTGGATGCCGAAGGTAGATGTTTGGGCAGCAGGGCATCCTCCCGCTCACTGTCTGTCTGTCTGTCTGTCCGTTCCCGCTGCCGTCGGAGAGAGCGGGAGATCCTGGTACCCTGGCTGGCTGGCTGGCTGGCTGGCCGGGTGCCTTGGCTGCTCCCCCCTGTCTTTGCCCGCTGGCCCAGCGCAGGTTTGTCAAAAGCCTGGAAGAATCAGAGAGCGGCGTTGCAACTCCGCCCTCCTGCGGGTGACGAGGCTGTCGGCATGGATGGGGCAGACTGTGCCCTTTTCCCAGACGCATGGCTGCTGCTGCACCACGCCCGCCTGCGTGTACACTGCCAGTGCGCCTCTGGACTCGTACGCTCCCTCGCCCTCTGCCCTCGGCCTCCATGGCCCGCCCGCCCGCCCCTGCCGCTGAGGGGAGCCAGCCAGCCAGCCAGCCCGCGTTGCCGCCCATCTGACTGACTTCTACTTGGTCGCCCCCCCCATCGCCGCCCGCTTTCTTTCTTCGATTCCAAACACAACTTCCGTCTTACTTGTACCTTGATCATCTCTCCTCTCTTCCTTTAGTCTCCAAACTACACATCAAGACCACCAGGTACATCTCCTCCTCACCCTCCTCCTCCTCCGTCTTCTTCACTCCATCGAGCACCGTCGTCTTCGTCGTCGTCAGTCCTCGTCTCTCCACTTCTTACTCACCGCACCTCTTCGGATCACTCTCCCATCTCACCCCTCACCCGCAAACCATCACAATGAAGTTCGCACTCGCACCTCTGGCCCTCGCCATGGTCATGGCTACTGCTGCCTTTGCCCAGGACACCTCCTCGTCTTCCTCGGCCACGGTCACTTCTGCCTCCTCCACTAGCAGCAGCGCCTCTGCCATGGCCACCAGTGCTGCTGAAGACTCGTCGTCGTCGGTCTGCGCTCTGCTCCCCGGTTACGCAGAGGGAGACCCGCAGCAACCTGACTACGGCTGCACTTACTCGAGCACCTCTACCCCTACTTATGACTCTGTGTCCCTCGCTGTGAGTATCCGCTATCTCTGGAGATGGGGGCAGGGTTGAAACGGGTGGGGCAAGGGCAAGCGAAGGGCAGGATTGCAGTCTTGCACCCGATTCGACATCCTTCCATCTAGGGCAGACAGTGGCCGCGGCGAATGAGGTTTCGGGTGAAGGAATTTAGACAGTTTGCAACAATTGCTGACAGCTGCTAATCTCTTGCCGCTTTTTTCCCACAGTCGTACCTGATTGGAAAGTACAGGCCAGGCAAGGAGGGTTACGATGTCACCGAGGTCGCTTCTGAGCTCGCCGAGTCGGCCGTCGGATACTACCCCACTCTGACCCAGAACTTCGACGCTATCCGTGACGTGAGTGTCTAAATGCAGAAACAGCGTAGATTCTCTGCCTGTGCAATTTGCTGATCAATACCTCGCTCCTTTGTTTCTCACCGCAACAGCAATACGCCGCTGCCATCACTGCTTCCATCTCGTCGCTGGAGGCGGAGGGTGCCTCGCACGCTGACAACGCCATGGGTGTCCGCTCCAACAAGATCCTCGCCTTTGCTGGTGCCGCCGCCGCCGTCGTTGCTGGTGGTGCTTTCATGCTCTAAGCGCGCAAAGTAAGGTGTGCAGTGCAGCAGCTGTTAGGGCGGTATTCGACGGCAGATGGACGGAGCTCGGAATCGGGATCTCTTTTGGGATTGAAGCAACGTGGAGGCAGCAGTGATACGTCTCGGAACGGTACGGCTCGTAGGGACGTCTTTACGATGCTCATACAACGCCCAACCTACCTCCTCAAGCGCTCCTCGTCTTCCTGAAGATTCCATCCCCCCCTGTCCTCTAGACGCACGACCATCTCGTCCAGCAGTCAGCCAAGCACGGTCCCTTATCTCTCCCACACACACACACTCACACTCACGCACTCTCATATTTCACTAGACGCTCCAACTTCCTTCACTGCCTTATGTCTTCTTCTTCTCTTTTGCTCTTGTCCCCCCCAATCTTTCGGTCCGCTTCGATCCGAGTATTGTTATCTTCGTATTCGCACCAAATCCGCTTTTCCGGCCTTTTCCGGCTTCCGGCTTCCTGAGCCAATGGATGGTTATGCAATAGGTTCTCTTTCCCAAGTTGACGATTTTGGCTGTTTGATTGATTGATTGAGTGAGTGAGTGAGTGACTGGACTAGACTGTTTCGCCAGAGAATGAAGGGGGCATTTTGAGAAGGGAGCGCTCCCTGAGTGTATGGAGCCCATCGCCCGAGACGAACAGAGCGAGCAGAGCAACGCATCGCATCGCATCGCATCGCATCGCTGAGTGAAGCATGTGTGCAAGTATGAATGTGCTTATTGGTGCGCAGAGCTTCCGCCCCCACTGCTTGGTATTGTATGCACAGGAGCGAGAAGGAAGAGGGGCAGCACTTGTACAGAAAGGGAAGGCCAACCAGGCCAGGTTGATTCGGATACTATATACATCACGTCACGTAGCGGGAGACTGTAGATCGATCACGACGACGACGACGATGACTGCTCCAGGGTGAGCTGCCTCTCGCCTCAATTTTCACACTATCACTTCATAGACGCACTGCTCGCAGGCGAGGCACCAGCAGCAGCGGGCGCAGCAGGGGGTATCCCTTCATCGATATCCACCCAGTCATAAAGAACCAGTGCGTCCGCCAACTTCCGATCCCAGCCATGGTCCACGGTGGCTTTTGGTGTGGTGCTTGTGCTTGCCCCCGCGCCTGTGTCGTCTGGGCTTGTGCTAGCGCTAGTGCCAGCGTAGACATCGACATTGCCGGTACTAGCAACAATCTCCTCCACCAGCGAGCGGACTGTGCGCAGACCTTTAAGAACTCCTTGGTCCGGGCCCGAGTCTGAAGCCGTACCCGAATTCTCATTGCTGTCTACTGCACCAGATGAGCCTGCAAACCCAGATGCTCCAGGAGACACAAAGCGCGAGTGGGCAAAATCGATCAAGTGCAAGCTGATCGGTTGCGGGCTGGCCCCTCCCCCTCCCCCTGCCTCAGCAGTACTCCCCCGCTTGAGGCGCATCAGCTCCTCCAACCTAGTCTCGTCCCCCTCCCATACCACGAGCAGACTACCGCCGCGCATCCTCAGATTCAGCTGAGAGAAGGCGGATGTGAGCTCCTGCAGTGGGGGGAGGAGATGCTCTGCTAGGAGAATTTGTACGAGAGGGGTAGAGAGGTGAGGTGCGGAATGGCGGTACGGAGCGGTGGAAGGGGTGTCGCTGCCGTTTGAGGTGCTGAGTGGCTGTCTCTCCTCGCCTGTTTGAGGAGCAGAGCTCGGGACACTTGGTGGTCCAGGTAGCCCACACTCTTTCATGATCTGCTCAAAGGCCTGAGCTTGATTCTCTGCTCCAGTTCCGGCTTTGGAGGCTTTGCTGTTGGACTGCAGCTGACCGAAGAAGGCTCGCATGCCCAGTGAAAGCTGCTCAGGCTTGATAGATTTCCCAAAGACCTTCGGAACAATGTGGTACTCCTGGTTGATTGGGTCCCACGTCTATGTGCACCAAAAGGGCAGATTGTCAGCGACCGTTCCCCGACCGACGTCCGAACGCAAAGACCTACTCACCCGCCATCCCGTCAATCTAACGCCCGTAGATCCACTCGTCGTCTCCCTGCTGACTTTGTCCATTCTCCGTCGCTTCTCCTCACTGGAGTCTTCGTCCCAGAGCTGTGTGCCCAGCTTGATGTCCATGACATTCGGACGTCGATAGCCCGCCAAGAGATCCTCGCACACGACCGAGGTCTCCTTCGACGCAGTGTCATCCGAGAGGGAGAAAGAGCCGTAGTACTTGGGCGTGAATCTCTGCGCGAAGCTTTGACGGCGGGAGGAAGCTTGCTGGCTCTCATTTGCGAGCGGCTCGGGAGAATTGAGGTCTTCATAGAATTGGGCCTCGGACTTGATGCTTTTCTTGGCCACCAAGGCTTCACCGTTGGGACCCTCAAATGTCCCTACTGCTCCTGCGTGACCTGCAACTTGTCCTGCCGAAGGGGCCAGGACTTGTTGCTTGAGCCACTCTGGCGTGATAGCCTGCATCTCACCAGTGCGAGGGGTCAAGAGCTGCGTCGACGCGGGGTCTACCCATTCGGGACCGAGCCACAGAGAGGAATCTTTTGGCTTGGAGAGGATGATTAACGGCCGTTGTCCTCCGCTCTTGTCTGCAGGTGCATCGGGTCCCGGTACACTCTGTGCCAGTCTCTCCGGCGCACCAAACCCTGCTTCAATATGACCGAGCCCCGCCACCACCAATACAATGTTGCGGTGCTCCACTTCTGCATCTTCTGCTTGAGCCGAAGAGCTCTGATCCCTTATGCTGTCGCTAGTCGTCCTCGCTAGCAGATGGCCTTCCTCGACAAGACTGCTAGCAGCGTGCGCGAGATAGGAATCCTTCAGAGCCTGAGCGGGTGAGAAGCCTTTGCTCTCGGCCTTGGGACCTTGGAGCTCTTGAGTTGGGTATAAGCGCAGTGCACTGATGGCTCCGAGTGGCACGCCGGGCGAGGGCGTCGAGGGAAAGCGAGGAGGACCGTCTGGCCTCATCAAGGAGGACAAGAATGTCCGATGGGAAGATGACAGCTGCTGCACTCGGTCCCAGGACATGAATGTAGGGAGAGAGAGCCGACCGGGTGCAGGGAGGAAAGGCAAAGGGCTAGGCTGAGGAGGACCAATCGTACCTGCTGACGCCTTCTCGTCTCTTGTCACCTCTTCTCCAACGCGAGCAGTGACTAGAGGTCTCCGCGTCGGATCAGCCTGAGTGTCACTCTTACGCTGCTGCTCCAGCCCCTTGACCTTCTCGACTCCTTCTTTGACCATCTCCCTTGCCCATGTCCTAGGTGGGAATCCTCCCCAAATGGTAGCTCCCCTCTCCCTGGCCAGCAGCAGGAGGGGTGCGTACATTTCGATCTTGAATCCTTCGTTGGACCTCTCCCTATATGCTGAGCAGAGCTCTGATATAGACAGCGTACCTGCATGGAAGCGATCCAGAAGTGGTTGGTCTGCGTAGGAGAAGTGCTCCATGAGGAGGTGAAGATGATGGACAGTCCTCTTGTCGGCGTGTGGTGCCTGAGATGAGTCCTTGTCTAGCTCATCTCTCTGATCTGCCAGAGCTGCCAGGAGCTGAATCTGAGCGCGTATGACATGTGGCTGGTGATGTTGTTCTCCAAAGAAGACCAAGGAGGGGCGCGAGGAGAGGAGGTTGGCAAAGGAAGAGGTAAAGCTCTCCTTTGGAGCCGAGGAGAGGTGGTCTTGCCACGAGGTGGGCTGTGGAGCTTTGCTAGCAGAGGCGAAGGCTGTATCTGACCTTGAGGAAGCAGCTGCTTGCTCTTGATGTGGTGATGGTATTAAGTCTGGAGGGAAGCACGTCTGGCGAAATTTGGGTATCCATGCAGTGTCGGTGAGGATGAGAGGCGGCTTGAGTTTGCCCAGAAGCTGAGAGATGAGGGGTGTGGAGGAGGCGGAGGAAGCGGCGCCTGATGCCATGACTGCGCGTGGCGTTGATTGTCCTTCTTCGTCCGTTGCTGCTTGACGACCCTGGCCTGACCTACCTGTCATGTTCAGACAATGGAGAGGATGAGGAGGACGAGTAGGAGGACCAGGATGTACTTGACTGAACATGGCTGCGTCCATCGTCCGAGCAACGGAAAGGGCGCTTCTCCCAGGTCCGGGCTCAAGCCACGACGCTTTGGCCACCATTGCGCGGCGCGGTGACGAAGCCTCGGACGGACAGACACTGACAGGCACAGACGTACGTACGACGGACGACGGCGGGGGCACCTCATCCTTCCTACGCCCACGGCAGACTAGTACGCCTCACCGTAGCTTCATTACCTTCGTATATCTTTCCCCCCTCCCACCATGTCACGCTCATACGATCGAGCTCTGACAGTCTTCTCGCCAGATGGACATCTCTTCCAGGTAGAATATGCACTCGAGGCAGTCAGAAAGGGAACTTGTGCCGTGAGTAGCAGGTGCTACCCATCGTTCAATCGTAAGCTCGCCATGATTAACAGCAGCTGAACTCACCTGTGTTGCTCCACAGGTCGGCGTGCGAGGCAAAGACTGCGTGGTGTTGGGCGTAGAGAAGAAGTCGGTGTTGCAATTGCAGGATGCCAGGACAATCAGGAAGACGGCCATGCTGGATAATCACGTCTGTCTCGCATTTGCTGGTGAGTGGATAGCGGTAGCGGTATCGCTTACACGAATGGAAGCTGATCCATTGCCTCACTGTCTTCTCGCAGGTCTCACTGCCGATGCCCGTATCCTGATTGACAAGGCAAGAGTCGAGTGTCAGTCCCACCGTCTACGAGTAGAGGACCCCGTCACTCTCGACTATATCACTCGCCACATTGCCGGCATTCAACAACGCTACACCCAATCCGGTGGTGTCCGTCCCTTTGGAATCTCCACTCTGATCATCGGATTCGATCAGAACGAAGACGATAGGCCTAGACTCTACATGACGGAACCTTCAGGGATGTTTAGCGCTTGGAAGGCGAATGCCATTGGAAGGAGTAGCAAGACGGTCAGGGAGTTCCTGGAGAAGAATTATACAGAGGGGATCAGCAGGGAGGATACGATCAAATTGACCATCAAGAGCTTGTTGGAGGTGGTGCAGACTGGAGCAAAGAGTGAGTGGAAGCGAGGTCCAACAAAGGTGGCGCGAGCAGCCTCGCCCTCCCAGGTCGTGAGCTAATCCACTCACCTGCTTTTCCTCTACCCGCCCAGACATCGAGATTGCAGTGATGGATGGACATGGCAAGATGAAGGTGAGTGACAGGGCGTCAGCCTCTCAGAGGATGCCTCGCTCCCTGCACAGCTCAGCTCACACATCCACATCATCTTCCCAACGCTCTCGTTCAGACTCTCGACCTAGCACAAATTGAAGAAGTGGTCAAGACGATCGAGCAAGAAAAGGAGGCAGAGGCAGAGAGAAGGAGGGGCAGGTTGGCGGCACAGGCCAGCATGCAGGACACAATGGGCGGTGTTGGATCTTCGTAGACAGGGTGATTGGATACCTCTTGTCAGACGGCGCTTTCAATACGAGCCAATATCAGAGACAAGCGGAAGACACAGACGGTCTGAAGTTTCGAGTGAAGGAAGGGTATTGCTGCAAAACCACAATGATGCTACATGCTGAGTTGCCTCGAACCAGGCACGCTCGAGGAGTGCTGTCTTCCCCTCTGACCCTCCAAGCCCACTCATCCTCCCTCCCTCAGTGGCTCGTCTGCTTCTGCTTGTTCATCGCCACGATGAGCTGCTTGTACGCTGTGACGCTCCCCGAGAACTTCTCGACTTTACCTCCATCCACGACCCAAAGTTCGCTAGCTACATTCTCTACGAATCTCGTGTCGTGGGAAATGGTGATCACTCCACCATTCCAGGCTTTGATAGCCGCCATAAGCGCATCGAGACCTTCGATGTCTAGATGGTTGGTGGGCTCATCTAGGAGGAGAACGTGCGGACGCATCATACTGATCTGCGCAAATGCTACGCGGCTCTTTTGACCACCAGAAAGAGTGGCAATCTTTTGCAGACCAGTAAGACCAGTGATTCCAAATGCACCGAGGTGGGCGCGATACTCCTGCTCTGTCCTACCGGGAAAGCGGGCCATTAGGAATCCCACGGGTGAAGCGTTGAGGTCGAGCATGTCCAGATGGTGTTGGGTGAAGAGACCAACACGGAGCTTGCCGTTGCGCTTTTGCTCGCCCTTGAGAGGCTTGAGGTCTCCGAATAGAAGCTTCAGCATGGTTGATTTGCCTGCACCATTCGAACCTACTACGGCGATGCGCGAGTCCATGGTCACTCCAATGTTGACGTCCCGCAGCAGAAGCTTCTCGGGTGTGTACCCAAAGTCGACTTCGTCCAAGAGGAGCAAGGGCGGAGCGAGCTTTTCTGTCTCTGGTAGACGGAAAGTCACACTGTCCTCCTTCTCCGGAGGCTCCACCACGGGGAGCTTTTCCAATTCCTTGATCTTACTCTGAGCCTGGGCTGCGCGATTAGCATTCACCCTCCAACGGTCGATGAAGGCCTGAAGATGGTCCCGCTTGAGCACATAGGCTTCGTACTCTCGCTGCTGGTTCTTGCGACGCTCGATGCGCGTCTCGTAGAATTGGGCAAAGTTGCCCTTGTAGTAGTCTAGACGCTCAGAGTGCTGGTGAATGATGTCCGTAGCCACGGCGTTCAGGAAGGCTCGGTCGTGGGAAACGACCAGCAGGCTGGAAGTCCAGTTGTTCACCAGGTAGTCTTCCAGCCAGGCAATGGCGTTCAAGTCCAAGTTGTTGGAAGGCTCATCGAGGAGGAGAAGGTCGGGCTTGCAGAAGAGGGCTCGGGCAAGAGCCAGACGCATTCGCCAACCACCAGAGAAGCTCTTTGTTGGCCTCATCTGGTCGGCTGCGACAATGCCCAGACCATCCAGTAGAGCGGCAGCTCTCGAGGGTCCAGTATCGGCCTCCATCTCGATCAATTGCGCTTGCAGATCACCCAGCCTGGCCGACAGCTCATCTTTCTGGATTTCCATCTGACGAGTGTGAATGTCTCCCGCTGATCCCTTGGACAGATCGTTGTTGGCATCTGTTGTAGAGGCTTTTGATTCCGCCTTGGCTGCCTGAGCGGCGTCTGCAAGCTTCTTCTCGAGCGTCTCGAGTTTGGCATTCACTTCCCTCTCCTCCCTCATCAGCCTCTCCCTCCACACGTCCGCCTTCAGTACAGCCTCCAGTGCGGGTGTATCATCTCCAACCATTTCCTGCTCGACATAAAGCATAGAGATGTGTTTCGGGACCGGGATGTCACGCAGAGCCAAATGGCGCAGCAGGGTGGACTTGCCCACACCGTTTCGACCAATGAGACCGTATCGCCGACCAGATGCGATGTTGAGAGTTGCCGATGTCAAGATGCGATTCGAGCCGAAATTGAGCTGACAGAGCAAAGAGATGGGTAAAGCAGGTCAGTTTCAAGGGTCAGGGATGCCAGTACTCTCGGTCTGCACATACTCACATCGATGCCTGGCAAGTGAATATCCTTGTTCTTTCCCTTTGACCCCACCGTCTCAAGTGTATTGACAGTGGTGAACATCTCCTCATAGTTGGCCAGCTCCTGTGCCCTCTTTGCCTGCTCGACGACATTGGAACTCTCGTAGAGATCCCTCTGTGCACGCTTCTGCAGCTTTGCCCTAGTCTTCGCCTCTTGCTTCTCCAGCTTCTTGACGTCGATGGTGGTGGCCCTGGCTACTGATCCCGTTGCAAGGTCGATAATGCCTCCTCCACCGCCAGTGAGGACATTTGTGCCACGGGTGTTGAGAGCCCCGATCTTCCTCATCTCCACTACCTTCTCGAGTCTGAGCGGTCCCGACTTTCCCTCGCCACTGTCCACATCCTCGTTTGTCTCTGGAAGGAGCTTCTGAATCTCATCGAGCACTGCATGCACCCTCTTTGCGGCATCCTGGGGCGACTCAGAGGTGGACTGGAGGTACGAGGAGAGGAGAGAGGAGACGGTCTCGAGGATGAGGGGATTGGGGTCCAGGTGGGACTCTGGGTCATCGATGTACCCGGCCAGGTAGGAGAGGATGGGCGGGTCGATGTTGGGGAGGTTCTTGGTGAGCACCTCGGTCGCCATGATGGGCAAGGATGTGCAGTGGCACAGTGGCAAGGACCTGAGTGTTCTGCGTGAATGAGGCAGGTGAGAAGGTATTGCCCGTAGGGAATCCACTTGGCTGTATGCCCACTGCAGAGGCCACAAAATTGGCTACCAGCACTCCCGCCCCGCCCCGCTCCTTCCGGCCCGGCGTGCGCAGACGGACAACGAAGGCGACTTTTGCTCCTCGCAGCCGCGGCCCGGCGCCATTTCCCCCTTTGCTGCCTTTACCAAATCACCATCCTCCTCACCACCACCTCCATCGCCCAAAGTCTACAAGCACAGGACTGGAAAGCATAAACAAGAGAGCCCAAGTAGACTACTTCACCCCTCTCAGCTGCCGCTAAAGCCTTGAAGAGCCCAGACAGGCCTTCCCCTCTCACCTCTCGCGCCGATCCCGCTCGAGTCATACTGCACCCACAGGAGAACCAAATCACCCCCGAACACCAGAGGAACTCACATCGCAACCTGTTCATGTCCTCGTGTCCTCAACATCACCTCTCTCGATCAATCTCGTCATCATTGTCGTCATTATCATACACCACACTTGCCGTGAGCTACTCACGCAGACCTAAACCCCCGTTTCATCAAGAGACTCCTTCTGGATAGAAAGCTACAAGGCTGTGCACACTCTGCTCAACCCCACCTACTCAGCATTACACAACACCACGACGGAAGACGCCCATCATTTCGTCTCACACACAATTACATCTGCTTCCCGCCACGAGCTATCTGATAGCACGCCCACACCATCGCAGTGTGACCTGACCTCCTCAGCTGACCCAAGTGCATCCGCTTCAGAAGATTCGCCCAACATGGCTGTCGTAAACATCCGACGAGACGTCGACGACAAGTACTACCGCTACCGCATGCCCCTCCTTCAGACCAAGATCGAGGGAAGAGGTAACGGCATCAAGACGGTCGTGCCCAACATGTCCGACATCGCCCGCGCCCTGAGTCGACCTCCTACCTACCCGACCAAGTTCTTCGGCTTTGAGCTCGGTGCCCAAACGACCTTGGACGAAAAGAATGATCGCTACATCATCAACGGAGCTCACCAAGCTGATCAGCTCCGCACCCTTCTTGACGACTTCATTGACAAGTTTGTTCTCTGTGGCGATTGCAAGAACCCAGAGACAGACCTCAAGGTGCCTAAAGATGGCAGCAAGATCATGAGGGATTGCAAGGCCTGTGGCAAGCGAAGCCCCGTCAACATGGCTCACAAGCTGACCACCTACATTTCCAAGAACCCACCACCCAAGAAGGTCAAGGGTGCCAAAGGCGCCGGCAAGTCCGCTGGGCAGAGTGTTCAGGAAGGAGATGGAGGAGGCAGCGACGACGAATTGACAGCCAAGATCAATGCTGAGGCTGCGAACATTCCCACTGCGGAGCAGCACGCCAAGAGCTCTGCTGGTGATAACGAAGGCTGGTCAGTCGACACCTCTGAAGCCGCCGTCAAGGCTCGGGTCAAGGCACTGGAGGGAGGTCTTCAATCTGGTCTCACTCTCGGCGACGACGACGACGAGGATGAGGATGCCGACTCTCCTTACAATCAATATGGTCTTTGGCTCCTCGAGAACCACGAAGCTTCGGCTGCCGAAGTGTACAAGAAGGCTCAGGAGCTGGGCATCGAGAAGAAGCACAAGGCTGTTCAGGTCCTTGTCCAGGGTCTTTTCACCGCCAATGCCGAGAAGGAAGTCGAAAAGTATGCTCCAGTCCTGGCCAAGATGATCACTAGCGAGAAGCACCAGAAGTCTCTTCTCGGAGGTGTTGAGCGTCTGGCTGGTGTCCAGGAGCCTACGCTGATCCCCACTGGCGTGCCCAAGCTTCTCATGGCGCTTTACCAGATCGACGTCTTGGACGAGGATGTGGTCAAGGACTGGGGTGGCAAAGTGAGCAAGAAGTACGTGGACAAGGAGACGAGCAAAAAGGTGCGCAAGAGCGCCAAGCCCTTCTTGGACTGGCTGGAGGAGGAGGACGACGATGATTCTGAAGAGGAAGACTCGGAGGAAGAGGACGCCGGCAAGAAGACCAATGGCAAGAAGGCGGCATCTGAAGAGGAAGAGAACGAGGAGGACTACGATGACCTCTGAAAAGGCTTCGTACGCCGCCTTCCCCTCGCTTCCTCTGCGAATCTCTGCAAGCATAGCCGAAAGAGACCTTTTTCTTTGGCAAGTCGTCGTTGTACTTTTCCCCTCTCATTAGTCCCACATGGCCGTGACATTCTTATTTCGCGCACCTTCATTCTTGTGATATATGACTCATTCTCACCGCTCCAATCAATGGAAACAGAATTCTCCCTTGAACGGAACCGAGTCTGCGCCACACTTTGTCATTTCCGTCATTCGGCGCAAGAATGTAGTGACTGTACCACTGATGTTTGTCGTCGTCGTCGTCGTCGTCGTCGTCTCTGGCTCTGGCTCTGGCTCTGGCTCTGGCTGAAAGGGGGAACAGGGCAAGGCGGGGGGTCAAAATCGCGGAATGAAGGGGCGCACTACCCTCCGAATCGTTGGGCGTCGGCTTCACACAATGTCACAGAGGCTTTTCGATGCGTGTGGCGGAGGTGGGGAGCGGAGTATGGATTGCGGGCAATGGTGAGAGCAAAGCAGAAGGCGAGGCAGGCAGGCACAGAGCCACACCAGCCGGGGCGGACGACGACGAGGCCTTTAGTGGTAAACGCACACACACGCACAGGCGGACGGCGGATTCTGTACCACTCACCACCACACGCAGGGCGCACTGCTCCCCTCCCCTCCCCCCCCCTTTGGCCCCTTCACCCCACCTCGTCCACTGGACTACCACCATCGTCATACTCGCACATCCTCGACCATCATACCCGTCACTGGACACTCATACCATTCACTACAGTCACACCCTCAGTACCCACCCCTTGCCTCGTCGCACTTCCGCCTCAACCCCTCGTCTCCTCTAGACTTGCGCACGATCACCTCGCCTCGTCCCACTCCACTACACCATCAGCAGCATTTACTCAGGGGTACACACTCACGGGCACTGCCAGCCGCCCTCTACCGCCGCCGTTCGGCAAGTAGAAGGTCGCATCACAGTCTACCTTCAACGTCGCATCGACTCCACTTTACGCGACAGCAATGGACGGAGCTCGTCCCACGACTGCCTCACGAGGCAGGCGACCCATGACCGGAGCTCAGTCTCGACCCTTTACAGGCAGACCTGGTACAGCCGTCAATGGAGGAGGCGGCAGCGGCAGACCTGTGACTCGAGGTGCGGGTGCGGGAGCTCAAGAGCAGGGCAATGCCGAGGAGCATCATTGGCAGGCAGAACACTCTACTGCAGGTGCAGGCGGAGGACATCAGGGGGAGTGGAATCCGGCCTACCAACCTCAAGAGGGACATCAGGAGGAAGAAGAAGACTATTATGAGAGTGAAGACGAGGACGTCTTTGCTTTCCTGCCTCGTGAGTAGGGGATGCAGAGGGTATGGTCAGGGAAGATAGAAGTCAGCAGCTCACCTTCCTCTCCTGATCCCACGTACAGCTGATCTGGGACCTGCACCAGCCATTGTCACCTCCAATGACCCTCAGCCGTTTGCAGACGCATCGACACATCGCACGCTTGAAGAGCAGCCTGCTGCTGGTAGCGCTGCTCCACCTTCTGCAAGCCAATCAGAAGATCCGGCCTATTACTTCGATGAGACCACAGGGGCGGTGTACGACAGTCAGGGTCGCTTGGTCCAGCTACCATCAGGATTCGACCCCAGCCAAGCAAGAGGCTACACTCCTACCACTTCGCAGAATCCTGCGCTGGCCACTGGTCAATATATGGAGCCGCAAATGCCGCCCCCAGCCGCCGGCTCTTCGCATGCCGTCCGTATTTCTCTAGATCGCAAGTCTTCCAATACCTCGAGCTATGCTCGACCCGAGTTCTCTCAGGTAAATAGCTTCAACTCATACCCACCCCCTCCTCGCAATCTCCTCGATGATGTTGAGCACTTGAGGAGTCGCGAGGGCCGGCGCCCCTCTGGTACTGGGCACTCCCATCGCGACATTGGCTTCTCTGCTTCGGGTGTCCCGATGACTGATGGACCCAGCGGCACCTCGATTCTGAGACAGAGGACCAATCGTCTCGGCTCAGAAGGAGCTGCTGGAGCAGGCTTTAGTCCGACTGCCAGCAGCATCAAGCTTGGCATGGATCCCAAATTCGACCGCTACTCTTCCGATCTTGGGCCAGGGCTTGAGAACGCACACGAAATTGACGTGGGTATGGACACTCACGTCATTGGGCCTAGAGGTATCAAGATGGTCGAGCTAGAGCCTGAGGGAGATGAAGACTCGCCATACCCCGAGGTTCGAGCTTCGGTATCCAATGTAGACGATACGGACATTCCAGCCAATACGGTCAGGATGTGGGTCTTGGGCATTGTGCTCATGACCCTCGCTACGGCCATCAACGACATCCTCTCCCTTCGATACCCTGCTCCTACGCTTACAGCATTGCTGCTCGAAGTCATTGCTTACCCACTGGGCAAGCTGCTAGCTGCTATCCTGCCTATGCGCACATTCACCTCGCCTCGATGGCTCGGCGGCTTCCAATGGTCTCTCAACCCAGGCATGTTCAACATCAAGGAGCACACTGCCATTGTACTCATGGCAAATATTGCTCTCGTCCCCGCATACGCCCTGAACACTATCCTGGCGCTCGACTCTGATTACTTTTACAGTAATCCCAAACCTCTTGGCTGGTCTGTCCTTCTCGTCATGTCGTCTCAGATGATTGGATTTGGTCTAGCAGGACTTACCAGGCGATTCCTCGTGACGCCTGGCTCCATGATCTGGCCTCAGGTCCTCGTCTTTGCTTCGGTCTTCAACATGCTGCACGCAGAAGAGGACTCTGTCTACGACCAGTCGATCTCGCGCTTCAGGTACTTCATCTACGTCTCAGTCGGCGCTTTCCTCTGGTGGTTCTTCCCCGGTTACATCTTCACGGCGCTGAGCAGCTTTAGCTTCATCTGTTGGATCTGGCCGAACAACGAAGTCGTCAACACACTCTTTGGTACTGCCACTGGTATCGGGATGAGCTTCCTGACCTTTGACTGGCAGACCATCAGCTATCTCATGAGCCCGCTGGTGGTGCCCTGGTGGGCTCAGTGCAACATCTTCGCCGGCTCGGTCATCTTCCTCTGGATCCTGGCTCCAGCATTGTGGTTTTCAAACGTTCTCAACTTTGGCTACATGCCCTTCAATTCCTCTGGTGCATTCGATCGCTTCGGAGAGACCTACAATGTCACTGCCGTACTGGATGGGAATCGCAGGTGGGACGAACAGGCCTACGCTTCCTACTCGCGACTGTACTTTGGCACAACTTACTTCATCGTCTACTGGTGCGGATTTGCGACTTTCACGTGTATCTTGGTACACACGGGTCTACACCACGGCAAGGCCATTTGGAGGGGAATTAGGGGTATCAAGACGGAGGAGGACGATGTTCATGCCAAGTTGATGGGAAAGTACCGAGATCATCCCGACTGGTGGTACGGGGCGGTATTCGTCTTTGCAGTCGTCATTGGTATCGTCTGCGCTGAAGTCTACGACACTGGTCTGCCCATCTGGGGCTTCCTGGTGTCTATCTTCATCCCTCTCATCTACTTCCTGCCGTCGGGGTTCATCTACGCGCAGACGTCGCAAACCATCGGTGTCAACCTGATCTCGGAGTTCATCGCCGGTTATGCCTTCCCGGGTCAAGCATTGCCGAACATGATGATCAAGCTGTACTCGCAAGTGGGTCTCACTCAAGGTCTCACCTACGCCCAGGGATTCAAGCTAGCTCACTACATGAAATTGTCACCAAGGATGGCCTTCTCGGTGTCCTTCGTTGCCGCCGTCTGGTCCTCGATTGTGCACGTCTTTGTGAACTTGTTCATGAGGACCCACGTCAGTGACATTTGCTCGCCGATGCAAGCAAACTCCTTCGAGTGCCCCTCTGCCTCCGTCTACTACACTTCGAGCATCATCTGGGGTATCATCGGTCCCGAAAGAATGTTCGCAAACGGATCCTACTACTCCTCGGCCTACTGGGCCATGCTCATCGGTGCACTCACGCCCATCCCCGTCTTCCTGCTGGCAAGGAGATTCCCTTCGTCAGTTCTCAAAATCGTCAGCACCCCACTGCTCTTCGCAGCCACCTCCGTCAGCCCTCCTGCATCGGGAATCGTAATCTCCTCGTGGTTCCTCCTGGGTTACATCTTCCAGTGTGTGATCCGAAAGAGGAACTTCCGATGGTGGACTCGATACAACTTTGTCACCAGCGCCGCAATGGATACAGGAACCATTATCACCTCGCTGGTCATCTTCCTCTGCTTGGTCCTGCCCAAAGGGGGAACAATCAGCTTGAATTGGTGGGGAAATTCGATTACGGGAAATACCCTTGATGGGCAAGGGCTGTCGAGGTTGACGCCGCCCACGGATGGGTTCGCACCTGCGCCGAGTGCTATTCCAGGGGCAGTCTGAGTTGGCGAGGCGAGGTAGAGGCGAGGTAGACAGTTGACCAGTGATCAGGAGCACCAAGTGAAAGACGATCTCGAATACGCAGCTGGGCTCGACGCTTTGTGGAGCCCGCCTCCCTGGCCCCTTGGACCCTCATTCATACCCGCCTCCTGTTCGCCTCGCGATTCGATGGATTGTGCTTGGGTCCCGCTATACTCCTCCCTACTGGCTTTCGTGCCGCTCTTCCTCTTCTCCCCCCCTTCGACTGCCAACCGTGACCCCGAGGGTGACCCCCCAAATAAGTCTGTCGCCATTGCCGATGCAACTCCCCTCTTACCTTCCTTTAGATAGTCACAGTCACCTGTCTTCTTTTACTTGTTCATTTTCTTCTTCTCTTGTTTTGTGTTTGTTGTGCTTCTTTGCTGGGCTAGTCGATTCTCTGTTCCCTTGTTTCCTGTCCATGTCCAAGTCCACCTTCATGTCCACGACCACGACCATGTCCATGTTCCGTTTTAATACAGTGTCTCTTCCTTTTCAGCTCAGCTCAGCTCAGCTCTTGACGGGACGGAACGGGACGGGGGCGGGGGCGTGGCAGGCCTCACTGAACGGACAGTCGATAGGAAGCAGCGGTACTGTATTACGTTCCCAGGTCAGAGCAAAACCAACTTGAAGTAGGGCGATAGGTCGGTCGATCCGTCGCTCGCTCGCTCGGTCGCTTGGTCGGTCGGTTGGTGGGACGGGATTGCGCCGTCAGGCACCAGGCACAAGGCACAAGGCACGCCGAGGCACGCTGCACGATGCACGAGGCACGATGGGCGACGCTTCAGCTTCGGATTTTGCGGATCCAAATACACGCGCTGGCTGGACGGCTGGACGGCTGGATATGAGGATCGAGGGTGGAGGGTTTGAGGAATCCTGCTAGACGCGAGATGCTGAGGGAGATTCAGGGCCAGGGACAGGATCGAGGGCAGGGCGAGGCGAGGTATGATTTCGGGATTGGCTGGTTGATTGGTGTTTGGATGGACACAGCCCAGTCAGAGGGACGGAGGAGAAGTCTGGGTTTCGGAGATGGAGAGGTTGCCTTCGTATACCGTATACCGAAGTCGTGTAGCGTAGCGTAGCGTGCTGAGCTGTTGTCCGTTGTTGTACCACCAAGAAGCACCACCAACTACCTGCGCTTCCCCATCTGTCGCCAAGCCAGCGTACATCAAGTCTCCTCGCTACCCTTCCCACTCTCACTACCAGCACCTCCTCCTCTGAAAGCAAGCCTCCCATGTCCCACCTCTCCCCCATCGGCACCGCCGTCCTGACCGTCTTCCTCATAATGGCCCTCGTCTGCCCTTTGATCCTCATCAAGTTTTGGGGTCCTAAACATGGTGCCTATGGTCGTCGAGGGAAGCGAGAGTGGGATGATGATGATCAGTATGATCGTCGAAGGAGGAAGAAGAGGGGGACGAGTGCGGGTCCAGGAAGTAAGAAGAGGAGGAAGAGGGGGATGATGAGAGAAGAGGAGCGACGCATGGAGGAGGGAGAAGTGGGGAATGAATTGCACATGCGATATAGACCCGAAGGGGATTGGACTTCTTCCACCTCTCCTACTCCTCTCCCTCAAGCAGGCCAGATGTATGCTGGAGCTTACGGACTTCCTCCACCAGGAAACGGACACGGACACGGACACGGACACGGGACTGCTCTCCCGCTAGGAAGGAGCGAGGACAATCGCGGCAACTATACCGCCTTGCCCACAGGTAGCGGTACGACTCCCGGCACGCCCCCTCCAGCTACACCTGCACCGCGCTACACACCAGGCGGGTACCGAGCTCCTTCCTCACAGCCGCACACGCCAAGTGGGCTGAGGTGCGCTTCCCTGCCCCACCTGGCGGAGGAGGAGGAGCACGCACTAGGGGCAGCAGGAGCAGGAAGCGCCTACGCCCCAATCCCGCGGACCGCTCCGTACGTGCCTCCCAGCGGTGGTGCGGGCCAGCAGAGCTCTCGCCCTACCTCCCCAGCAGGTCAATCCCACTCCAGTTGGCTACGAAAGTCCTCAAATGCACTCGGACGACCACTGGAGCTGGTCATAGGGCCTGCACGCTCTCAAGGACGGGGGAGGAATGACAATCGGGCGGAGGGCGTGGAGGGTGGTGCTGCTGGTGGCGGAATTGGTGGGCAAGTGCAACAGTTGGGAGAATGGAAGAAGGGAGTGCCGTTGAGACCGCTGGAGGCGGTCATTGCACACCCGGAACGTGCTGGTGAGTGGGAGGAAGAGGCGGCGTCGATAGCCCTCAGGACCTTCTGACGGAACCTGCTCCGACTCCTCCTCATCTACAGGCGACGTAGAATATCTACCCCCACATACCAGCCAGACGCCCTTCATCCCACACTCGAACGATGGCAAGGCCAGCGGGAGCTACTTTGCTCTTCCCACCCTGCCCATCGCTCAACGCCTCATTGATCGGGATGCTAGACCGCAAGGAGGGCAACGATCGTCTCTTGCTCTCACTTCTACTGCTGATTCAGGTGCTGATACTGCTACAGATGCAGGAGCAGTGGCTAGAGGAGCTCCAGAGGGAGCTTGAATAAAAGTATCACCATTAGCAGCATTGTGTAACAAGCCCTCGTGCTCCACAGACAAGGCGCGTGGCGGAGTTGATGTGAGATGACTCGATTGGGGTCCCAGTATCGGGTGAAGTATAGTACAAGGTAGAGAGGCAGTGTAAATGTGAGAGTGCAGCAACGAACGCTATGAGCAGAGAGGCCTGCGCCGGGACGCGGTGACCCTGCTGCGAGAGCCTGAGCAAGCGTACGCCCAGAAAAGCTTTGAGCGGAGAGGCATGCTTCCTTACATGTCCATGCTCCTATAGAAGTGTGAGAGGATGGGCATGCAGTGAGTCAAGGTCAGTAATGCTTTCTTGCCTCCCTCACCTGCTTGAGACTATTTCTGATGCTCTGCTTACTCACATCGAAGTGCCCTCGCCCGGCACGAGGTTGCTCTTCTTGGCTCCCTTGCCCTCTGCCGCACCAACACGCACTCGCACCCTCTGCTTCTCTTCCCGATTCCTCTCTCTCCTCTCTGCAATGCTCTTTTCGCGAAGTGCACTCCTTTCCCTCTCCTTTCCAATGGCCGCCTTGAGGTGAGCATTCCTGTGAACCGCCAGACGATCCCTCTCCTTTTGCGCCACCTTTGAGCCTCGGGCCTTGGTGAGACGAGCCTTGTAGAAGGCGGCTTCTCGGCGATGCTTGATTTCCTGGATACGTGCCATGGCTGCGAGCGTCTTTGCCATGAGCTCTCGGTCGTATCGCACGGGGATGTGACGCCTCTTCTCAAACTCGAGGGTAGAATCGACGGTCATCTCCTTGCCGCTGGCTTTACGGAAGGCCTTTGTCCACTTGACCTTTCGTGGGTTTCGCTTCATCTTGAAGTTCTTGTGGCACTTGCTCTTGCAGAAGCGGAAGCACTTGGCGTCGTTGCGCACGAACATGATGCCGTGGCCCGGGTAGCAGGGAGAGGAGCAGAAGTGGCACCTGCGAGAGAGAGAACGAGGGGGGGAGGAGGTGTGGACGGAGAGCACTTGGTCAGTACAGAGCAAAGAAAGGAATAAGCCGAGAGTGGTACCTGGTCTCATGACTCACCGGAAAATCTGCATATTGGCTAGGTAGAAGGGTTGAGACGGAGGGAAAGAGCGATGTGCGTACTACTTGCAGAGCTACCTAGATGCGTTCAAGGGGGGCCGGAGTGGCCAGAGAGCTGCCTGCTGTGTGTCAAGATGACAAGCCTGGAAGACCACTGTCGAGGGCGTGCTGGCTTGGAACTGAGCCTATATACAGCCGAACGAATGTGAGTTGCCCAAAGGATGAGGTGCGCTGCCAAGGATCAACGATGGATGATGATGACGATGATGGTGGTGATGATGGTGATGGCAATGCTGCTCCTCACGGGAAGGGGAAGTTTCAAAATTTATTCAGGCAAGGCGCCGGACGGACATCGGAACGGAAGAGAGGGGGCGGGGCGGGGGCGGGGGCGGAAGTGCGAAGATCAAGGGGAGGGGGGGGTGGGTGGCCCTTCCGCTTCCACCTTTGGATAAGTTGTACTTCACTGAGCGTAGCCTAAGTAGCCACTCACACCACAGGGAACCAATACCAGTCTGAGCTGATACCACTTCGGGCGCTGCTTCATGTCAAGAGCAGGACCAGGCAGTAGAGGGCCGCGTGGGCGGGGCGGTAGCAGCACCATTGGCTCTACCATCCGCGGCCCCCCTTCCATGACGGCCAGCCCAGCCACTGCCGCTGCTTCCTCCTCCTCCTCACGTCCTGGTAGCTCTAGCTCGACTTCTCTCGGTCGCCCCGGCGGCAGTGGTGCGACCAACACTGCCGGCTCTTCCTCTTCCAGCACTCTGGCCTCCACTGGCATCATCGGCCACAAGGACAGGTCAGGCCGCATCGTCTCCTACACCTCCCCAGACGACAAGTGTCCCTCGTGCAAGACGGACCGTTTCCTCAACCCCCGTCTGAAGCTCCTCGTCTCTCCCTGCTACCATAAGCTCTGCACCTCTTGCATAGATCGGATATGGTCCCTTGGCCCTGCTCCTTGCCCCACGTGTGGAACAGTCTGTAGGAAGAATCAGTTTGGACCGCAGACCTTTCAGGATCTAGGAGTGGAGAGAGAGGTAGATGTGCGAAAGAGGATACAGAGGAGCTATAACAAGCAACAGGGAGATTTCGGCAGTTTGCAGGAGTACAACAATTACCTAGAGGAGATTGAGCAGATCAGTGAGTAGATGTCTGCGCAGTGCCAATGAGTTGCTACCAACAGGCTCGACTCAGCCGCTCAACGCTGACCCCGCCACCCTCCTTTTCATCCCGCTCAGCCTTCAATCTGATCAATCGGGTCGACTACGATGCTACCCTCGCTAAGCTCACCGCCTACGAGCAAGCCAATCGCTCCTCCTCCAATCGCCACGCCGCCCAGTCCGAGTCTGATTCGCAAGCCCTCGCCGCACTCGAGTCCCAGCTAGCCCAGTTGCGCAAAGCGCGCATGGAGAAGCGCAAGTTGCACGAAGTAGAAGATCTAAAGTGGCGCAGAGAGGAAGAGGAGGAAGTGGTGCGGGCGATTGAGGAAGGAAGAGAGGAAGAGGAGATTGAGGCTGTACAGGCTCGGTGGAAGGGGAAGCGCGAGGAGAGGGAGCGAGAAAGGGAGGTTGAGGAGGAGGAAGGGTTGCAAAGAGAGGAGGAGGTACGCAGGGGACTCGAAGGTGCCAAGAACGGCACAAGACTGCCGCCGATAGGAGGAGACTCAAAGAATGGCTCTCAGACCAACAACGGTGCTCCCGCCTCATCCTCTGGCTGGTCGGCCCACTCCCTACAGACCTTCACAGGACCTCTAGCCACCCTCTCTACCGGCCTGGAACTCTTCATTGATCCAACAACCAAGCAAGAGCTCACACTCCTCGCTCCTGCGCGTTTACAACTCCAGCAAAGCGGCGGCGGCAGCAGCAGCAGCAGTGCAGGCCCGCCTACCTCGAGTACATCGACGACGATGACTCCCTATGATCCCTGGACACAGCCTGTGCTGGAGAAGATGTCTGCAGAGGATGTAGAGGCGCTCAAGGCTGGTGGATTTGACTGGTGTGAGAATTGGAGATGGGATCTGAGCGTGGCAGTGGGAAGTTTGACTGTGAGACCGCCTGGTATGAATCAAGGGGCAGGGGAAATGTAAGGATAGACTTGTAAATGTATAGCATGCTCGAATGGGCAGCGGCTTGACTTGTGATTTACTTTTGAAAAGTGAAGCAGAATGTATCGATTAGGCATAAGTCTCCAGGGCCCCACAAGTGAATATCGGATAGTCATACAATGGCTCAATCCAGGACGTCAGATTTTCGACAGCAGTAGACTTCCCTCCCTCCTTCCTCCCATCATACCCTTGCGACCCATCTTTACTCACGGGCCTCAAGCCTTGACTGCCTTGGGCGCAGCCGTTCTGAGCGCCGAGAGGGCGGCAAAGAGCCTAGCCTGCGAGCTAAAGAGAATGGCGGCAGTGAGCACACTCTGTGTCAGCTTGGGACCCACACCCCTGTAAAGTCCGGCCACTCCTTCATTCTTGAGAATCTCTGCCAGCTCAGCAAAAAAGTTGGTACTCTTGCCCTTTGTGCTTCCCTTGCCTGCTTGTTGACGAGACTTGACCAGTACTTGTGGATAGGTGAGACCAGTAGCAAAGAGCTTACTGAGGGCTCCGAGGAAAAAAAAGTCCAAGTCGGAGAGGGAGGCGCTAACGCCGCGCGTCAGACGAGAGGTGACGAGCATATTCTTGAGTTGCTCAAAGGCCGTGTACTGTAGGATTGGGTTGATGACTAGGAAGAGGGCAGGACCAAGACCGCGCCAGAGGGCTGGCACGCCATCTGTGGAGATGATGTATCGAATCGTCTCTAGGAATCCCATCTTCCTTACTGGCGCACCTGGCTTGCCCTTACTACCACTACCGCTGTCCACGCCGACACGTACAGTCTGCCGAGTGTTGACCACCCAGATTGGATTGGTGATGACGGTAGTCGCTGAACCGGCCAGAGCTCCAGCGAGCATGGATTCGGCTGTGCTCAGGGCTCCACCGGCGGCAATGGTGGCAGCGGCAGTGGTGGCCTCCTTTGCTGCGCCCTTGTTCTTCGAGGCAAGGATCATCTCTCGCGCCGTCTCAAAGAAGCCATAGTAGACGCTGTGCGAGGGACAAGGGCATGCAAGTCCTGGGTCAGTAAAAGGATCCAGGGCGCGGTGATGCTTGCACCCATGCTTGACTCCCATGCTAAGCTCACAAGTTGGTGATACTGATCCCTAGAAGCGATGAGCTGAGACCAGAGTAGAGGCCAACGACGCCTTCCTCCCTAATGACCTTCTGCGCCGCTTCCACCATGGTCTGTGGGAAGAACATGAGATCAAGTGTTGGGAGTAGACACATTACAAAGCGAGACTGTCAGCACCAACTCCCTACCTCTCCATGTCCCTCTTTTCTCAGCTCCTCCTCTTTTCGACTCACCTTGTCTTTAGCCCTACTCTGCTCCACAGCAGCCCTCATCGAGATGCTCACCAGTGGGTAGGTGGCCGTCATTGCGATCATGCCGCCCGCCCCACCGGCACAGGCGTGGATGAATCCGTCCGAGACCATTGCTGGTGTAGGTGTAGGTGTGAGTGGGAGGTTGCGGGTGAGGGCGGGTGAGGAGATGGAGAGAAGAGGACAAGGGGGAGGGGATACAGAGCGTATCTACGTTCGTCCGTACGAGAGATGTAAAGTCCTGAATTCGCACACGCGTTGAAGCGAAGATGGTAACGATCCCCTCTGTGTCTGTCTGTGTCTGTGTATCTCTCCGCGTGTGCGTCTCTCTGCCGAGCCGGGCCATCCGCCCTCACTTCCGGTCTGAGCCTTTGGCGTGAAAAGTGCCGGACCCACATTCAAGAGACGCGCATCGGATCGGAACGGAGTGCGGAGTGCCAGGAGTCTTGGAGCGGCAAGGACGACGACACACATGGACATACACGATGCTCACTCAGACAGTCACACAAAGCGCAACAAGAGAAGGAAGAGAACCTGCTACGTTGATGATTTTACAATGAAGGACTAGGAGGAAAAAGAGGGTGGATGAAGTCGTCTGCTGACAGCTTCGATGCGATGCCATGCACACACACTGCACTTCCAGATTACGAAGACTTGGAGGCCTCTGGACTCGCATCGACTCGACTCTCAAGAGGTGGGGTATAACTCTTACAATTCCTCGTACACAAGTCTGGAAAGCCTGACTACCTTCCACGCCCACCATTCAGGCAGCATTGATGATCTTGAGGATGGCTGCCTCAGCCGCGGCCTGACCCAGCTTGAAGTTGGCACTGTAGAGGCCATAGTTGGCCGCGAGGTACTTGGTGGGCGAGTTGGCCATTCGCTTAGCCCACGAGTCGACAATGTATTGCGTCTGGAATCCCAGCTTGCTCACGGGAGTCGTGGTGGAAAAGGCAGAGGCAAAGTACGTGGCGGTGAGGTAGCCGTCCGAGTAGCCTACCTGGCGGGCGAGGGCAGCAGCAGTCAGGGCTCGACGCTCCGCTTGGGCCTGGTGGGCTGCGTGACCAGAGACGGAACCGAGACCTCGGCGGTGCACGACAGGCTCGACGTAGAGGTCCTCGTTGTCTTCGTCGTCGAGGTAGTCGCGCAGGGAAAGGCGCATCTCCTCGACGGTCTCATGGTCCTCAGCATCGTCTTCGGCAGCGAGAAGGGGAGCCATGCCATAACTGGAAACCTCGTCAGAAGACACGACGTCCCTGGTAGAGAGAGTCATAGTCTTGACCAAGGCAGTGGGAGCAGTAGAGGCGGCAGAGTCGCTGGTGCCAGGCACCTTGAGGGCAGCAATGGCCGCCTTGATCTTGTTGCCCGTCTTGATTGCAGCCGCAGAGTTGAGCAGCAGCTTGCTGTTGGTCACCAGACCAGAGAGACCCCACACGTTGAAGTACTTTGGCAGATATTCGCCAACGGCACTCTCGAAGCACCATCCGGCATTGGAATCACAGTTCTCCATTGTGTACGACCAGAAGTGCATGCCGGCAGTAGTGTTGGTGTAGGCGGCGAGTTGGGCTCGGCAGAAGTCGGATGTCGCAGTAGTCACGTCACTGACGCCAGTAAGGGAGCCGGAGTCTAAAGAGCAGGACCACTCTCCGATGACGAGGTTGCCTCGAGCCTTGGTTCGGGCAGCGGACAATGTCTTTGTGTAGGACCCCTCGATATTAGCAATGTGCGCATTAACACTGAGCGCCTTGTCGGCAGAACTGAAGACAAAGTAGGAGTGATCATCGACGACGGTGAAGTCGTTGCGGGATGCAACCAGCGCAACTCCGGCATTGAGATTGTAAGCGTCCTGGATGTACAGAGGAAGAGACTTTGCGTAGGAGCTAGCCTTCCTCATGGCAGTGGCAGTGTTGTTGTACCATGTCCAGAGGCCGTCTTCTTGAGAAGGCTCATTGAGAAGCTCAATGCCGATAATGTTTGTGACATCGGCCAGCTCCCACGCCAACCAGGTCAGCAGCGAAGTGGTGAGAGCTTCGTTGGCAGCGGTGAAGAAATCGACGGCACCGACATGACCCGAGTGGTCGAGACCGTTCTGGGAACCGTAGGCACCGTGCAGGTCGAGGAGGACTCCGATGTCGTACTTGGCTGCCCAATTGATGGCTCGACCAACGTACTTCCACGAGTTTTCGTAAACGGCGGCATATGGCGAGAAACTAGAGTTGGCGCAGTAGTATGACCCGACGCTCCAGTAACCAATGGGGATGCGGACAGTGTTGACACCCCTTGATGCGAGGTAGGCAAAGTCGTCTTCGGTGACCCAGGTATCCCAGTGCTTTTCCATGTAATTCTGTGCACTCTTGAGGCCGTCAGCACTGGTACCGAAGCCTGAGACAATGGAGAATTCTGAAGTTCCTGCATAGATGGCACAGTCCATGAAACTCGTCTCCATCCAACCCTCCTGCAAGAACCAACCACCGAGGTTGACTGACATCTGCTCTCGGTATCTCATGATATTTGCCTTGACGGAGTTGAACTTGGCGTAGGTGGGGTCCGGAAGGGCACCGTACGTAGAGACATAGCTGGTGGTGTTGAGTGGACAGCTGCCAGGTCCAACGGTGGAAGTCGTCTTGAAGGTATTGCCTTTGGAAGAAGAGGAAGAGTTGGACAACACCAGCGGAGCCGGCACTCCCCAGACAGCCGGATCGAGGGTGCTGGATGTGTGGACCTTGTAGGAGCTGCCGCTCGAAGAGCTAGTAGCGTTGGTCGATACTTGTGGGCTTGGCTTGTACTTAGCAATGGCTAGAGAAAGACCTGTGGCCAGGGCTGTCAACCCGCCACTTGATCGTCCGAGAATCTGCATTGTGTCAAGGAAGAGGAGAAAGGAGGGCTTCGAGGGATAAAAGTGATCAAGGGATGCGAGACTACCGAGATCGAACCTGTCGATATTCCGGAGTGGCTATCTTTCGAATGTGGCAACTCGCTTCAAGCAGGTTCAAGCTTCAACGAAGCCCTAGGTCTAGACGTAGCAGGCAAGGGAGGTAAAGAGTGTGAGGGGGGGTGGGGGAGGGCGACCGGCGCCGAGGTTGGACAAGTAGGGACGATGGGGACGAGAAAGAGGGAGAAATGAGTCTAGGTGGCACAGCCGACCTTGTGAGCTCGAGGAGAAAGGAATGGAGAAGGGGGGTGACGAGAACAGGAGAAAGGAATCGTAAGGGGAAGAAGGAGGGAAGATGGACTGGAGGGGAATTAGGACTATAAGGCGCACCCTCCCCGCGCGGGCCTGGCATCGTCGCCGGATGAACATCTACGCCGCCGGAGAGATGCGTCTGCGTCTGCGCCAAGCGGAAGGCGGAGTGGCGTGGACGCGTGGACAAAGTCTTGGCCCAGGCACCACGTATCTCCGCCCCGCGATTGATCTCTTGCAATGGACGGGACAAGGGAGAAGCTCTGATGACGAGGGCCAAAGACAATGGAAGCGCACCCGAACCACACGGCGACTATGAGCGTATCACTTCCTTAGCAGTGGAAAAAAAAAAACACAAGATTTAGTCTTTTACCCATGCGCCAAAGTAGAGCCTCAGACAGACACCACAGACAGGTACAGGTGCAACTGCCGGAAAGCCATTGCTCTGGCAAAGCGCGGGCAGCCGCGCCGGAGTGAAATATTGTGGCAAACCTAAAGGCGAAAGCAATTCACCCCTCGAGTCTTGGCTCGCCAAGCAGCGATACGTCGAGGGCAGTGCAGAAGCTTCTCCACCGGCGTACCACACAAGGCCTGTTCAGCGTACCGTCGCGTCAGTCAACGAGAAAGGTCGGCGACTGCAAGATCTCGCGACGAGATCAGCGCAGCCATCCCCGCTGTTGAAGTAAGCAATGCCATAAAGGGAGCCCACATCTTTGCGACCCCTGCCCTGTATGCCCGGACATCCACAAGCTGATCAATTAACGTCCGACCTACGTAGCCCTTTCTGCACCCGATTCTACAGCAGCCGGTCCCGAGTGCAGAGCGTGCGGCGATAGGCAGTGACCTTCATGACGGAGCCTGGGCAAAAGTAGTCAGTCACCTGAAGCAGGTACGTTGCCTTCTCCACGGCGAGCTGACGAGCAGTGACAGGCAATTGCACGTGAGCCATGCCTTTGTCGCCGATCCTTTAGCACCCACCTCTCTGCAGACCGCTCGCTCATGGCCATCGAAACTCTCTCTGCTACTGTCGCTATGATGGCTGTGGCACTCACAGAGCCCAAGTCATCGCCCTACCAAGTGCATATGGCTCGAGCATCGAAGCACTTCGAAACCGTCGTCGGCGTCTTTCCCGTCGCAGAGGTCACCGTGAGTGACAGGCGAAAGAGCAGAGACGAGGCAAATGCAACGCGTCCCGCCACGGTGACATTTGACGTCAGCTCTGCAACCTGGGCAGCCTACGCAAGGGTCTTTTCGCGCCTCACCTCCACCTTGCTTAGCTTGCAGAGCGACAAGACGGTCAGACGAGCACTTGATATAGGTGTAGATCTTCTCAAATTTCATCTTCGTACACTCATTTTCGTATACTCTCAACTACATCAACTCAATCAAACCCACCCACTCATTAACTCACAATGACTCGAGCTGAAGCCGCACCATCTTCCGTCGTGAGTAGCTCACCCTGACTGATGCAGCATGGCCTCCGACGAGCAATCTCTGACCCTCATCGTTGCACTTTTCCACCTTTTGTACTACAGGCCGAGGCCGCTCGTGACAAGCACAGCCGTAGCACCCCCGCAGGCAGCTCAGGACCCAGCAAGGACAGCGTCAGCCACCCTACTGGAGCCGCTGTGCTCGGCACGGAGATCGGCGCTGAGGGCGATGCCCGTAGGGAGCGTGCCGACGCAATCGCCCAGGGCGATGTGCTTCCTCCAGCCTCCAACGCTCGTAGCACCGCCGGTGACATGGGCTTTGGTCAGGTGAATGGCGCCGAGCAAGGGTTCCAGGACCGATCCGAGGGCCAGAGGGACCAGCTGCAGCAGGAGCGCAACAAGGAATTCAGCAGCGGACAGCCCGACCTGCTCAACATCGCTAGGACATCAGGAGGTGCTGGCGCCACAAACCCCGTTGCCAACCAGGACAATATCACCAGCACCGGTAACACCAACCCCAGTGACCTGCTGGCCCAGGCTGGAACCTCTGCTGGTCAGCCCACCGGTACTGGCGCTTTCGATGGAGAGGTCTCTCGTGACGCACCCACAAACGCATAATACAGTACACAGAAAAGAAAAAGGAATGGCAATGTAGTTGTAGGAGTATTTGATCTTGCTAGTAACGAAGATATCTCTACTTGCATCTGTCTTTGTCTCCGTTCTCGATACAGTGTGTGTGTTCCTCCAGATGCAGACGCAGTTTGTGCGGCAATAGGTAGTCAATTACGATGGTATTATGCTATACAATGGCGGCTCGCAGCTTGAGCTCCATACCCCTCCCACGCTTGTCTTTACTGTGCCTGTGTACCGTCCTGAGGTCCAGCACCTGGCACTCTCCTCACCTCCTCCCTATCCTCTACAGCAGGGGGTGCATCCCTCGCTCCCGTTCCACGTCCAGGTGCGCTCTCAAAAGCCTCCTTGAGTCCATTCTCCCCCTCCCACCGGTTGAACATCTTGGCCGAATCCTCTGCGCTCGGCTGACCCGATAGCGGATCTGCACCTGCTGCGAGAAGCAGGGGGATCACATCGTTGTGGCCTTTGAAGACGGCTCCGGCTAGGATGGACTGGCCGCGACCATTGAGCTGGTTCGTATCTGGACGCCGGGGGAGGGCAAGGAGCTTCTGTACCAGGGAGGCGTGTCCGTGGTAGGCTGCGAGCATGAGCAGCGTGTCTCCGCGGTTGTTTGTAAGGTCTGAAGGGTGTACCAAGGGGAGAAGTTAACCCTCAGTAATGCAAGGCTGGTGGGCAATCCTCTCTCCAGAATCACTCACTAGGTGGCAAGCCCGCTTCGAGGTAAGGCAGCAATTCCTCATTCCCATTCCTGGCAAAGTCGAACATCTGAGGAGAGTGATTGTAAAGTGCAAACGTCAGCTGACGCTCAGCACAGCCATTCGTAGACCTGCACCTGCTCTCTGACAACATACCTTTGCAGCCAGCTCGAGGGCAGCGGTAGGCAGCTGGGTCACGGAAGAAGGCGGAGCTGTGGCCTGCATCGGATCCTGAGCCCGAATGGCCTCTCCGCCGGGTGTGGGATTTTGCGTGTTGTCTGATGTTGGTACGGGCGACATGGTGAGAGGTGTTGTATATGAATGGCTTTGAAAGAAGAAAGAGTAGTTGACACTCGCACCTTTGTTAGTAAGGTCATTCCACCCGCCCCCCGGCGTTCCGTGTGTGGAGTTGAGGATGCGTGCGCCGCCGTGCCTGGTTGCCGCGGGCCGACTGCTTCGAAGTTTTTGGCGGCCTGCCTGCTTCCGAGTGCCTGGACAAGTGAATACAGCATCACCTTCTCGCCCTCGCCCACACACGCTCATCTGCACCCAGCCTTCTCATACGAGCTATCAAGATGGCCAAGCGTAGGAGGAAGACCAGGACTCACCTCAAAGGGCCAAACAATTCTGCTGCCTCTTCCACGACTGCGCCAAAGTCATTTGTCATTCGCAGCGGAAAGGTCGGTAGGAGCGTAGGTGGACTTGTGCAGGATGTCAGGAAGGTCTTGGAGCCGAATACGGCCATCAGACTGAGGGTGAGTCAGCTAGCGACGAGATGAACCAAACATGAAGAGGCAATCAGCTCACGATTCGTGATCGTGCCGTATCTCACCCCTGACAGGAACGCAAATCGAACAAGCTGCGTGACTTTGTCTCGATGTCAGGCCCACTGGGCGTCTCCCACATGGTCATCTTCAACCAGACCGACGCAGGAATCAACATGAGGGTCGCAAGATGTCCCAGAGGTCCCACTTGTACCTTCAGAGTCAACAAGTTCGCCCTGATGAATGATGTTCTCAGGAGTCAGAAGAGGCCTCGAGCTCCTGGTGGAGAGTTTGGCACACCGCCTCTGGTGAGTGAAGCTCAAGGATACAGCCTGTCAGGACCTACGACTGACTCTCCCGTTACTCTCCTACCCACTGCTACAGCTTGTCCTGAACAACTTCGGAGGTGAAGCTCGCCATCTCAAGCTACTGGTCACAGTCTTCCAAAATCTCTTTCCCCCCATCCAAGTCCAGACTATGCATCTCTCCCAAGCCCGCCGAGTGGTGCTCCTTTCTTACAATGCTCAAACAGAGACAATCGAATGGCGTCACTATATCATCTCAGTGCGCCCGGTAGGAGTCTCGAGGTCTGTTCGCAGGGTCATCGAGGGAACAAATAGACCTGGCCCGAGCTCTACAGGAGCTCCTATGAAGCGCAAGGGCAAGGGCCTACCCAACCTGGGCAACGTGGGAGACATCTCAGAGTACGTCCTGGGGCGAGCTACAAGATCTGGTTCCGTAGGAGCTGCCAGCGATACAGACGTCTCCGAGGCCGAGTCTGAGCTGGAAGACATGAACGACCCCGCCAACGCTATCGAGCTCTCGGAAAGGTACGTTGGCAGAGGTAACGATGCCAATGAGCAGCGAGCCGTCCGGCTGCGAGAGATTGGGCCCCGCATCGAGCTCAAGTTGATCAAGATCGAAGATGGCATGGTGGGAGGAGAGACTCTGTACCATGACCGGGTCAAGAAGACTGCCAAGGAGGCTACCGCTCTCAAGCAAGCCGTTGCGGCCAAGAAGAAGCTAAAGCAGGAGAGGAAAGCAGAGCAGGCGGCCAATGTGGCACGCAAAGAAGAGGAGAAGGCGGCGAGAAAGACAAAGGGCAAAGAGCAAGCAGCGGAAGGGGCCGAGGCAGATGAAGAGGATGAGGACGATGATGATCTGCCCGCAGACGGCGGAGACTCAGACGCAGACGAAGACGACGACGACTTCGAGTACGAAGACCGCTTCGCAGACTCTGTTCCTCAAGACGCACAAGAGGAGAGAGCAAACCTTTTCGACGAAGACGACGATCTCGGTGCTGATGATGATGACATCTCCCTCTCGGAAGGCGATGGAGAGGATGGGGACGAAGGCGATTCATTCGACGAAGAAGATGATGACGAAGAGGAAGAGCCCTTCGACTACGAAGACGACGGCATCAACCACGATGACTCGGATCTGGATCCGATTCCCGTCGGTCGAGGACTGATGGCCTACGATAGCGATAGCGACGCTGCAGTTGGACCAGCTCCGGCGTTGTCAAAGTCAAACGGCGCGAAGTCCACTTTGAAGAAGCGCAAGGTGGACGTTGGAAATGCAAGAGGCAAGGGCAAGGCAAGGAGATGATATGCCACGCTTAGACGGAAGGAGGCGAGGTCCGCAACCTACAGTCACAAATGCATACTTTACCCAGGAAAGCGGCCCTGCAGCTCGTCGCATCTGCACGACGCCATTCTGTGCATGTCCGGAGTGAGCGGTCGACTCATCGCTACCTGACGCGCCCAAAGCGAGCAAGGATGACGAAGAGCTGGTTTACTTCTCTTCCACACTTATCCTCCCTTCCCCACCTTACAGCCAGTGGCACCATCCTTCATTCCTTTCGTGTTGCTGACCTCCCATTCTACTCTGCTCGCCTGCGCTGCTGCTATCACTGCTCAGTCTCGGACTCGTACGCCTCAATAGCGCCTCTGATAGTACCACTCACCTCTTCTCACTGATATTTCTTTTCGTCTCCTCACCTGCCCCATTTGCCCTCGGTCGCTCTCACGCCGACGAGAATCGGTCCTGAACATCTATCACTCTCGTACTGCCTCCTCTCAAGCTACGCTCGGATGTCTTCGAACTCTCAGCAAGTTCCTCTCCTATACGAGCCGCCAGGACATCATTCGCCTGAGCATTCATACCCACCTTCCTTCTTCACTTCCGCGGTCCCAGCTCCTCGCCATGATGCAGGCGCGACCTGGCAAGCCCGAAATGACGCTACAAGACTTGAAGCTCCACCTTCGACTACGTTGCCCGCCTTAATCCAAGCTAACCTGGAGGCGCCCAAGTCCGCCCTACTCCCATGCGTGGCCTACAGCAATGCCAGCCAGGCTATCGTCTCTGCTGTTGGCAGACAGATGGACCCTTGTCACGTCGAGCCTGCGCCTCCAGTCAGGCAGCCGAAGAATCCCGCCCGTCAAGCGCCGGTGCCCTGGCCGAAGGTACATACTTCTTCACCGGATGATCAGCCAAGCAGCGCCAACGATAGGAGCATCGTCGAGCATCAGCAGCAAGCGCGACAGCCAGACACTGTGGGCGGGTTTAGGACTGGCGGCCAGTCCGAATCTCGTGGCCGAGCAGGTGCGAAGTCGCAAAAGCAGCCTCATTCTCCTCCACCGCGACCAGTCTGGGACAAAGACGATGAGCTTTCGGGTCAACGCAAGGCGGAGAGAATCAAGCGACGTAAGATCGAGCAATGGGCCAGAGAGGTTCGACAGCAGGCTCAACGCGAGCACCTGGCCGCTGAACGCTCCGAAACATCAATCAAGAGTATCGTCTCGCTCAAACGCACTCACCATGAGGTCAATGAGGCAGATGAGAGCAACTTACCTGCTTCTACAACTGCCACTTACGGCCCCGCTTTTGGTGCCACATTCGGAGACCTCTATGGCGGCAGAGGGAAGCTCTTCGCCGATGCCGCAATCCTGGGCCCTACGAACAAGCAGTCCAATGCAATGTCAGACTGCCTCTACCTGAATCCGTTCTATGGTCTAGTCGACAGCAGTCAGTTGTCCAAGGAAGCGCTCGAAGCCCAGAATGCTCTATATGCATATCGACAACGAAAAGAACGCGACCAAAGGTCTGTCAAGGTAAAGGATTTCATGCCTTGCGGGTTGACCGCGCCTCAAAGCACTGATAGTCGTCCCTCCAGCGGGTTTGCGACTCGTAAGAGAACTGATCAAGTACGTCTTGACCCATCTGAGATCGACATTGTGCGTCAACGCTCTGCAATGCCCGTCGCTGCTCAGTCAGATGACGTACTCGAGTCCAGACAAGGATCATCCTCGGATGGCTGGCTCCGTCAGGCAGACGACAAAGGCGTCACGCCCTTTTCTCCGAACGGCGACCCAAGAAGGCAGAAGCTCCGTGACGACGACAATCTTGTTCCTCTAGACGGAACATCTGACGACGTCGCAGGATCGTGGGAGCTTCCTCGACCATACGACTATCGTCGAGCTGTCAAGAGGCACATGGTAGTGGACCCCGCGTCGGTCACACTGCCTCTTCTAGCCTCTGCGCGAATCATCACCTCTGACGAAGCGCTTCTATTCCTCGAGGAAGGTATAGGTGCTGAGGAGGCAGAACTGCAGGACCTGTCAATGGAAGACGCTGTGACTAGACCAGTAGGCACACAGCAGACTGAGCGGGTCACTTCCCTAGGCATCTCTACGATCACTGCAAATCACCCGTCACATCTCTTGTCTCCTCGCCACCTCGATCCACAACAATACTCCGCCGCGACGCGACTAGCGCCTTCTCACTATCTCGATCAGCAGCCGTCGTGTGCTCACGAGGACTCGATCGAGATGATCTACTACGGGCCTGAGAAGCCGAAGGATTCCAACGATTCTACAGCCATTGGAGGCGGTAGGGTCAGACGTCACGCTGCAGAGGTCATGCTCGCTTCTGGAGACGTCAGTCTTCACCTCACGCCGGCAGAAGACATGGAAGTCGATGTCTTTTCTGAACATCACAGCGATGAAGATCAGCCTGTCGTAGAGCCCTCCTGGAATGAGCGCAACCACGATCAAAACGTTCGAGACGGGAGACACTGTCATGTCGATCAACACAGATTGAATCCAGGTCCGAGCTTTGACGTTGCATCGCCAGATCATTTGGAAAGTGTTGCCAGCTCACCTCAAGATCGCAGCGGCCTCTCCCATGCACTAGGCTCAACACCTGCGGTGTCCATCCGACCTCCTCCAGAGGACACCCTCAGCCCCTTAGATCGCTACCGGCCCCGACCAGTGCCTCGCAAGTCACAAGATCTCTCAACCGAGCACAGCCCGGACCCCTCGACTGGTCTTCCTGGCCAGAGGTCCTTCAGCGGCAGTGGCGACACCCTGTCCTCGATTGAGCCTGGTGATCACACTTACACCAAGCTCTGGCAAGCGATCCAAACTATGCTCGCCTCTTCTGGCAAGGGCAGCCACACCTCTCTCCTGTCGACGTCCTCTGGATTACACAGCGGTCAGCAACTTGGCCCCCAGAGCATGCCGCGAGAGGGGGGAGGGAAGCTCGGAGCGGCCAAAGCGTCAATCTGCACTGAAGATATACCTGCGTTGGAACTTGACGGCAGCACGGGCCGAGAGGGCTCTCACGCTCCCTCTGACATGTCGAGAGGAGCACAAAGAGTCAAAGAGAGCAATCCGTCGGTCAGAGCCACCAACGAAAGAGGTGCAGGGCTGTACGATGCTACAAACCGTCTCTTGTCTCCCAGATCGTCTGCCGGCAGGCTCAATGTTTTGGCGTCGCAGGGCACTTTAGATCGTCGTGCCCGCGAGCAGGAGAAGAACAAGGGCGATAGGACTTCAGGCTCGACTTCGGACTCTGCGCAACCAGTCTTGCCACTTTTGAGCCTCAGCGTCGGCATGCAGGCTGGAGATGACCACGCTGCCAGACCACTCCTCCAGGCACATCCCACATCCGCCAAGCAGGGGAACCCCTCTGGAGAAGGGAACGAGAATGTCCGCATCGCCACCTATGACGAGCACAACCTCCTCGTTCCCATCGACGGCTTGTCAGACATGCCCATGCACCCTTCTACGCACGCACAACTGCACGCTTTCCCTCGAGTTCCTCCTCGTCCCTCCCTACGCAAAATGGCAAGTCGACAAAGTCTTCGAGCAATGAGAAGCGATGTGTCGATGAGGACGGCGGGCTCGCTGTCCCAGTCCCAGGCACTCCTCGATGAAGCAGGAGACCTGAGCGGAATCCTCGAAGAGGCCAAGAGCGATGTGGCCATGCGCACTGCAAGCGGTCAATCTTCGAGCCACGGCCACGGTCATGAAGGAGCTGGAGCTGCGCCTGCAAGTGGAGTTGCGCTCGACTTCGACTCTGCAGCTCGCGAGGCGAGCAACGGTGGGTACTTGGCTCTGGCTGCGCAGGAGGAGATGCAACAACGTGCTCTCATCTATGGAAAGAGGAGGCGCAGGGAGAGTGGTAGACTCCTTTGAGTGAGCACACTTCGTATTCTTATCCAGTCTTGTCTTGTCATGTCGCAGTATGATCCTGCCCGTCTCTCTTGAACTCTGTCCGATCGTCAGAGGATCACTTGACGAGGCCATACCATATCCCTTTGAATAGTAGATTCGTCAGTCGCACACTTTTCTTGATGATCGCATTGGTGAGATGTCGTACATACACAAAAGTCTGATCTCTTCGACTGGACCAGCATCACCATCACCCACCACCTGCGCTGCCTCCCTGTTTCACAAGGCCCACCCAACCTTGACCCTCCTCACTGCACCGCTACGCAAGTTGAGCAACGCCACCTCTCCCGTCTTGCTAAAGCGTGGCAGCAAGATTACGCGCGTTGCCTCCTTTTCTCCCTCTCCTTGGTGGCCGTGGTGGTGCACGATTTTGGTGGCAAAGTTGGGTTGGTTGCCAATGACGAGGACGTCCGGGGTCGTGTCGAGGATGAAGGGGTCGCGGTCAGTGAAAGGGAAGCACCCTGTGATTTTGGTAGACGGGGGCGAAAAGGATGACGTTGAAGGGCGTTAGCGATTTGAATCGATGATACCATCGTCTTCTTGCACCTTGTACTCACAAAGCGTGTCAGGGGCAGTGGGGGCCACATGCCCAAACTCCAACAGCCGACCAGCAGCGGTGAGCCTCTCGTCTTCCTCCTCCTCCTCTTCCCCCATCTCCTGCTGAGACTCTCCGGCTCCAGCCGCTCGGCTCGCTCCGTTGGCAGAATTCGATGGAGCGCCCTCTCCCTCCTGTGCCGCCTCGCCGCTGTCCAAATCCATTTTGTCCTGGGAGGCAGAGCCGTTGGGTTGCTCGCCTGCCGCTTCTGCGCGAGCACGGACGGGGATGTACTTCATGATGTCGTCTAAATTCTGTCCCGAGGTAGCGAGGATCTTCTTCGATCCGAATTGGACCCAAGATGGATTGTTGTACAGCTCGATGCCGCCTCTAACTTCCCTTGGTGCTTTCACGCCATTTTCAGCCTCATCTTTGCTCTTGGATGTGGCATCTGGAGAGCCAGACCATCGACCTGCACCTTGCAGGACGGCTCGGTGGATGCCCTGTTGCGGTAGAGCTGCCGAAGCTGGATCTGTTGCGCCTGGCATGAGGACAATGGGGAGGGAAGCCGAGAGGGGAAGCAAGTGGGAGAGGAGCACAGAGGGTGGAGAAGGGTTGAGAGCTGCGGATGCCTTTGAGGCTGCAGTCGGCTTGCCGCTCTTATTGCTCAGCGAGGCCTTGGAGTCACCACCGGTGGAAGCTGTCGTGCCATCGGGAGCATAGAAGAGAGATCCGTCTGCTTTCTGCACCGCCATGAGGTTGCCAGCAATGACCACGCCGGCTATACGCGAGGTCGTCTTGCCGTCCTCTCCTTGAGGTGCAATCTCGCCTCCGATCCATTCTGACAGCAGTGACAGCCGCATCTCGTTGCTTGCAAAGCCCAAGTCTTCCTGGCCAGCCGCTGCGCCTTCATCCCCTTCTGCAGAGCTCCCGCCGAGATCGAGTCCAGAGAGGAGAACGACGTATTCGTCTTCCTCGCCGCCTTTCCGGCTCCCCCTCGCGCTCTCGTCCTCTTCCAGCTTGACCTTCTTGTTCTTCCCAGCGCCACTTGCGCCCAGTCCCTTGGTCCCACTCTGCCTCTCGGGCAGCCCAGGCCAGCAAACGTCCTGCACCTGAAATTCTCCAGTTTCCATTTCAGTGCCCAGGAAGGCGCCCACAGTACCGGTTATCCAGCTGCCTCTGTGGGCTTCATCGGAGAGAATTGGCCCGACGAGTCTCAGCCGCCCAGACTCGTCTTCGAGGTAGATGTGGTCTGTTGTTGGATCTGAGTAGGAGGAGACGGGCGGAAGTGGGGGTAGATATTGCTGGAGGCATCACACAGAGAGTGGAAGAGGTCAGTATCGTTAAGGCGACGTCGACAGCAGACTGACCTCGCACCGTCTCTACTCACCTCTCTTGTCAAGTCCTGTAGCACGTCCGGCTTGAGCCTCATCTCCGTGTAAACGATCCCGGTAATGTACGTCACCTTTCCCCTCTTGACCTCCAAGATTCTCTCGGTGTACGTCGGCTTTCCCTGTCCACCCGTACTCTCTTCAGTGTCCTGCCACTTTGCTTTAGCCTTGGCCAACAAGCGTCCTCTGCGTAGTTTGCGGAGGCGAAAGTCGTATAAGGCGGCATATTGGCGGGAGTAGAGGCGCGAAGGGAGGGGAGAGGTGAATTGTGCGAGCAGAGAGGGAGGAGTGCAGAGGGACGAGGTGGCTTGGCGTACTTGGACTGGGTACGCCGATGACGATGACGATGACGAGGGATCTGCCATCCTGCCGCAGTGATGCTTCACGGAGCTACGTGGCTGCTGTGGGGGTATACGGGGGTGCTCCCTTCTTGACGTTGGTATGGCGTTACTGTCTGGTCAGAGCCTCGTGGTGCGGCGTCCTGGTCTACGCGCCCATTTGCCATCGCGTCTTGTCTTCTTCCTTTCCGCTTCCACTCCGCTTTTGCCAGAGTCCCGCCCTGCGCCTCGCCTCGCCTCGCCTCCACCATTCTGCTCCGCACTCGGTACTACAAGCCCACTTCTTCTTCTTCTTCTTCTTGACAGGCCGCAGCCCATCGCACCGTAGTCCACCAATCGCCTGTACCTTTGTGCGTGAGGCAGCGGATCATGCCACCACCGCCACCACCGCCGCGACCCTCTTTCGGGGCGGGTGGGCAAATCCCTCTCCCGCCCAAGAGACCCTTGCCGCCTCAGCTCTGGTCCACCCGAACCCTCCTCTTCCTCTCGACTGCCGTGGGGGGATGTGTAAGTCTGCGTACATATGCAAAAGTAGAGACTGATCCCTCCGAGCTGACTTCATCATTGCTTCTCACCCTGTCATCGCTGTTGTCCATCACAGACCTTCCTCATCGGACTGCAGTCTGGATTCAATGCTGGAAAGCGCGAGGGCATCGCATCAGCCGCTCTGACTCACCCATCACCCGTCTCTCGAGGAAGCCCGTCAGAGCTAGAGGCAGCTATGCCACCCTCAGACCGGAGAGGATCTGTATGATGATGACTAAAAAGATGTTGTATAACATCATCCTGACAAATGGTCAGCCAAGTCGTCTCTATAGACCGGACGAGGAGCCAGCGAAGCCTGCAGGCGAAGACCGAACATGTCCTGCGCCAGCCGCTCCTGCCAATACTTCTCTCTGCACGCTGCCTCAATGACAACAGTAGCCAGTGTATTCGGATCACTCGCAGAGCTCTCACACACGACGGGTTCAAGGCTGCGAAACAATGACTTTAGATGGTATTATGCGGTCTAGGGAATCAAGGAAGGATGCGTGGGGTCCGGGAAATCTGCGAATCTGCATGCATGTAGTGTAACGTAGTATAGTGATGGGTACGTCACCGTCAGAGATCGACGAGCCTGTACGTTCTCGTGGCAAGTGCAAGGGAAAGTCTAGTAGGGCATGGGAGATAGGGTATGGTAGGGGCCAATAAGGGGGGCCTGGAGAGGAAAGGAGAAGGGATAGGTACAACTTGCGAACTTGACAAGACGATGGAAGAGGGACGAATTTGGCTTGCCTTCCGTTTCTGCTTGACGGCTTGCAGGTAATACTTCAGCGCTTGGCCATCTTGCTGCTGAGGCGGACGCGCTCTCCGTACTTCATTGCCAGGAGAGGAATGCCCACTTCCAGGAGCGCAATGCAGGCAATGACCAAGGTCGCCTGTCTCGGTCCGACGTTCATCTACAAGGTCAAGGAAGAGGAGAAAGGAATGAGTCAGCAAATGTTGGCTAGTAGAATTTCAATACCAAGACTACCCAATGTCTCTCGCAGCGACACTCACGTAGAATTGTGTACCGCAAAGTGGAAGGACACCAGTGACCACGGATCGGATGAGACCAACGGCTGCGAATGCGGGAGCAGCCTTCATGGCGTAGGTATCGACAATGTAGGAGAAGGTGGCGAGCATGGCAGAAAGTGCTCCCATGCCATACACGGCCGACCCAATGATGGGGACAATCCAGTGGATGGAAGGATAGGAGGTGTAGCCGAACCAGAAGAGACCAACGACGGTAAGGCAAGCCCCGGCGAGACCCATAGGAATGCGGAGCTCTGGCTTCCACTCTCCTCCACTCTTCTTCACCCGCTTCATCCAGAAGAAGGGCTCGCCAGTGATGCCCCACAGGCAGGCCAAGAGCATGCCGATTCCCACGCCGAGGAAGCTGAGACCGACTTGAAAAGAGTCGAAGCCGTGTCCAAGACCAAAGATGACTGCAAAGGACTCGAAGAAGAGGTAGATGATGGCCATGATCGTCGTCTGCCAGACGGAGATGAGGATGATGATGGGCTCCTCGATCAGCATCTTTGCGGCAGCAGAGGTTGTTGCCAGCACCTTCCTGGCCACAATCAGGCCCGCTGAGTCGGCCATCGTCGTCCAAGGCTGGTCGGGGTGGGCCTTTCGGAGAACAGCGACACGACGGCGCAGTCGAGTGTTGTGGTGTGTCTCCATGCAGACGCAGTGGAGGGCGGTGACGAGGAGACCGGCAGCGACGGCAGCGTAGAAGAGCCAGCGGAAGCCTCCATCGTCAGCGAGCGATGTCGAAGGAGAGTACTGAGCTACTGCTCCGCCAATGATGGGACCAAGGACGGGACCCAGAAAGACGATGGCAGAGTACACCACGGTACCTCGCAAGACGGCCAGTCCTTCGAAGATGTCGACTGAAGACCCGCCGCCGTTGGTGAGGCAAGCACAACCGAAGAAGCCAGCAAAGAAGCGGCACACGAGCAATGTCTCAATGTTCTGGGCTCGAGCGCATCCAATGTTGAAGACGGTCCACAGCAGCGAGGAACCGATATACACTGGCTTCCGCCCGATGGAGTCTGTCAGGAAAAATGGAGAGATGTGATTCAGCATCCAAATTTGGCTGTCGTGAGGAAGGTCAAGATGATGATGCTCACCCGAGAGAGGAGCCCAGAGGAGTGGTCCAGGTCCCCAGCCAATGACGTAGAGCACAAAGCCGGTAATGGCGACTTCTCGGTTGACGGAAAAGAGGACTTGCAATTCTGGAACGAGGAATAGATACGCAGAGGCAAAGGCGCTGCCAAGGTAGGAAGAGATCCAAGGGGGTTAGGACGTCAAGACGTGAGCGGAAATGCTGGCACTATTATACTTGTCGATTCTCTGACTCACCTGACTAGAAATGCATTGAGGGCAATGGTGAGAAAGAGGAGCATCTTCTTCCACGTCGGCTGATTCCTCGGGTCCAGCGGGTCGTTCTTTTCCTGAAACTTGACGATCCAGTCGTCCTTTCCCTCTAGTGCGTGTTCCATCTGAACTCTTCCTACATGCTCTGGTCCTTCGGGAGCCAGAGCAGTAGCCGTCAAGCTCGCTCGCTCTTCATCGTGGGTCAGTCTCCTGTCAGAGGATCCGGAGGCGAGCTCGGCCTTGCTTGGGGAGCCGAGGGTGCCATCACCGCGGGTGCGAGTCTTGGCAGTGCCGCCATGTTCTGAAGAGAAGGAGAGGCGAGGTGTATTGACGGCGGTGCCACTAGGGGAGAAAGGGAGCATAGAGGTAGTACGGTCTGACGAGGAGCGAGGTAGAGCATGGTCTGGTGTCCAGCCGTCCATCGACGAGCTAGGATCTTTGTTGCCGCTCATGGTAGAAGGGAAGCGCGTGCTTGGGCTTGGAGTGAGGGGATGTGGCCAGGGGCTCGGTGACCCTTATCTACGGGAGAGTGTGTGTATGCTACTGAGACAGACAGACAGACACAGCGGGATGAGTCGTGGTGCGTATGAGATAAGGGAGGCAGTGAGGGAACGGTAGCGGTGAGAGGCTTGGTGGGAGGGGCTGAGTAGAGGTCAAGGTGAGGAGTGCGTGGGGTGCCATCTCCTTTGCTCGAGTGGCCCATGTGGCACTTATAAGCATTGCCCACTGGACGGCGTACGTCCTTCGTCGTTCTTCGTCCGTCCTTGGCTCCGGCTAACGGTTCATCCCGGTTGCTCTTGCTCCCCAAAATTAGCATCACCGGAAAAACAGGCGAGGCGGCGGAAAGGCGCACAAAGGCAAAGACGCCGGAAGTGCAGTCCGCAATCTTGCTTTTCTCCTCCGGGCCGGACATTGCAAGTGCCGAGGCTTCTCCGCGGATCTCACAGCGTCAGGGCCAAGAAGCCACGCGAGCCCAAAGCAGCCCTCGCGCTCCGCGGATGCCACCCATTCCGGAGAGTCCGGCGTAGAAGTAGATTTTGCTCGCTCACTCGGGTCATTACTTACAATGGTCATGAATGGTCAACGTGCGCATCACTGCAGTCCAATCAACCTTATCCCCGTCGGCTGATGGCCGAACATGTCCGCGTCGTGGTACAGGTGGTGGGAACCATCCGCTCTGTATTGAATCACCCGCAGCGACACAATGAATCGATACCTCTACAACACTGGCACTTCTACCACAATTCATTGCTCTAGTCTTGAGTCTCCTTTGCCTCTCCATCCTCCGAAGCCGGTCCGGTCAACAGCCCAACCAAGTCCGGTAAGAACTTGGTCAGCTTCTCCTCGGTCACCGCCCATAATGCAGCCTGGCTCGGCGATCTACCGTCACTCTCCTGTACAGGAGGAGGCGGCAAGAGCAATTGCGAAGCGTGCAGAACCAGCAGGACATTCTTGAGATTCTCAGAGACGGCTTCCGTCAGCTGATCGTCCTTCTTGCCCGCCTGGAAAAACCGACTCATGAGGTCCAATGTCTGCAGCCAAAGCTCTTGCAATTCGCTCGGATTGAGCTGGCTCAAAGGTCCCACGAAGTTGAGCAAAGATCGGCAGAGGATCGAGCATGCCCGCACCCTAGTCTCCAGTAACCCGCCCGGTCCCGTCGCATCAGACTCCCGAGGAAACAGGTTGGGTGCTAGCAGAGCCTCCAGAGTCGGAAAGAGAGCATTGAGGAAGATCTGTCTAATTCCCCATGGAGGCGAGTCCTGAGGCAGATACTCCGATGACAGCAAGACTCGCTGCAAGGAAGTCAAAGCAGCTTGCCGAGTGGGACGGTGAGTGTTGACGCATTGGCTTGCCAGAGCTGCCGTCAGCGTCAGCCAGCATTGTGACCAGGTACCAGCGACCGCCGAAGACGGGGTGGCAGAGAGAATGTCTGGTATACATCGCCTCGTGTCTTCCAGCTTTTGGATCGCAAGTGGAGCTTTCGCCCGACATGCCTCCACATACTCTGTCAGCTCCTTCTTCTCCGTCAAAGTCAGGCGGTAGCCTTGCTTTTCCCTTTGTCCGATTTCTCGAAGCACTGGCTCCGGGTCCGCCGTCTGAGCAATGTCTTTCAACAGTCGCACGACGGCGGTGAAGTTCGAAGAGCTCAGATGGAATTGAGCAATGACGGACACTAGGTCATAGAGGAGATCGATACTCTGTGCTGATCGAGTCGTGAAAGAGTCCGACACAAGCGACAGGACCTCGTTCCAGTCCGCTTGTGACTCGACAAACGGTACGCGACGAGGTCGACACAGGATGTGCTGCAGACCAGCAACGATGGAAGGATTCAAGGTGATCCTGACATCGCTAGGGAGAGTCTTGATGAGGTCCAGAGCAGACATGACTTCGGCTTTCATACCTCTTTCTGCAGCGACATCTATCAGTCGTAGCAAGCTCACGATGGCGCGCTCCAAGAGAGCAGGATGGAAGCTCTTGGGGCTCTGCAGAAGGCTGCCAATGTGAGCAGCTAGCTCGGCCCAAGTCTCGCCGACGAAGTCTACTGCTCGGCATGTCACATTAGTGAGCATCTCGAGGGCAAAGACGGATCGAGGATCGTACGGCAGTGGTTGCAGAATAGCCGACTGCGTTTGACCTTGAGGACCTGCAGATTGCACGGGCGTCGATCGACCGCCAGTAGAGCCTCCACCATTACTGCCAGCCCCACTGCCGTCGGCTTGCTGACGGCTGGCGGCTGCAGCAGCCAATTGACCAAGAGTGAGCCGATCAGCCAGCTGTCGCAGCGAGCGAATCGCAGCTACGACACTCTCACGGGACTGCAGGGTGAGGAGTTGGTCGTAGAGCTCTGCCACCCGACAAGATGAGATGCAATCGACAGAGCAGAGTGCAGACTCCACGTCCTCTTCCGATACCTCGGGTGGAGCAGGTTCGGTGACGTTCGAGTACGGTGACAGGAGGTACGAGCTCAACGTGCTGAAGAGACCACCTCCTTGGCTTCGAGGATCGGGCACTGGAGCACCTAGTGCTTTCTTGGGCCGAAGGGGAATAGGGACCCGAGGCTCCTGGTCAGCGGTACTGCTATCGGCTTTGGGGGTCTCGCTGCCCTCCGCTCTGAGTGTTTGATTTCTGCTTGCATAGTCGTACATGCTTGCTAACTCCTCGGGAAGAAGCCCTGCAGCGAATAGGTTCTTGAAGATCTCAAAGATAGGCGTCCAGCCATTGCGAATCGCTTCTCCGTTACCATTGGCAATCGTGAACAAGACCACGGCTGCAAGCTGACCTTTGAAATCTGTACCAAACCGAACACCGAGTGGTGAAACGCTGACCTTGGCGCCTTCCACCTCCACAGTGGCATGATTCGTGATTGGGCCGGAGTGGGCTAGTGTCATCGGGCCCGTTGGGTCCAGAAGCCCAGTGCTAGCCGAGAGTCCTTCAATCATGAAGTCGAAAACCTCATCCATACCCCACTTGCTGGCCAGAATTGCGCACTGACGGAAGCCTGAGATGGCCCGCTCCAGCAGATGCTCGTCACGGAAAGTCGAGAATGCGTAAGCGATACATGCCACCAGAGGCTTCCAGTTCGAGACGAACATGTCGCGGTCAAATTGATCGGTGGTAGGGCACTTGAAGCTGCCTGAGGTCCTTGACCTACGTAGCAATTCTTTCCAGGCGTACTCGAAGCCGAGCTGCCCGACGTGCTCTTCAGGCATGACGATCTCCCTTTTCCGGATGTTCTCGTAGAGACTTCCCAGGTAGTCAGGGTCAAAGTCCACACCGTCATTCACCCCTCTGAGATTGCGCCTGTAATCTTCAACTTTCATCTTGCGTTTATTCTGAGCATTGTGTAAGTCCGTGTTCAGCATAATGACCGAATATGCCAGAACGTATACCGCGTCTTCGCTTTTAATGAGATGTTTCGGTGCGACGGCAAAGTAGAACTTCGCAAAAACCTCTGTGATACGAGAAATTTGCTGAGACTCGCCCGGCAGGCGGAAGGATTCGAGAAGCTCTCGCAATCCTTCTGTCACTGGCTTGTCCACAAAGTCGAACGAGCCGATGAACGCATCAAGCACACCGGTATTGGCCGGACGAGAGATGTAATCGCCAAGAAGCTTTTTGTCCAGTCGAGGGCATTCAAGGAGGAACTTGGCAATGGATTCATCCTTGCTGCCATTTGCATCTGCTGAGATGAAGCCTTGCGCCTCAAGATAAGCCAGACCATCCTTGGGCTTTGCATTGAAGCGTCTGGCACCTTCTAGGATGGCACCTTTTCTGCCACGAGAGTGTTTCAGGATGTCTATGGTGGAGAAATCATCGGGCCAAGACTGACCGAGAGAGCGGTCGTCGACGTCCTCTTGACGAGCGGTCAACCTCTCAACGAATGAGAGCAACATATCTAGTGCGAAGACTTGGGTCCCGTCCTGAATGGCCGTCGTCGCAGCTGGACCAGAGCTGGGCCCTACGGTGTTGAGAGGGGTCGAAGCAAAGACGGCACGACAGAGGAAGTGGATCATCTGAGAGCACAAATCTTCACAGTCTACGTCGCAGTCGAAATTCAGGAAAAGGGCCAGCAGTGGGTCCTCGTCTCGCCCACTTTCCAATGAAGGCGATGACTTGTATGCTCCCGTCAAGAGAGCCAATGCCTCGAGCATCAGGTCTCTTGTATCACCAGAGGCAGGGGCTTTGTCACTAGATTTCGGCATCGGGGGCGGCGGTGGGGCCGGAGGGGCGTCGGCTGAAGATCGGCCTGCGTCAGCTGAAGACACCAAGCGCGATGGCACAGATGATGCGATTGCGTGCAGGCCTTCGTTCCATGGTTCTTGACTCAAGGGGAAGGTAGGGGCAAGGCGTTCGAGCAAGAAAGTGAGCAGAAGCTCATACTGTAGCTTGAGATCTGAGGCCATCGCCTCGAAAAGTGTACATATACCTCGGATAGCGTAATTGGCAATCGCGAAGCTTTCGCTGCGCGCAAGCTGCAATAGGTACTTGCACCCAGTGTCTTGTAGCTGAGCCTTGAGTGACGGAAATCGAGAGAGCTGAGTTCCGGAAGTTTCTAGGGCCGCCGTCAACAAATTGAGCCCCAAAAGCCGCATCGTATCGGTATGTGTTGGCGATTGTGGGTCGAGGAGTGAGATGAGTACCCGTAGTACCTCTTTGATAGCTGGGACAGAGAAAGGTGCGATTTCCGCATCGGCTTGCACTGGAGTCGGACCTTCATATGGCGCTCCTCCATTGCTTGCGTTGTAAATGCCTGAGCTGCTATCAGGTGCCGTATCACCACTTGACCTGCCAATTTCCTTGCCTGCAGCTCCATTGACGTCGCTGCCTACCGCGTTGCTCTCTTCATTCTCCTCGACCTCCGTCATCGATGCCAACTCGCCACTGAGAGACTGTACCTGAGCCGCAAGGTCAGCACCCACTGGCGTCACCATCAAGCCTCCTGGGTCTGGCATTGTCATCCTCCTGAGGCGCTTCTCATCTGGGTCAGCTGAAGAAGTGACTTCTTCAATATCGTCCGCTGCCAGGGATGTGTGATCCGGCGGTATCTCACTGTCTGCAGAGTAAGCTTCATCGGCAGTCAGAGGAATCGATGGCAGCCGCGAGAACAGATGGCGCACCATCGGCAGGAGATGTTGCTCTGCCGTCTTTCGCAAGAGGTCTGAGACGAAGGGAAGGGGGCCAAAGGGTTGTCAGTAGCTGCCTATCAGCCCTGCAACGGCTTCGCACGTACCACTGAGGCGGGTCTGGCAACACATGCTGAGGCCAGTTTCCATCATCTCGCAGATGCTCTCATCGGGGAGAAGGTCTGCCAGAGTAGAGGGTTGGTCGCCTGTCGCTATCTCGTTGGTACCGCACACCAGTTCCTTCATCACTGCTAAGATTCGGAGCAACACGAGCTCGTCTACACTCGGCTCGGATGACTCGAAGCGGCAATGAGAGATGGCTCGAGCGATGTCGATCACAGCAAGGCGGAGCCCGAGGGGCGCAGTGGAGTCGAGCGTCGACGAGGGGTTGGTCGTGTGCGATAGGGGCACCACCTGATATACCAGTAAGCGGTTGATGGCTTGAAGAGCTGCAGATGTGACCGGGGCCGAGACCCGGGGAGAGAGGATGGTCTGCAGGAAAGGGGCTACCAGTAAAGGCAACGGCATCTTCGAAAGGTCGCCGATCTCCTTGAGCTGTGCCCTTAGAACTGTGAAGGCGTTCAAGAGAGCTTGAGGCTCCAGAGCTTGCCCGGATTCGCCTTGCGCAGTCGTCGATGAAGGTCCTCTGCCGGGCGTGGCTGCATTGGTCGTCTCCTTGGCTCTGGCGGTCAGTGCCGACTTGAGTCCATCCCCGTCTGTCCCTCCGTCTGCAGTGGACGCAATGGCCGTCGTCTCCGCCCGTTGCGTGGTGCCCTCTGCTCCATACGCAGCCAGCTTCCTTCTGCTTTGCAACAGTGCTGCGCCAGTCAGGGAAGCCGAATGAGAGCCTGGAGCGATGGGATGGCTGACGAAAGAGCCGGACGAAGATGAAGCCGAAGGAAAGCCAAAGCCACTCGAGGATGACGAAGATGGGAAGCGCGAGTACTTTCGTATCGAGGTTGTGACGGATATAATCTCTGCCTGGACCAGATGGAGGGGAGAGAAGGAAGGTCCCTGTCCTGGCCGGACTAGAGGGCCGCGAGATGAGTGATCTTTCCACAGCATCGCCATCTTCATCCGGATTTGACAAGACTATCGTTCCGGTGTGAGGCTTTCTCTTCTGATCTGTTATGGTCGATGGGTCTTTGCTGCAGAGGGGTGGAGGACGCAGCGAGAAAGACACGGCTCTAGCACATCTGACTCTGAGCAGCGTCAGAAGCAAAGTTCAGGAGTGATATGGAACGAAGCAGGAGCTACGAAGCAGGAGCTATGGATGACCTCTACTGAGCTCCGAGACCAAACAAGATGTGCGTGGTGGAGGGATGGTGATGGATACGACACCAAAGAAGACGAGGCGGCCAACCAACACGACGTCGATCCTCCAGCCAGAAGCGCACAGGCGCAATCCGACGCCTCGCAGTCCAACGCCCCGCTTCCGATCCGAGCAGCTGCCGAGGCTCGACTTGCAACGCGGGTAGAGCTTCCTTCCTCCCTCGCTCCCTCGCTAGCATACCATCCTTTACTGCCCACCGCTTCCTCCTCTTCTCTCCCTCTGCCCATCTGCGGTGGTGACCTCTTGCAGCTCATCAGCGGTAGACTGAGAGCAAGCTCTTGCCAGCGAGGCCACAGCTCTGATGGCGCCTTCAGCATCGTCGTCCTCTACGGGTACCACTGCCTTGGGCGAGCTGGTCGCCTCGTTTCCGCTGACCTGGCCTGTCCCCAATCCCTCCGATGACGCGAGCCTGATACCAACCTCAGACGTCTCACTCGAACAGGACCTCTTGCTCAATGAGGACTCTCTGCGCTCTTGGAGGTCATACATCTCTCACATTGAGACAGCCAATTATCACAAGCGATCGCCTCCGGACGTTCGCTTTGGCCCACAAGAGGCCAAGCTGCTCGGCCCGCTGGCTAGCAGTGAGAACTGCATCGCCCTCAAGAGAATCGTATCTATCTACGAAAGGGCTTTGGCCCGCTTCCCCACCAGCTATGGGCTTCACAGAGACTACCTCTATGCCAGATCGCGGTTCGTGCTGGGCGAGCCCAAGGGAGGGTACGAAGGCCTCAAGAAGAGGATCGCTCACGCCAGCAAGAAGACACTGGACGTTGGACCTAGTCTGATCAGCCAGGAGGATGAGGACGACGACGTGTGGCAATGGACGTGGAAGCATGGAGGCGCGCTCGATGGTACCACAGGGTACAAGGAGTGGGTCGCACTAGTAGGAGCCTGTGAGAGAAGTCTCCAGTGGATGCCCAAGGTGAGTTCATGCAAGGTGACCTGGTAGCGTAGCACAGCCCAAAGCTCAACTCGCCATGTATGACCCCTTTCAGATGCCACGGATCCACCTCTTCTACCTTGCCATCTTCCTCCATCCCAATTGCCCTGCCCCACTCTCTCTCACCCATGCAAGACGGACTTTCGACCGCTCCCTCCGCCTTCTGCCTCCCTCCCTTCACTTGAGGATATGGAAGCTGTATCTGTCATGGGCTGAGAAGGTAGGCGGCGAGACTGGCCTCAGAGTCTGGAGGCGATATCTCAGGGTGGATCCAAGCTTGACCGAGAGATACATAAAGTTGCTCCTTACCACCCGACCACTCAAGGTAACAGGTGCCGTAGAGGACGAAGACGAAGAGGAGACAGAGCCCTCACCCGGTCCAAGAGCATTGGAAGCTGCGAAGTCTCTGCTGAGGCTTGCCACTGATGCTCAGAAGGGCTCTTACACCTCACCCGACGCAAAGGCGCCCCATCAGCTCTTTAGCGAGTGGCTTGAGCTGGTGGACCGATACCCCGAAGAGACTGGACTCGACGAGGATGCAGAATCCGCATTGACTGCTACCCTGCAAAGAGGTCCTGGCGGCATTTCGGCTCCTTTTGCGAACGACGGGTCCAGGTCCGCCGCTGGGGGCAGCGCTCGTACGCAACCCTTGGTCCAGAACAGCGAGGCGGCACAAGCCTCCCTGGCCAAGGGCCTGGCGTCGCACTTCCCCAGACCAGAAGACGTGACGGCGTTGAGCGCCTCTCTACTCCCGGTGCGAAACATCATCCTAGCGACTCTGCCGATGTACCCGGACCAAGCTGGAAGACTCTGGACCGGTCTTGCTACATACCATCTCAAGAGGGGCGAGCTTGATCTTGCTAAGGCTACCTTTGAGGAAGGGATGAGGAAGGTCGTGACGGTAAGAGACTTCTCTATCATCTTCGACGCGTACGCAGAGTCCGAGGAGGGAGTCATCTCCTACCTGATGAATGATCTCGAATCAGAAGGAGCGGAAGGTGAAGATGAGGATCGACAAGAGAAAGAGGAAGATCTGGACAAGCGCATGGCGAGCTTCGAAGAGCTCATGGAAAGTCGACCCTTCCTGGTGAACGACGTGATGCTCAGGAGAAATCCAGACGATGTTCAAGAGTGGGAAAAGAGGGTAGCGCTACATGGCGACGATGACGAGAAGATCGTCGAGACGTATAAATCTGCCATTGAGACGATCAATCCGCGCAAAGCAACGCCAAATCATCATCAGCTCTTCCTCAACTTTGCCAGATTCTATGAAGTCGGAGGATCAGCCGGGCTTAAGCTATTGGATGAGATCCGCGCCGATCCCAAGGCTGCTTTGCCCATTGAGGATGATGATCTGCCGTTGCCAGATCTGGATTCAGCGAGAAAAATCTTCGAAAAGGGCGTCACAATTCCATACAAGCGAGTGGATGACCTGGCTGAGGTATGGATCTCTTGGGCCGAGATGGAGCTGCGTCATGGCGAGTATGACGCCGCTCTACGAGTTATGGCAAGGGCTGTGCAGACCCCGCGTCAGACAAAGGGTGTCAGCTACTATGACGACTCGCTTCCTCCCCAGAGTCGGCTCTTCAAATCGCTCAAATTATGGTCGTTCTACTCTGATCTGGAAGAATCCATCGGCTCGACAGAGGGAGCTAAGAAGGTGTACGACCGGATTCTGGAGCTCAAGATTGCCAATGCTCAGACGATTATCAATTACGCTTCTTTCCTCGAAGAGAGGGGCTACCACGAAGACTCGTTCAAGGTGTACGAACGCGGAGTAGACTCTTTCGGCTACCCCATCTCCTTTGAAGTATGGAATGTGTATCTGTCTAAGTTTGTCAAGCGGTACGGAGGCACAAAGATCGAGCGGGCGCGAGACCTTTTCGAGCAGGCTCTACTCGGATGCCCTCCAAAGTTCAACAAGGTACTCTTCCTGAAGTACGGAGCCCTTGAGGAAGAGTATGGACTAGCGAAGAGGGCGATGAAGATCTATGAGCGGGCTACAAAAGAGGTCGCCGAAGGTGAAAAGTTCGACGTGAGTATCGGCCTGAGTCAAACCAGTATAGACGTGTGCTGGCTCTTTGCAATCACTGTGTACATTTTACTCACGTTCCACCGACCATCCGCTCACTGCTGCGCTTTGTCAGATGTTCACCTTCTACATCGCCAAGACTGCTTCCAACTTCGGGCTTGCCTCGACAAGAGCCATCTACGAAGCAGCCATTGAGGTCCTACCAGATCGCCAGACTGCAGAGATGTGCTTGCGCTTTGCCTCTTTAGAGCGTAAGCTGGGCGAGATCGACCGAGCGAGGGCAATTTATAAGTACGCCAGTCAATTCTGTGACCCTAGGGTGAGTCTACGAGCAGCAACAGGCTTTCAGCGATTCAGAAAGAAGCTCAAGGCTGACCCTCCATTACCCCCTTCCCACCGCCACAGCTTCATGCCAACTTCTGGAAGGAGTGGAATTCCTTCGAAATCGAGACCGGGTCGGAAGATACGTTCCGCGAGATGCTACGAATCAAGCGCTCTGTACAAGCGCAGTACAATACGGATCTGTCGTATATCTCCGCCTCGGCTCAGGCCTCTAGCAAGGATGCTACAGCAAACGCACACAGTGCCGCCCTTGCGGCCAGTGCTGCTGCCGCCTCGGGCGATGCGATGAGTCAGCTGGAAGCACAGGCGCAAGCGCAGGCCTCGAAGCAGAAGGGTGTTGCTGCCAGTGGGATGTTCGTTTCCGCACAAACTGAACGAGGAGGAGGCAAGAAGGGAACTGCTGCACCTGAGAGTGAGGGAGAAGAGGAGAGCAGTGACGAAGAGGACGGTAAAGGTGCAGCAAACGGGGTGAACAATGAAGAAAGGGTGGGCGGAGGGGAGGAGGACGATGACGATGACCTGATGTAAGAAATCGTGTCACACTCGTGTAGCCGGGAGGTCTAGCGCAAGCAACGCCACACATGTGCGGGTGATCATGATACCAATCAATCCCTTGGCAAATCTTCGACGAGATCGCGGCTAGGACATCTCCTGCCTATCGTTTGTGCCTGAATCCCTGTGCGGCTAATTGTAGCTTCCCGCGTGGTACCTTTGCTTCCACGACGACGGGCGCCGTGACCTGGAGATACAGTGTTCGGCCCGACTGGGTTGGAGCGAGGGCAAGTCAGGGATGCACTCTCCTCCCGTTATGAGTGCAGCCGGTCCGCAACGGGGTCTGAGCAATAAAGGGGCTCAGCCTTGGTTCAATTCGGCTGCTTACACTTACGATCCTATCTTCAGGAATCGAGCCGTCTCTACGTGGTCGACCCTATCTACCACAGACAACGTAGTACTCAGCTAGTACCAAGCCAACTACTAAGTACCAGCAATGTCCACTACCGTTCAAAATGTAAAGGAATCAGTCGTGGCTCTGTTCCACTGGAGAACCCGAGGCTACTATCTCGATGCGGAGGGTGTGCAGCGAGAGACGTGCGAAACGCCCAAGCTTCCGCCCAACCCCCTAAAGCTCATCCGCAAGATCACTCTCAGGATCTGGATCACATACACCATCGGCTGTGAGTGGGCGAGAAAGCGAAGGTCCGGGCGTCGTTGCTTACGCACCACACCGATGTATGAATTGCATCATGATCGACTGGCGACAAGTCCTCGCCTGGTTTGCGGATGCGTATGACTTTCACTCGCTCTCGATTCAGTCCGTGAAGCTGGCAAAGCACTTCAACACGTAAGTCACAGCATTCACGTCGATGGCAGTTGCAGCTAGGAGCTCATAACACGCTTTCCGAATGCCACTGCAGCACCAAGAGCCAGGTCAGCGAAGCCATCACTCTCACTCTCCTGTTGCGCTCTGTAGGAGCTGCCATCTTCGGCATCTTTGCTGACTACTTTGGGCGCAAGTACCCGATGGTCATTAACATGTGGCTCCTGGGCGCCTTGCAGATAGGAACCATCTACAGTCAGACTTTCCAGCAATTCCTCGCCGTCAGGGCACTGTTCGGACTGGCCATGGGAGGAGTATACGGAGCCGCGGCGTCTATGGCTTTGGAAAGTGTTCCTTCCGACGCACGAGGATTGATGAGCGGCATCTTCCAGCAGGGTGAGTAAGCACAGGATTCAGGTGGGCAAAAGTGATCTGATGTCCCAGCAAGTCTTGCCGTACCGACAGGATACTCCTTGGGCTATGTCATAGCTGCATGCATCAACCTCGCTGTGGGCGGGGACGTTGCGAGTTGGCAGACCATGGTGAGCGAATTTGCTCTACCACAGTCCCTCCGCAGCTCTTGCTGAACATCGAATCCTCCCTGTCGGCATTGCGTCTTCGCGCATCGCCTGCACTATCTCGACTCAGTTCTGGGTTGGAGCCGCCCTCTCCTTCTTCGTTGGCACCTTACGCCTGATCTGTCCCGAGTCCAAGGAGTTTACGGAATCCAGGAAGTTGAATAAGGGTCAAGGCACAGCTGATTTCCGCAAGAACTTTCTTTTGATGCTCAAGACGGAATGGGGGATCTGCGTCTATGCTGTGGTGCTTATGACCTGGCTCTGCTGGATCAGTCACACGTCTCAGGACAGCTATACAGTGAGCAGCTTGAGCGGGCAGGGGCCGATGCAGATCTTGGCTGACAAGCGAGGACTTGATACTTGACCAGACATTCATGATCGTAGGCAAGTCGCTGAGCAATTCGGCAGCATCGCGCACCTCCATCTTGATGAAGTCGGGAGCGTGAGTACCAAGGAGTGAGGAGGGTACTTGAGCCTGACGAAGTATTGACGGTCCACGATTATTTCACCCCACAGATGTATTGGTGGCGCTATCACTGGCTATTTGAGGTGAGATTGCTGGGGAAATGCCACGTTTTTGACCATTGTCCTTCGATGCTGACTTCTGATGATCTCTTAGCCAATGGTGTGGGAGGAGGCGGGCAATGGTCATAACAGCTCTCCTCACCATTTGCTTGATACCTGCTTGGATTCTGCCCAACAGTGAAGCGGGTCTGTCAGTGGGATCATTTCTTCTTCAGATGAATGTCCAGGGTGCTTGGGGTAAGTAGCCGCTAGGCATTGAGTAAGGGGGGAGGCTTTGGTAGTTCTGACAGCCTCCCTTTACTCTTTAGGTGTGGTGCCGATCTACCTGGCAGAGATCAGTCCCCCAGCATTCAGAGCTCTCTTCATTGGGGTCACCTATCAGCTGGGGAACGCTATCAGCTCTCCATCTACACAGATTGTGTGAGTCGATGTCGTGAGCATCACTGCTTTTGACGAGCATGTGCTGACTTGACCTCCACAACACCTTCAGCAACGAGCTTGCGGAGCGCCATCACATCAAAGACCACCTGGGAAGGCAAGTAGAAGCTTATGGACCCGTCATGGCCATTATGACTGCCATCTTTGCGGGTTTGCTGGTCGTTACGGCCGCGGTAGGTCCCGAGAAGAAGGGGATCAGCTTGCAAAGGGGACTCGCCGAAGACACGGGCCAAGCGGTGAGAGACACCTCTGTCAAAGGAGGGGGCTTGCCCTTTCCACGGACCGAGACCGCGAATGACAGCAAGTCATTCGAACTTCGACGCGACGTCACTGGCAGGACGGAGCTCCCCAGCAAAGTCGTCTAATCTTGTAACGCGTGACCTCTCCAAGAGGGAAAGAGCAGCCTATCCGCAGATAGCCATCCAGCGCATACACAGTATAGCTATTCGCAAGTCACAGTACCGTCTTAAATTGCTCCTCCTTGTCCAGTCTCTGAATTGTTTACGATGCCGAATTGTTTACGATGCCATGTGCTGCTATTGCGCCTTGTATGTGATTGGAGTGAGTCTGAGCAAGATGTTACGCCCCGTAACTTGTGGCGAAGAAGAGGCGCGACAGTGTCCGGGCGCGGAAATGCGAGTCTGGCTGAGAGAGCCAGACTCTGGAAGCGGGGCCAAGACGCTTCCTTGCCTCCTTCCTTCCTTCCTTCCTTTCTTGCCTCCCTCCCTTGGTCCTGGTCAGCATTGCCTACCCCACTACTCCAACATGATCATCTCCCACGCATAGAGCTTATACAGATTGACTCAGGTCGAACCTTGCCCGCTCTGCTCCGCGCTTGGTATGGCCCCTTCTTCACCCCCACCGGCTGTAGGCAGCAGCAGCAGCAGCAGCAGCGGCAGGAGCAGTCGTCCCCGGCCTTCGTCTTCTGGCCTACCCCGGCCGCACAAGGCCCTCGACCCCTCTTCATCCTCTTCATCAGCTGCAGAAGGCGACTCTCTGCCAGTCGTCGTCCCGAAGAGGAGGCGCCTGGAGCTCAACGGATTGAGGTTTGACAGCCCCGGCGCCGCCTTCGACCAAGAGATTGACATTACCAGTGGCAGACCTAGCCGGAGAGCAGCTTCCTACTCATCGGCGCCAGCGGGTGACACTTCAGGTAGATCAAGTCCCTTGATTCGCAGCTCAGCTCTGCAGACAAGCTCGTCCTCTCGAGCGCCATCACCTCCTTCCCTGCCAGGGCAAGATCATACAGCGTCTTCTTCGCGGCTTCGTCCAGGTTCCGACACCTCCTCGTCCGCTATTCCAGCGGTACCGCCAACCGATCGTACAGCTTCGTCTCCACCCACCGTCTTATCTCCTCGCAGTGGCGATGAGAGCAGTAGGCGGCAAAGACGGCCATCACGGAAGCTCAGAGAGGCATCGGAGGAGCAAAGAAGGCCCGGCCACACCTCTCCCGCCCGGTCTCCACCTAGAAGGCTACCTATAAAACCGACCAAAGGCAAAGCTGCTCACTCCTCGTCGTCTGGTCGTGAGGCTGGATTGGCAAGCAACCTCCACAAGAAGAGGAGCGCAGTCAATGGGATCTCACAAGATCGGGAACGCTCAGGTGGGGACAAAGAGGACAGGATTGGTCAGATTCAGAAGCAACTAGATGATGTACATACCGACCACGATGGTCTTGTTAGAGAGCTCTTTCATCTGACCAAATTCGTCACGTACGTCGGATACGATCCTGAGGTAAGTTGAACATATCCGGCCTAGCTGAATGGAGGTAGTCCTGATATGCAGCTGACCATTTCTCTCTCGTGCATGTGTTCAGGCTGTCAAGGACGATCGCTCCCACGTCTTCGAGCATTTTCGCTTTCAGAATGGTCTCAATCTCGAGGCGCAGCTGGCCTCGGGGCCGTCGGCTCGTATGACTAGAAGACACGTAAGCCGGCGAATGGACGATCTCTCCCTGCGCAAGGCCAGCTCGCCTTCGCAAAGCAAGACTGAAGGCATATCGTCAGCAAGCAAGGGCAAAGGGAGAGCCTCGACTTTAGACGAAGAAGTTGTTGGGAATCTCTCATCCTCGCAGAATCGCGACGTTCTTAAGAAGAGTGATGCCGGATCGTCTGCCAGCACATTGCGCGGTAAGGGCGGCAAGATCATGGTTGCAAATTCGTTAGGGACGCCAACTCGGACATACAAAATACAAAAGCACAAGGCATCACCTCTAGAGTCAGGTACGGGCTCTAGTGGTCGACCTCCTCATCAACTCTTTCGTAACTTCCATCGGCAGAGAGACCTGCCCGAGTCTGCCGCTGAAGAAGAAGAGAGAGCATTACAAGACTATTGGGCCCGCAGTCAGCCCAGGCGGCTGCCTCAGATCACTCCGACCTTGATGGCAACGCATCCTTCCCAAGTCCCTCTGACTGCTGCGTTCGGCGGCGACATTCGAGCTTACTTTGACAGCTTCCGATGTCTTGGCGAGGCAGGAGAGGCTGCCAGCGCGGCGGAGGTCAGGGCATTCGAAAAGCGAGACAGCGCAAGTCACGTCCGTATCGATCGCGCTCGCAGAGAAGGAAGGTTGTCCGGCGAACCATATTCCCTGACCGCTCTCCGACCGCCTCGAGATGCAATCACCGCGAGACCCAAGGGCATACACGATGTCATGATTGAGAAGATCTGCACCCACTCCGCCTCGGTGAAGGCTGAAGCACGGCACAAGAGGAATTTGGCAAGAAAGGTGTCTCGCATCGTGCAAGCATACTGGTCCGCCAGGACAGGTGATGGAGAGAAGGCGCGCAAGGCCCATGAACGCCACTTAAGATCTTTGGCCAAGTGGACAGTGAGAGAGGTCAATAAGCAGTGGAAGCTCGCAGTCAGTGTTGTCAAGGCTAGCAAAGCTAAGGCTGACAAGTTGGAGCGCGAGAGACAAGGAAGAGAGCAGCTTGGTAGGATTTTGGAGCAGAGTACCAAGTACCTTGGCGCAAGAGAGGAAGACCTCAGAAAGGGCAGACTAGAGAGCGAAGAAGCCAACGACGACGATGCTGTCACAGATAGCGATGACAGCGATCCAGGCTCCGGCGCATCTTCCGTTGCAGGCTCAGAATCCTCTCTTGAGTCCGACGTGTACAGTCTGGAGGACGACGGATCAGACAGCGCAGCCTCAATTGGAGCGGACGAAGACGAAGGCGACGAAATTGCTTCTCCTGACCTTGAATCCTTCGGCAAAGATAGCAATCACCTGTCGGCGTTGAAGGGCGCGAATGGACCTGCAAGCCAGTCTTCAGCAGCGCTGAGAGCTTCCAGTATTGATAACGGGTCGGATGCACCTAGCGAAGCCGAAGACACGAGCTCTGAACACAAGGTGGCGTTACTACAACAATTGCTGTCCAACGACGACAGCGATGCTTCAGTCGCACTTGAAGTACAGCAGAGTGCTTTCAAAGACCCAATCGTCAAGCATTCGCCCAATGGTACGATGCGCGATCACTCACCTGGGCCTACTCGCTTCACTCCTGCAAAGGCTTCCAGAACAAATGGCACCTCGAAAAAGCTCATTACCGAGATTGCAGTAGGAAATGGGTCCCATCATCGTGACAATTCAGAAGCGTCAGTTGAGTCACCTCCCCGACCGAAATCGAGTAGCCCAGAGAATCCTGATTCGCCTCATCAGGATCCTACCGAAGGAGGGTCGCACTCTCCGGATTTCGAAGTGAACGGCTTTGCCTCATCTGTAGAGGACGAAGACCTCGAACTCGATGACGAGATGGAAGAGGACGGAAGCATCAGCGGAACCTCCGAGGAGGACGAGGGCCTGATGGCAGACGCTGACTTGCCCATGGAGGAGCTGATGAAGCGATATGGCTACGCTAGTCAAGCTGGCGAGTGGCAGGCTGAGCCTGTCGCGGAAGAGGAAGATTCCTCACCCCAAGATGAGAATCTCATCAGCGCCGACATGACTTCCAGAACTTCATTGGTGGATGCTGTAGACGGCAAAGAAGAGACAGGCGAAGAATTAGTCCGAGGGTCTCCTGCGCCTTCAAAGTCACAAGCAAAATCTCCAGCGGGATCCTCAACGTCACTTCAGAGCTCCGCCTCGGTCACACGTGCGTCGTCGGTCGCACCAAGCGATGATGATGTCGTCAGCGCAGTAGAATCGCAACCTCGAGGTCTTCATCCACCCTTCCTGCTTCGAGGCTCCCTGCGACCCTATCAGCAAACTGGGTTCGAGTGGCTCGCCAGCCTGTATGCTAACAAGGCCAATGGTATTCTTGCCGACGAAATGGGGCTGGGCAAGACGATCCAGACTATCACTCTACTTGCTCATCTGGCCTGTGACAAGGGTAATTGGGGTCCCCACCTCGTCATTGCTCCGACCAGTGTGATGCTCAACTGGGAGGTCGAATTCAAGAAGTTCCTTCCGGCCTTCAAGATTCTGTCCTACTACGGCTCACAGAAGGAGCGCAAAGAGAAGCGTATAGGCTGGAATACGGAGCATCAATTCAACGTCTGCATCACAAGCTATCAGCTTGTTCTAGCCGATCAGCATATCTTCCGTCGCAAGCCTTGGGTCTACATGATCCTCGACGAAGCTCATCACATCAAGAACTTCAGATCCCAACGCTGGCAGACACTCCTTGGCTTCAATTCAGAGAGGCGTCTCCTTCTGACCGGAACACCTCTCCAGAACAATCTCATGGATCTTTGGAGCTTGATGTACTTTTTGATGCCCAATGGACTGACGGGAGTGGCTGGTGCGGGCGCTTTCGCCAATATGAAGGACTTTCAAGAGTGGTTCTCCAACCCACTAGATAGAGCTGTTGAGTCTGGTAGCTCAATGGACGAAGAGACTCGCAAGATGGTGAGCAAACTGCACACTGTGCTTCGGCCCTTCCTGCTGCGAAGACTCAAAACCGAAGTCGAAAAGGAGCTTCCCCAGAAGTATGAGCACGTCCTTTATTGCCGTCTGTCAAAGCGCCAGCGATTTCTCTACAACGACTTCATGAGTCGAGCAAAGACTCGCGAAAGTCTAGCTAGCGGCAATTACCTCAGCATCATCAACTGCCTCATGCAATTGAGAAAGGTGTGCAATCATCCTGATCTATTCGAAGTGCGACCTATCAACACCGCCTTCGCCATGGAGCGGTCAGTAGCAGCAGATTTTGAGATCAAGGATCTACTGGTTCGCAGGCAGCTCCTTGCCGGCCTGGATTTGCAAAGTCAGTCTGACGCACTCTTGCACAGTGCCATTTCCTTTGACGTAACCGGTAAGGAACACCTGACACCGATCTCTACCCGCGTAACTCGGCACTTGGATGCATCTCAAAAGCTTCCTTATGCCAAAATTGCCACCCCTGCCAAGCCATCCTTTGACTTCTGGACAATCGAAGGCTACCGCCGCACCCTGGAGCAGCGCAGACATGCAGACGAGGTGGCGGACTGGAAGCACAAGGCATACATCAATGGGCTTCGCACGCGCCAGCATCCCGTCTATGGCGCTACGTTGCTGTCGAAACTTCAACAACTTGGACATTCGGCGTCATTGCGTCCCCTTGGCGTCGTCGAAAATGACCGGCGCTCCTTTTGGTCGCGTTGCGATAACGTGTCCAGGCTGATCGTCTCAACTCAGGAAAGGGCGGAGACTATGGTGGATGCAGTAGATCGTTTCGCCATGGTCCCACCGAAAGCGTTGGCGCGTGACCTGCCAAGGCTTGCGCTGCCAGGCGTGACTTGGGACAAAATGCCAGAAGAAGCCCTCTCCCAACGTTTCACCTCGACATCGCACAGAGCAGCCACAAAACTTCAAATTGCCTTCCCAGACGCTGCACTGTTGCAGTATGATTGCGGAAAACTGCAAGAGCTCGACCTGCTCATGCGTCGTCTGAAAGCCGGGGGACATCGCATTCTGATCTTCACACAGATGACAAAGGTGTTGGACATTCTCGAGGCCTTCTTGAATCTTCACGGGTATCGTTATCTGAGACTCGACGGGTCTACACGGATCGACCGCCGTCAGGCCCTAACGGAGAAGTTCAACCGTGATCCTCGCATCGATGCCTTCATCTTGTCTACCCGTTCGGGCGGTCTCGGCATTAACCTCACCGGAGCAGACACCGTCCTGTTCTATGATCTGGACTGGAATTCGGCTATCGAAGCACAATGCATGGACCGAGCTCATCGCATTGGTCAGACGCGCGATGTCCATATCTACCGCTTCGTCTCCAAGGCGACCATCGAGGAGAACATGCTGAGAAAGGCAGACATGAAGAGGAGGCTGGACAGCGTCGTGATTCAAGGCGGAGAGTTCACCACTGAGCATCTCAAGAGAGGTGACTGGAGAGACATGCTCGATGATGACGGCACCACGCTAGCTGGCGTCAAGGTCGGCGACGCTGAAGAAGGTGCAAGCAGCGACCAGCGTGCTGCTTCCATACCGGACGAGCGCCTCCTGGCCGAAGCTGAGGACGAAGAAGACCGTGTCGCAGCTCAAAATGCCAGGCAAGAAATGGTGCTCGAGGATGATACCGTCACGGACTTTGTTCGGGAAGACGTCGAGACCGCTGATGGAGGCAGGGTGCCTGAAGCTGCTCCAGGCACGCCAATCGAGGGCATGGACCCTGTGGTAGAGGAGGACGGAGAAGAAGACGACGGAGGCACCGTCGACGATTATATGCTGCGCTTCGTCGAGAGGGACTGGGGCTTCTTCGGAGGTGGTGGATTCCGAGTCTGAGGCTTCAGATGAAAGGAGGGGCTTTCAAAGGGCAACTTCAGGCCTTTCCCAGGTGTTGCGACTCTTTGTAGAGATGCAGATACCTTACTGTTGTCGCGCTCAGATAGCTCTCTCGTTGAGCCTAGCGAACACAATCATAGGCGCTTACTTCGCAATTGTTCATCTGATTCGCCAATCCCAACGAGACTGAGGATGTGTCGCAGTGTCCCAAGCTCCGTGTACCATACGCCGCCTGTAGCAGTGGTGCTGGCCACCCCTGTCCCGCAAATTAAAGCTGTCCACATTGCGTAGCTGTAAGGGCACGGGCTATCGCTTATCATCATGATCTCGGTCCGAGCCTCGGCCTCCCTCCCTCACGTTCCGTAAGTTGGTGTATCTCTAGTCTATCACAACGAGCACCAGAGTAAGTGTTCTCACCAGAGGCAATTGATCGAGATGAGCCGGTGACAGCGGGTTGGGACCTGTGTCTCCCTTTCGCCTGTGCCGAGTGTGACATGCCAAGCCCGAGCTTCAGACCTTGCAGCCAGCTTGAACACTGGCGTGGGAAGGCGCCATCCGCCTCAGCCGTGTGGGTTGGCACAACCGCACAACGGCAGTATCGTTTGGCCGCCGCTGAACGAGGTACGCACAGGCACCGGCACCACCCGTCGCCAAGTCTGCGTACTGTTGGACGCCCGATGCGCCGAAGCTTCAATCACATCGCCGATCGGGCCAATATCATATTGACCCGTCGGGTCAGCCAGCAAAGCTCCGCCACATCGAGATCAGCCACTTTCGTTGAACAGCAAAGACAGCGACTGCTGCGGCTCGCTCGTGCTCTGCCCCATCCAGACTCTCTCCAACAGCATTGAACAATACCTCACAGCAGCAGTGTCTACTGTTCACGATGTCAAATACGCCCTCCTCTCACCATTGACACTGGACGGCATCGCAGCGAGATTGGCTGTCGATCTGGACGCCGCGGCGTACTGCATAACCGTGAAAACGACATTGCTGTGGCGGCGGGCCTACGTGTACTGATCGCGGGCGGCAACTAGTGAGTGCTGCAGAATCGCTCTAGCCCGCCGCCGTCACTGTATGACCAGGACTTCGCTACCTCACTCTTCAGTCGCAGCTGTTGGACTCTGACCAGTGGACCTGTGGCGCTGCTTGCGTTTGCGCAGCAAAACTTCGATCCCGCTTTCTCTTGGTTCCGGATTTACTGCGATCGCTTGCCTTCTTACGGTCTCGTGACGAGGTTGAGCTACGCACAGGTCGTCGCATACATCTCTCGCCGCCTGTTTCATCAGCTCAGGGACGCTCAAGGGCGCGCTGAATCCGGTGCAAATTAGCCTCGCAGCACGGGCAAGTACTTGCAGATCTGTATTGCACTTCTGGGTGGGATGTGTGGGATCTGCTTCATCGGTCGCGTCGTCATGATGATTGTTTCCATCGTACGAACTATGCGGCTAGTCGTATCATGAACACAGCAGACGCCAAGACCAGGGACGGTACAGTCTGCATGACCATCATCCGTACTGCTGAATTCTGGGGGCCGGCGGCGCAAACGTGACCACATGCATCAGTTTTCGCCTCCATGCTGGCATCAAAGCACAACAAGACGAAAATGTACGACGATTGGAAGACTCCAGACTTTGTTTTGGAGCTTGGGTCGCTACGTCGCCTGCCATGGTGTTCGCTCCTCTGCCTCCCTGAAACCGGGCCAGTGCAGCCGCCCGTTGTGTACCGACCCCGACATTCCATACGAAAGAGGAGAAGCAACACTTCGCCGATCAAGTGAGTACTTTGCAGAGTTCGAGGAGGCCGTGGGCTGTCGGATCATCCGACAGCTGGTATCGCTCGATATTACAGGCCGTCGCTCGCTCTGACACGTTGCGATGGCCGGACATCTTCGCATCCCATATGAGCCCGAGTAACAGTCATTGTGCGCTGCAGCGCTGCGACAGACATCGTCTCGACCTGCTCGTGTCTGGTACCTTGCATTCTCGGAATTATGAGCTACTTTGTCAGCTCCCTCCCACCTCAGCTGATAGAGTGGGGCAATGGCCCGAGAGCTGCCCCAAACACTATGGAACAAAGTCGCGTTGCCGGCGGCGTTTCCGCACGTTGCGCAATCGGATTCCGTAGAGTCGGTCCGTCGGAACGGTCGCTTACGACGGCTGCGAATGCCTGCTGTCACGGGGAGGACCCAACACGCAGGGCGAGGTAGTCTCCCCGCACCACAGTCTCGGCATCCTAAATTGGTCAGCGGGCATGCTGGTTCTTGGACATGGCGTCCGCACTTGTACGCTGGACGGACTCAGGCATGACTCCACTGTGCACTGACTGCTGCCTGGCGCGCGCCGAACTCCGCTCTGCGCCGGAAGGTACGACGGGGACAGATTTAAGTTCCTGATCTCATGCATCATGCAAGCCACGCCGATGGCCCAGCTTCTACCAAGGCCCGCCGCGTCATCCCTTCTCGGCCGGGGGTAGACCCACCGCATCCTCCAAATGGCCGGCGTGTCGAGCAACGGCAATGCAAAGGCCCATGAGAGGAAGCATCCTTCGGCCCCTTCGCGGCATGGCTTCTCTACCGTGACTTCGTCCTTCGCTCATCATGTCCACCCCTTCTTCTTCTTCAGTGACGCTGGAGGCTCTTGCTGCAAGTCTGGAATACGACCTGGACATCAGCCAAGTCTTGACAAGTGCTCGGTCTGATGTTGCCAACATCATTCTAGTTGCTATCATCGTTCTCATTGTCCGTGAGTATTGTAGCCGCCTGGTTCTGTACGACCTTGGCTAGATGCTGAGACCGTGCACCATCCCCGGCCAAATGTTATGTAGCTATTGCTTTATGGAAGCAATGGAGGGCGGGTACCCTGTGGATCTGTCGGCTGGAGAGGACCAAGCGTGGAACATACTTTGTGGTAAGTAGGGGCAGCGGTGAAGCCTCGTGGCTGAGCCGGAAAACCAACGACAAAGCTATCGCTGAACAATAGGAGTATGTACTGCATTTCTGCTCAGCTTCATCCCCTGAATTTTCTGCTGCCGCTTTTAGGCGTGAGCGCTATTCTTGTCGTATCGGCACTTGCCATACTGCTGGCTCCCACGCCACCTCACCCTCAACTGCAGTACCGCCGCTACATCGCCATGCTCTATGCAGCATCGATTATGGTGCTAGTACTGGGCTCGGGCGTTGTCATGGGCACTTTCGCTGCTTTACGCTTTCACGAGCGGCCGACTGGTAAAACGTCGCTCCTGAGGTCCTTTCTGTCCAGCGTAATCGGTTGGCACATTGCACACACTCCTGCGCTGGCGCTCATAGCCACTGGAGTACCAATCGTCGTGGTAAATGACGTATACCTGTCGCGGGCTTTCAGCAAGTTGGCACGGCTGCGACAGCTCGCTCAAGGAGCCCCGGCTATGCCAGCGTCAGCCTCAGAGGTCGCTCTTGCTACAGCTGCAAGAGCAGACTTCTTCCGAGCCTATGAAGCTTTTCGAGTCTACCTCTTCCTCTGGCCTGCCTATTGTCTTGCAGGCTGTCTGGTTCTCGCGCCGCTCACCTACTACCTTGTCCGGTACTTGTGGCGACAGCTTCAGAGTACAAAGGCCGCAAAACAGACGGGCTCGGAGTCTAAAAGGACAATCAGATACTTGGAGCTGTCGATCGGTATCGTCGCTGGTGTCTACTTCCTCATTCTGGCCACTTCCATCATCCTTTCGACTATGGCTCTATCCCAGGGTGTAACACTAAACAGGATTCTCAGAGAAGGGGTCTCCCGCATTCGTGATGCCCAACAGGTGACGATCACCGGCCTACCCTGGTTCTGCTGGGTGCTGGCTATCGCTGGCCTAGGAGCAGGCACACTGACAAGCTCTCGGCTCCTAGCAGCAGTCTCAGCACACAATGACCGGATCAAGTCTGACCATCAGGAGATCAACGGGTGGAGCGCGCTAGCTTCAGCGAAGGCAAACGCTGCCAGCCCGAACGAGTCCGCTGCGTCGCCAGCGGTCAGTGCCGATGGAAAAGAACTGGCTTAATCTATCGCGGGGACAGACCTTACCGCCGAACACAGCGGTCACAGCTCCAGCGATGGCCACAACAAAAGTCTCTTTGTCCCTTTGGCGCCAGCAGAAGAGCACCTAGACACTCGTGCTCGATGTGAGGGCCTTGAGGTCGGGGGGTCAGGCCCGATCATGCGCAATGGCCCAATATAAGTATTGCCCCCACAGGCAGCAAGTCTTGTACTGCAGGCGACGGTCGATCGCCAACCCTGCATCATCAAGGGATAATTGTCTTGACAGTCTAACTTACGATCGTGTCCTGAAGCGGAACGTTCCGGTCCTGGTGCTGGTCGTCCCTTTGTCGGCAGCAGTTCTTGATGCAGGCTGCGCCGAGCGCTGCAGAGAAGAGAGTTGGACCTTTGGCGCACATTGGGCCGATCGTCTTCACCTTGTATCGCTACCATCAGAGTCTCATCTAGCTTGCATTGTGGCTATGTGCCTTGTAATAATATGTATCAACAGTCTCGCATTTGTCGTCCGAGACTGTACAGTTCGAAGCGTTCACGAGATGCGGGGTTGGGGGCAAGTCTCCTTGGCGATGTCTATGCGAGCAACGGCGCCTGCTCTAGCTTCTTCGAGCGTAGCCCTCGACTAAGTCTTTATGTGATTTGCTTTCGGGCTTTGTATGAAACCTCCTGAGGGTAGATGCTGTCGCGTAGCGCAGCTGGTTCCTCCATCAAGAAGCTTCCCTGAGCGAGTCCCGTCAGGCCCCCTTTACTCTGCGGCTTTCGATTGGCTCTCAAGACACATCCTGCCAGGCGGGTCGTGCTATCAGATTTGCCTTATGACCTTGCCCGACTGTCTCAAGCGGCCCAAAGCAATGTTCCCGGCCTCGCTCCAGCGGCGCAGGATCGAGATGACATAGGGTTGAGATCATCTAGGGAACAAAAAAGAACACCCTTTTCATTGTCCAAGAGATCTGGAGTACAGCTTCTGAGAGCAGTGCAAGGGGCTCACTTCGTGCGAAGGAACCTTCGACTTGGTACCAACAATATGTCGCTTTTGGAGGAGGTAAAAGGAGCTGACACATTAACACGAGCTACGATGAGTCTCTTTCGTCCTAGATCTGAGGTAGCCAGGGCGTGCGCAGGGTAGCAAGCGGTGAACAGGTGGACGCTGTAGGAACGATGGTCAGGATTGTCATGAGTGGCGGGCTAAGTGAGCGCTCAGAAGCATTGCGAAAGAGCATAATGTTGCGACGACACTGCAGCACAACGTCTTGTAGCGCCCCACTGGGATTTCAACGAGAGGAATGCCACCGAGTGAGCGTGAGCAGTATTGCACCCTACTGTCCAGTACGATGTTGACGCTACAAAACACTGCACGGAGGTGCAGTTCAGCGCATCAGATCGGCTGTATTTGGAGGCTCTAGCGGCTCGCTCTCCTGCCAGGGCCTCCGCAATTGTATTGTGAGCAACCAAGTCCAATAACAAACCAAGTCCGATAACGCGAGTACCATTCTCGGGGGCGGGCTGTACACTACTGCATCGTGAGCCGCACCTAGACAAGGCTCTTGTATGCTACGTACGAGCTCAAAACCATCACCATCGTAGCACAGTACTGTTTACTGGATCTCCCAACTCCCTCAGACGCAGTGGCAGTCTAAAAGCCTGTCATGTTGTACAGTACAGTAGCAGCTGCAGCAGCATCTTATCAGTGCTACTCAATGCACGCTCCTTCTTTGCAGCGCACGAACCTCAATACTGTGGTGAGTGGCACGGTGAATACTGTAGAGCACCTACGTCAATCCGGATTTGTGAGAAGTGTCTGACGCGCTTGGGTCTTTAACGTCTCGGCCACGATATCAAATTGCGAGCAAGAAGGGGTCCATCTCGAGAGCGTCTCGAGGCGCCTCTGCATGTTGTACTGTACTGTACTGTACAGTATACAAGACGATACCTGCTCCTGTCCGATGCTGTCCTTGGCGGGAAGCGATCCCCAGTATTCTCCCGATGCATACCTCATGAAATGTGCACAGGCTGTCGTTTCTCGCGAGGCCCCGTACAATCGCATCACATCTTTGCCGTGGCTCAAGGCTTTTGATCGTTTATTGCGAGGTGCCAAACCATCTGTAGAGTTTTGATGCTGCACTTACCCCGGGCAGGCACATGGCAAGCCTCCTGTAGTGAGTGTTTGCCTTGTCTTGGGTCGATAATGTGACTGTAGCTTACAATCGAGAACTGTGGTTGGGCTCAAGACGAGCAAGCCGGTGCGTAAACGATTGGTACATCACAGTACGGTCAATCAGCAGGATAGTGTGTACTATAGATATATGGGGCTCATTTCTACCGCATGTCAAATGTGTGAGCAAGAGCTGGACAGCATCCCGCGGCGCAAAATGATCGAGTTCTGGCAGACCCACAGTAGTCCAGCGATGAGGCAATTGTGAGCACACACAGTACAGTAGTGCGGCACGAGTGGGAAGCACCGGAAGGGAAATGAGTAGAACGCTGGAGCGGGGAAGACCGAGAGCCACAAAGGCAACTTTTGCACACAGCGCTGGCAGCAGAACTCGACTTGTACAGTACTTCCCGTTGCGGCCAAAAGAGTAATGCTTGCAAAATGTGCGTATCATCGCAGCTGCAGTGAGTAACGTTTTCATGCAAAACGCATACAGTAGTGCGTAAATTTGCATACCAAAGAAGTGAGAAGTGCAATAAGTGCGGCAAATCGCGCCAGTGTCAAGCGGGAGACATTCGATCGTCCAAAAATTAGTAGCGCTACTTACTTGCAAGTCTATTGCCTCATGAACGCGTTCATCATCCACCTCACTCCAGTCTGTCATCTCTGCGCTCTTTAGCTCATCAGCATTGTGTTGCAGACCCAGATTTTCCGAGATTTGGGCAGCATTTGTGCATATTGTTGAATCTGTCATGAATCTACGCAGATATTCCTCGGCCAGACTGTCCAGCTTACTTCTGATATGGCCCACAAGCGTCCCATGCGTGTCATTGTCTTGTTTGCCAACATACAGTAGCTCTTCACCACCCCAAACACCCACTCACAGAGATTGAATGACGGTGTATAGCGAGGCTGAAAGATGAGCATATGTCCGGCATTGCTTATTGCTGGCTTGATGCTGACATTGATGTGGATTGGTGCATTGTCCATGACGATCTGGTGCGAGCCTCTCCTTTCCAGCTTGGAGAGCAAATGATGGATGCAAGACTCAAAGACTGCAGCATCTGTTGGTCCAAAGCGGCTCTGATGAGCGACGACCTATTTTTCCACAGAAACCGCCAGAATGAGCGAGAAATTGGCACTTTGGCTTGGTTCTGTGGCAATAGCTCGATTGCCTTGCTCGCTCCAGCCATACTGACGTGCAGATGCAAGATCGGATTCGCTTTGATCTACATCGCGGTACAGTAAGTACTACACAACATCAGACAACAGGACGATCTGCGACTGCTGTGCCAGAATTCCGGTCAAATGCCCAGTTTCGCATATCCAAAGATAGCGTTCAGCAGAGTACAGTCCGCTTTGCTGAGTCAAGGTACAGTCAAGCTGGGTCGGCTCGGGTGACACAAGGAGCGTGTCAGATATACTTTACAAGGAGTTGCCACGGTCACGTGTTGCATGGAGGTCATGATGATGTCAGTACTGTACATTACAGTACAACATTGGAATCGATTGTATGCATTAACTGCTTGCCGGACATGCAGAACCCGCTTCCGAGCGCAAGGCGAGGTCCTGTACGCAAGCTTCCTGCGTGAGATCGTCCAAAGTACCCAAATCCTCACAGTACTGTATCACTGCATTTGTACTCAAGCCTGACCCTCCCCGTCACTCCATGTTGGGCCGATCAGACTCTTTTCAGCAGCTTGGCGAAAGGTCTGGCGGCCTGTCGTGCATTTCGCCCGCTTGAGCCTGGGTCGAGGCCACAGTATAGCCATATCAGGTACTGTACAATAGAGTGCCCCAGTAAAGCAGCGTCTTACGAAATGAACCTGCATGCTGAGGTACTCTACTGTACATTGCTGAGCTTTGCAGAACCGAGTACAACAACACTGCATTGTAGCGGTGGAGCGACACATACAGTACTGTACGGTAAAGCACAGTGCAGTGTCTTAGTGTGTCAGCACTACGGCTGTTGGAGCTCTTGGTGCTTGGCGCGGGGATTGTACTGTACTGTACTGTACTGTATGGAACATCGAGGCACTGTACTGTACCGTAGGGTAAGACCCGCCCCGACACCAATGTGACGCTATCATGGATGTACAGTGGGACCGGCAAAAGCAAGAAAGGAGTAACGCACAACATCTATGAGCTGCGGTCGAGCTGGGTCACATGGCTTCCTTTCATACTGTATTCCGCCACGTCACGGTTGAGCGCAGCCTAACAACAGAGGTGCACCCCAGTGTAGCCACGTCTCTTACGCTGTTGTGCAGCATCACTACAGTATACCGTACGTGTGCAATACCTTGCGGCGCCTTGCGGCACCTTCTTACAAGACTGCATTTTGCATCCGGGACCCAGGAGCTGGACCTTCACGTGTCATTGAAGATCGATCAGGTCAGAGATGTTTGACGTGAGTATGATCGCGGTTCAAGAACGTTGTCAAAGTCAATCGTCGCACTCGGAACGTCAAAGTGCTCCACAGTACGGTACAGACGTTGGCAAAAGATCCGTGGAGTCGATCCAAGATGTCTGCAGATGACGCTTCACTTCTAGTCCGCTGGGACACCATATCGACGAGGCAGACATGACAAAAGTGTTAGCGTAAACAGGCTGGAGTCAAGGACGGAGCCCGTCCTTGGCACTCGAGGTGTCTCCCCCTGTGAGTGACTCGAACTTTACACAAGAGTAAACATATCTTGGTCTGCGGTTCGAGTGATGAAGAACACCCACCATTGGGGGTGCTTCGAAAGTGCTGCATCCTACCAACGCATTCGTAACACCAGTATTGTGATCAGCGAAGACGGGGAAAGTACGGAGGGGCACGGTGCATATCGCCCACGCTGATTTAAGAAGGCACAGCCTGATGTATAAGAGGGAGAAATGTGAAGCAACGTCGCTATACAGGTACAGAAGACCGAAAACATACTTAAGCTGGACACATGGGCGAGCCAGCTCGCCGTTGCTCTTCTATAGTTCCTATAGGAAGGATCATAGGACTGCCGCTGCAATTTCCCTATGCCTTGACCGTCTAACAGCTGACTCTGCAAGATCGAGACGGCGCTGAGCATGAGGTACATGCTCCTCGAGAACGTTTCGGCGATTAGGGAAAGTGGCATCGTCAGGACCACCTTGTTGGGCTACGACGCTCAGCGTCGGCACCGTGCAGTTCTTAGCGATCGCCCCTTTAGAGGGACCATTCTTGATTGGCACACAGCCTGGCAAAGATTTGAGAGATCCTAATACCTTCTCTTTCACCGATTCCTTTGTTTTGCAGGAAGAAGTCGTGTTCAGTGTAGGCACGAAAGGCGGGCAGCTTTTGAGGTCCCCAAACAAGTTGCCGGTGCATTGATCGACGGCCTTCTGCAGGACGGTGACGTCCCAGGCAGAGACGAAATCAGCGTGCATAGCATAGCCAACCGCATCGCCTGAATGAAGATGCAAGGGGATGGAAAGGGAGGTCAACTACCTGCGATGATCCTCTTGGCGAAACTGCAATCTCACCATTGGCCAGAACAAATCGGCTTTTGCCCGATGAGCTCCTTTTGAGGTTGCCGGTGGCGTAAACGAATTCGTAGAAGAGGGTCATCAACTTGACCGGATGCGAGGTGGGGCAATCACCACTGTCGGCAACTGTGCGGATGAGATGGTGTTGATCAGCAGTCGACTCAGGAACTGGAGTGACTGCTTCTGCTACTCACCTCCGTCGATTGGGTAGGACATGTGGCTCTGGTGGTCAGCAGAATCGAGATCCTTCCCGTTCCAGCACGAAGGAAAGACGATCTGTGTTCGCAGACCTTGTGGACACGGTCCGGTTGGCAGGCTGAGAAAAGAGTAGCCTTAATAAAAACACGATGTGCGGTTCGGCCACGTCCCTGCGAAGTACTCACGTCTTTGTAGTGTTGCTACCGTCCTTGTAGTTGAGGCAGACGTAAGAGACAGCAAGAGCTTTCGTTGGGTCTGGATCAGGAGAGTCCATTGCAGTGTTATTGCCGGCAATCATCTTTAAGCCCTTTGGAAAGGCCGTCAACTTTCCGTTGGCGCCCATCTTGGGTCCACCCCGATTAAGATAATAAGTGTTGACGTAGCTGAGGGGGACAGAGGAAAAGGTAGACTGCGAGGAGAAGCACGTATCAGTAAGGCGGCAGAGGCTCAAGGTATCCTTCCCTTTTCGTCCCGCTCTTGCACTCTACTGACATTCTTCGCGTGGTAGTAGTACAGCTGAGGTGCCCAATAGTTGCTCTTGTCGGCTTTGACCCCACTCGTGGTGCAGAGGGCGTTCTTGTCCTGCGAGGAGAGTATGGCTGCCGAGCCAACGAAGGCATGGGTGTGACTGGACGTGCCATTCGGAGCGAGGATGGGATCGAGCCGCTGCGAGACCAAGGGGCTGTGGGTTATGATCCAGAAAGATCGCCCAGGAAGAGCCGAGAGCACGAGGACCACGACGAAAGAGATGAGGCTATACATCATGAGAGTGTGAAAGTGCTACTGCGACTAGAATCGAGAGAGCCAGCTTCAAGATCTGTCTGCAAGAGGCTTCCAGGTAAAGACGGTGCACCGCTGAAGGGTGATGGTTGAAGAAAGAGGAAGGTGGGAGAATGCCGACGAAGGAGGTTATATGTGGACTGTGTATGACATTGTCGCTGACCGATCACTTTCCTGTGGGCGTCATGGCTCAGGGGCAACACGTCGGTTGCGAAGGTCTGGGTCAGCCCGATGGTAGCAGTGCGGGGACTGGCCTGAATGAACAAACAAGCTGCAGGCTGCACGGGGCTCGAGTCCGTAAAGGCGCGAGGGACGTCGGAGAGTAAAGGGGTCTGATCGGTGACTAGATCCGAACGGCCCGGCCGCCGTGTACGCGTCCATCGCCTCTGCTTCACGCGCCGAAGCAATCAAGATGGCCGGGGGGCCAGGGGGGGCCGTCCTGACAATCAAGGGCTGGAGAGAGCGGGAAAGTAGATTGGAGTTCACGCCGACCTTATCCTGACGTAACAGGTACCAGGACAGCAGCCGGGCCCGACACTGTTGCGCTTCTCATGCCATGGAAGGCCATCTCGAGAGTGCTGTACGCAAGGGGGGGACCATCGTAAAGCTTATCATCAAGGGTAGGAGGTGGGCGTGCAGAAAGTGCAGGACAGCAGATTGGGGCCTCATCGACGTTCGGGCCACACATCTGAGATGTAGCAGGGACACTGGCTGACGAGAGATGAAGCAGAGCTGCACTAGGCCGCCGCTCACTAGATGGGCATCTGTCGGCCCATCCTCAAAGCCAATCTGCTATTTGGTCGTGTGCTCAGGTAGCCATATAGTACCGTTGGGATCGGTGCAGGATATGAGAGAAGCTCGCACGTCGGGTGAGAAGCAGGCTGGCGCATCGTTGCTCTCGAATGATGTTCCGTTCCGGTTCTCACGTCTCTGCGCCCGAGGACGGAAGGAGACTTTTTGGGTTGAGCCGTGGACCGCCAGCCCCAACCAAGTCCCCTTGGCCTAGGGCCCCAGCGCGCGCGACGGGCGGGTGGGCGGAGAAGGGAGGGAGCGCCTAGGCAGCATGGCCACTTCCTCGCATTCTTCGCGGGCACAGAGACCATCACTCCCTCACCCGCCTACTCCCTCACCTCATCTCACCCACCTCACCATCTTTCTCCACCTCATCCGCGGGACAGACATACCAACGATGGCTTCCCTCGCTCGCTCTGCGCTGAGGCCCTTCGTCGCAGGACGGGTCGCTGCTGTGAGTTTGCTGCGCTTCCTCTGCTCCTTCTAAACTGCAGGTGATCAAGGCGGGAAGGACGCATCGAATCAGCTTTCGTCCATTCCCTCATTGGAGGTGCACACAGCCGTGCTCTGCCTCTGCTGTCGGCCGAGATGCTGCCTTGCCGTCTTGAGCAGACGTCTCACCGGTTCATCTCGCTGCTCTTGGCATTAGATCGCTTACTCATACATGCCCCACTTGCTCCCTCTGCCGCCCTCTCACAGCCCCTCCGATCCGCCGCCGCCATCCCCTCTCGCTTCGTTCACATCACTGCCGACTCTGCTTCCGCACTCGATACCCCACCTGCCTCCGCTTCCGAGACTTTCAAGGTTCAGCTCTCCGAGGAGTCCTTCAAGGTCTACAAGCATGACATGCCCGGCCTCGAGGTAGAGACTTCCAAGGAGCACCTGTTGAAGCTGTACGAAGAGATGGTCAAGATGAGGAGGATGGAAATGGCCGCTGATCAACTCTACAAGCAGAAGCTCATCAGAGGTTTCTGCCATCTGGCCATTGGACAGGTGCGTGTGCCTCACCGAAGCTAGCTCAGCCCCGAAGATCATAGCTGACACCTGCCTTCGCCCTTCCCCGTCCTTTGCGCCGTCAGGAAGCCGTCGCTGTAGGAATGGAATCCGGCATGAAGCCATCGGACAAGCTCATCACCGCCTACCGCTGTCACCCCTTCACCATCCAGCGGGGTGGAACAATCAAGTCGGTCATTGCCGAACTCTTCGGTCGCGAGGCTGGTATCTCCAAGGGAAAGGGTGGATCCATGCACATGTTCACACCCACCTTCTTCGGTGGTAACGGAATCGTCGGAGCCCAGGTCCCCGTCGGAGCTGGTATCGCCTTTGCTCAGCAGTACCTCGGTCGCAAGGACGCTGTCTTTGCCATGTACGGTGATGGTGCCTCCAACCAAGGACAGGTCTTCGAGTCCTTCAACATGGCTGCTCTGTGGAAGCTTCCATGTGTCTTTGTGTGCGAGAACAACAAGTACGGAATGGGAACCAGCGCTGAGAGGTCATCGGTGAGTAGCATCGGAGGATGGCCGTTCAGGGTCTCTGTCTCAAGGCTGACCCTAAACTTCGCGTGCTTCCTTGTCTAGATGAACACTTCCTACTACACTCGAGGAGATGTCATTCCTGGTCTTCAGGTTAATGCTATGGACGTCCTCGCCGTGCACAAGGCTGTCAAGCATGCTTCTGAGTACACCCTTGCTGGCAATGGCCCCATCATCCTCGAGATGGTCACCTACAGGTACCAGGGTCACTCACTCTCCGACCCTGGGACCACCTACAGGACACGAGAGGAGGTCCAGAAGATGAGGAGTGGCAGTGACCCCATTCAGGGTCTGAAGAACAAGATTCTAGAGTGGGGCGTTGTGGAGGAATCTGACCTCAAGGCTTTGGACAAGGCAGCCAAGGAAGAGGTGGATCAAGCGGTCGAAGAGGCCAAGAAGAGCCCTGAGCCTGACGTCAAGGAGCTCTGGACAGACATCTACTACCCTGGCTCCGAGCCCGACTTCATGAGGGGTAGGGAGAAGGAGGAAATTCACTACTACCGAAAGTAGGCGATTGGGTGTAGCCCTCATGACCGAATCGCTAGACGCAGGCGATGCCTCGATCTACGGACTTCGGAATCATCATGACAGACGGGAGGCAATGAAGACGTGTTCAGGTAATCTTCATATTCGCATCTCCTTTAGACCAATTCAGTCATTGCAGATCATCCATTCTGTGCCCCGACGCGATGATCTCTTTTCGCCCAGTACAAGCTCATGACCATTTCAGTGGAGCGCTTTTACGTTCTTCAGGATTTCCTTCTCCCATCGAGACTGTGCCCTGTTTGTCCAATGCTTACTCGCATGCGATCGAGCCTTCTTGGGTGTACTCTGGAGCCAGTCACTGAAAGATAAAGTCTTCTTCAGCTTCGGTTTCTGCGGGAGCGGTGGGTATCCGGGTGCGACTCTCATCGAGGGAGGGCGAAAATAGTCGCGCAGTCCGTTGTCCTGGCGCTTCTCTAATGGCAAGCTGCAGATGCCACTCACAGCGAAGCTGCAAAGGCAACAAGTGAACACCACAAGGCCGAACAACGGACTGTACCTCATTGCACTTTGGTTTGGAAGGCCGAGGAGGTCTTTTCGAGTGCTTGGGGGGCGTGATGAGCACGGTGCCTGACGTTGACGACGAGGATAGCTGCAAAGATAGCTTGCCAGGGGGAGTAGGAAGGCCTGCTTCCTTGGATGGTTTTCGATGAGGGTAGAGACGAAGCTGGTCGTGCAACAGGAGTGGGAGATGATACAGAAAGCGGCAATCTGCAACCGGCAATCGGCAGAGACGGCCTGTGTCTTTAGTAGTACTGAGGTTTTGCAGAAGCAAAGTTGCTGGGAGCAGGTCCTTGTGACGTCCCTTTGGGTCTCGCTAAGTGCTCTTGTGGTGCGGCGCATTGCCACGACGCAACAGCAATGCAGGGTGGCAAGCTGTGTCCGTCGTTGCCGAGGCGGTCGACAGACGGCGTTCGGCTGCACACCATGTTGGTCATGGAATGAGGGGAAATTCTACATGCGACCGAAGTCAGGTAGCGACGGTGATGCAAGATGTCTCTGCAAGCGTCTGGTGTTCACGTCAGGGGACGAGGCTACGGTGCTAATGAGACACAATTGATTGCTTTGTTTGAGCGTCGAAATCTATGACTCTGGTCAGAAACCGAGCTTGTCTTTCAACTTCTTCCACATGCTTGTCCTGCTTGGCCTACGCCTCCTGTTTGATGCAGGAAATGCGAAGCTTTCGGGCATTGAAATCGATTCCTTCTTCAGCCAGTGCTTGAAAGAAGGGGAAGGACATAATGAGCTGGGTAGTGACGCAGCCTTGACATCCGGCGAGGGCAATGGGTGCGCCCTTCGATGTCCGGCACCGCGTCCTGCTATCGGAGCATCTGAATTGCGAAAGCGGCTCCGCTCGTGAGAAGCCGAAGCAAGCGGCACGTAATGTGTGGTCATTGAGGAAGTCTTGCGATGTCTCGGTAGCTCGGGGAAGAGCCAATCCCCGCCACGGGTGTCCAATCCAATGCCGCGCGAAGGCGGCCATTACGTACGGAGAGACCGCATGTACAAGGAGCAGCAAGGCAAGTAGTCTCATTGTGCTGCTGACGCTGGCGTGGAAGACGAGTAGAGGTGAAACGATTGATGCTGGCGAAGTCGTGTCTATAGGCTGGCGTTGGAATGTTCGTGTGCATCACGGAGTGCGATCTCTTCGACAAACGTCCGATACTTATCGATCGAGACTGGACTATTCCACCGTTGCACACGATAAAAGTTTCGCGAGGTGATAGATGAATTGATAGCAATGGCTGCTTCGGCGCATCCGGGCCGCTGGACCCGTATCCAGATGAGCGTGTCTAAACCCGCTTTGCGACCATGCAGTATCAATGAGTCGCGTTCTATTGCCGTCGCCGAAGAGGTCGCGGTTCCTCTTGCTGCTTCCTGCTCTTCCTTTCCTGGTCTTCTCCGCTCACTCACGCTTCCGTCTTTTGCCTCCAAGTCGGTCCTTGAGGCTGGCCCACAAGCCCTTGCGCTTAGTATTCGGCGTGGTTGAGGATTCGCCATGGTGCCACGTCGAGCGTGGCGGTGTAGACGTCGAAGTGCTAGACGAAGACCGACTTCGGAAGCTGTGAGGTATGGAGATTTGGTCAAATCCGATAGGCGGATCGACTCGGCCTGAAGGACTGGGTGCTCGGCGGGGCGGACTGAGCACCAGGGGCGATGTTGGCGACCTTCCGCGCGGCGGAGACGGCGACTCTGAGGGACTCAGCACAGGACTCGCTACCCTCACGGGAGGTTCAGGGGACGACTGATGGGACGAAGAAGTAGTGTCCCAGGAAGAGAGAGGAGTGGGTGCTCTGGGGCGTCTAGCCGCAAAAGGGAGGTATCTGCGCCAGCCGCGCTTCACGACAGTGGACGAGCCACTCGTTAAAGCATCGGCAGCGACCAAGAAAAGCAACAACACTGACACGCCGGTAGACAGGTGCAACCTCATCCTTGGGTAGGGGCAGAGGCTTCTGATTCCGCTGGTTGCTTGGGTGAGCGCTGTGCGTAGGGGTCGCCAGGACCTGCCGTCGTACACCCAGCAAGAGGAGGAATGATTCAGTAAGCGCCGATGGTATGCAATGCAATGTGCTATTGAAGACAAGACACGATGAAAGACAGTCGATATGAAAATAGCATAGGAGGCAATGGCGAAGACGTCGGACTGGCCATGCACTTATTACGAACTCGGTTGCACATGAGCGCAAGGGGCAATGTGCGGCAAATCAGCAAAGTACCACCGAGAGCAGTACGTGAGAAAGCGGTGGTGCCTCGACAGCGCCTATTTTGCTTTAAAACAAGCGTTGAGGGAAATACATTCTCAGGCCCACGTACAGCAGCGGAACATTGCCTGCTGTCTCTTGAGCCGGTGAGCACCGCCTTCCTTCGATTGCTTACTTGACTGATCGACTGAGCGGCGACGTTACGTCGCCGGTAAGGCTGAGTCAAGTGCGACGATGCGAACAGTACCTAAAGACTATGCCAGCCTTGTTAGCACAGCGGTGAGAAGGGCAGCATTGCCCTCATCTCCTGCTGCGGGGTCACTGCCTCCTTGTACAACGCATAGCCCCAGAGACCGTTGTCATTCTGACGTCTTTGCGCTACTACCTCTCCCGCTCATTGCTTTGCTCTGCAGACCTCGAGAGCAAAGGCGGCGATGATCAGCCATCACTACTACTATGCATCCGGAAGGTCATCTACAGCACATCACCAGCACAACAGCAACGGGCGAGGCTGCGTGCTCGCAAGGTCAATCTATGACCGTCTTTGTCAGCACGGCCCGGGGCGCGCTCGCGGCACAATAGAACTCGAGTGGCTTGCAGCTCCGCTCCGCCCCCGCCGTCATCACATGCCATTTGTTCCGACCACTACCACCACCACCACCACACTACCACACATCACATCTACCCATCGATCTCAAGCCCACGACTCAGCCACCCTATAGATACAGTCGACACACCTGCCTTCTATACTCGACAGTCTCTACGACACGCCTGCCGAGACAAGCTCTGCGCAGCTCACAACCTTGTCGTTTGAGCCGCCATGGCATCTGCTTCCTCCCCCACTCTCTCCTCGTCCGCCGCTCCTCTTGCCCAATCGCCTCTTGCATCTCGCCCCACCTCGTATGACTTTGTCATTGTAGGTGCGGGAGTGGTGGGGTCAGCCCTCGCATTTTCGCTCGCTCGCTCGGGGCGGACAGTCTGCTTGCTCGAGCGTGACCTCTCCAAGCCGGATCGCATCGTCGGCGAGCTTCTGCAGCCCGGAGGGGTACGAGCCCTGTCCTTGCTCGGCCTCGGCGACTGCCTAGAAGGAATCGACGCCATCCCTGTCGAGGGGTACCAAGTCTTCTACGGGCCTCGAAGCGTGCCCATTGGCTATCCAGTCGAAGACGAGTCGGAAAAGGGGCTAGGCGTGGAAAGCGTCACGGGCAAGGTAGAAGGCAGAAGTTTCCACCATGGCAACTTCGTTGATGCTCTTAGGAAAAGAGCCCTCGCTCAGCCAGGCGTGACTCTCATCGAAGCCACCGTCAAGGACATCGTCACAAACGCTTCCGGCGTCATCGCAGGTGTCATCGCCACGGAAAAGCAGTCCTCGTCCTCGGCTGCGCCCTCCACCTTACGCATCGAAGGTTCAGTCACAGTGGTAGCAGACGGCTGTTTTTCCAAGTTTCGCAAGACTCATGGCTCCTCCATCGCTCCCACCGTCCGGTCCAACTTCGTCGCTCTCGAGCTAATCCACGCTCCGCTACCGGCGCCATACCATGGCCACGTCGTACTCTCGCCGTCCGGTCCGATTCTCCTCTATCAGATCAGCACTGAGCACACGAGGATCTTGATTGATGTGCCAGGAGAGAAATTGCCTTCTGTATCGAAGGGTGAGTTGCAAGCCCACATCCGCGACAAGGTCATCCCCTCCCTCCCTGAAAAACTGAGACCTTGCGTCTCGAAGACTCTTGAAAGTGGACAACGGCTGCGATCCATGCCAAATTCGTTCCTACCGCCTTCCATGCAAGGCCAGACTGAAAACAGGAAGGGAGTCATCGTCGTTGGCGATGCGATGAACATGCGTCACCCTCTGACTGGAGGAGGGATGTCTGTGGGACTGTGGGACTGTGTCCATCTCACCCGAGCACTGGGTGGAGCACGTTGGTCCCCACCTCTGCTCGCGTCGGAGCAATCTCAACCAAAGGACGTGACGGCCTCCGCTCCGGTTGATCTTCACGCCTGGTCCCACTCCATTAGGCCAGCTCTCCGCTCGTGGCACTGGTCTCGCAAACCGCTGGCATCCGTTATCAACATCCTGGCTCAGGCCCTTTACTCGCTCTTTGGTGCTGACGACGAAGCACTCGCTGTCCTTCGAGAAGGGTGTTTCAAGTATTTCGAGATGGGCGGAGAATGCGTTGCTGGGCCTGTGGGTCTCCTGAGCGGACTCAGACCCCGTCCAACGTTACTGGTCTATCACTTCTTCAAGGTGGCCCTGTTCTCCATCTGGTGCCTCTTTGCCCATCCCAGGGCGTACGCCTCCCGCAACGGCGAGATAGTCAGGAAGCCGGGAATAGCTGAGTATCCCTCGCTGGCGTTCAAGAGTCTACTCGTCTTCTACACGGCATGCGTCGTCATCTTACCGGTCATCTGGACAGAGCTCAAGGCCAATGCACCCACATTCGAAGACGTAACATCGTCATCAGCGTTGGGTGGCCAAACGACTCGAACGAAGAAGAAAACTCGTTTCAGCATCCAAGTTGGGCTCGCCCTAGCGGTAGTGGTCCTCGGCTTGTACCTTGTCACGGTGCCCCAAGACGCTTCGCTGCGCGGCTCAGACGGTCTCAATGACGGGGCATTCCATGATCTTCTCGACCGAGTCAACTCCTCCCTCCGGCATACTCGTAAGAGTGGCTACATGAATTACCTGCCTCTGCCGAAGAGGTACTTGGCATAAAAATTGTTTGCGTCATCCCTTCAAAGACCTGTATACCCACCACTCATCAGCATACCATTGTCCACTCAGTATCTTGTCATGCAATCCAGGCCTCGCTACATACAATGTGACACTGACACCTCTCTCAAGCAGGAGTGAACAATACGGCTCCTATTCAGCAGTAGAATACCGTCGGAGCAATCACAAGATCTTCGCAAAGTCAGAAGATCGCAAGAGTCGCGTAGATCTTTAGGCGAAGGGACCCATATGACAAGGGCTTCAGCGCGTGGTCCAGCAAGACGATTGGAAGACCCCTTCCGATGGCGCACCGACCTTCGCAACTCAGTCTCGACAGACACAGCTCCGATGACCCAACGGCCTCCTTTCCCTCCAGCACCTTGCAGCCAAAAAAACAAAGCGAGGGGCGAAAGCGTACATCACAGCGCCTTGACTTATATATGAGCGCGAGCAGAGAACACCGCCGCCTCCAGACCGCTACATCCTGTGATGAGTACTGCTTAGATGAGTCCAAGATACCCAGACGCTGCAGTTGTGCAAGCAATTGAAAGTACTGAACCTGCACTGCGTGCGACAGTACCGTTACACCTTCGTGCACCGCCATCATGCGCTCGCTTTGATGCCTGACACAGAGCCGAGTCAGTGTCAGCAGTAAAGTCATCCTCATGTGCAACCAAGGGACGCGTCTGAAGAATGGCTCTGTTCTCTCCCGTCCCTGCCTCTGTTGTGGCCTCTTTGTTGTACGAGGGGCAGGAATGGCTCTGTTGTGTCTGGTGTTCCTGTTCCTTTTGCTATTGATTGAGTGCGAGGGGCAGGAATGGCTCTGTTGTGT